ATCACATACACACTCACACATCATATACACCACACACATCACACACACACATACACATCACACACTCACACACATCACATCACACATATAAGCACACATCACATATAACACACACATCACACACACACTCACAAACATCACATACACACTGACACATCACATACACCACACACACATACACATACATATCACACACACACACATCACACACTCACACACATCACACACACACACACACACACACACACCTTTAAACACAGGAAAAGAGAAACAGCAGCGTGGGTCTGCATGAGGCTTCTACTCTCCCCTCCCTGTTTCACTCAGGTCTCCTCAATGCTCACTCGCTTGGCTAATGGACCTAGAGAGGCCATGCACCCCATCACCAGCTTGGGCTAGTCTGGGCTCTGTTCTTTCCCCAACACCCCCCTCCTTGCAGCAACTGCTTCCCCAGCAGGACGCCCACCACATTGCTTCAGCAGGGGCTCTTCAAGGTGTCCATCTTTATGGGGGAAACTGCAGGCCCCCATGCCCCCCAATGCTGAGGAAGCTTGAGCCCAACCGTGAGATCCCGCTTGTTCTAAATCTCTACAGTTTCCTCACTCAGAACTCCTAAGCTTTCCCGGGGCGAAGGGAGCTTAGCGAGTCTCGACAAGTGAAGCTATCAGAAAAGGAGGGGGGTGGCTTTCTTCCAGGTCAGAGAAACCTTCTGGGAAGAGAGTGTGCCATACAATGGAGAGCCCAGGGCCTTGAGATGCTGTAAGAAGATCCCTGACCTGGTCCCTGGCTGGCTCCTCAGGAAACCATTTCCGCTTCTTCCTGCTGAGTTATTTGTGTTGGCACCTAAGGCCTCACCTGTCACACCTCCAGTTGTGCAAAAGCCCCTTGAGGTCCCCTGAGCAGAATGGGCTATTGTCCACGATCTCTCTGATAACACGTCTTGTTCAAGTAGGAAGACAACCTCCAAAGTCCAAAAGCCTTTTGTTATTTAAACTTGAGAGGTGGTCACCACTCTGCAGGGTGTTGAGTGACATCAACGAGACAGCCCCTCTGCAAACCAGGCTGAAGGGCTGACGTAGAGGCATGGAAGTTAATTGTAGAGGCATGGAAGTTAATTAGAGGTGGCCGTGGGTTGTAAAAGAAAGCAAGATGAGCAAGCCTCGGGAAACAAGGTGTGGCCTCTGTACCAGCTCCTGTGTTGAGGTTCCTGCCTTCAATACCTGCCCAGACTTCCTTCCATGATGGACTGTTACGCAGAAGTCTAAGTGTTTCCATTGAATGAGACCTGTGCCGCTTGACACACACGGAAGGACCTCTACAGTGTGTGTGTGTGTGTGTGTGTGTGTGTGTGTGTGTGTGTGTTAGGTGCACCTCTGTGCAGAAGAGTGTAGAGGCCAGAGATCATCCCGGCTGCTGTTTCTAAGGTAGGCCATCCGCACTGGCCTGGAGCTGGTCAAGTGTGTAGACTGGCGGCCAGTGACTGCCAGGGATCTGCCATGCCAACTCCACAATCTCAGACAAAACACCTGAGTGGGTGGCTGGCTTTTCTTTTTTTGTATGAATTCAAAACATAGAATTAGGCCATATACTTGCAAGACCACTGGCTATTTTGTTATTGTTGTTTTTTTTATTTCTAACTTATTTATTGTTTGTTAAATTTTCCTACTTGGTATTTTTATTTTTGATTATTTACTTTTGCATATTAGGCTTTTTTATTCGTTTTCTTTTCAATTTATTTCCCTTCCCTGTTTTTACTTTATGTTTTTAAAATTTATTTACTAAGTTATCATTTATACATATCTGCCTTTTGTGCCTTTCTGATTTTACTTTTTTTCGTTTGTTTTTTGTCATGGAGATTTTTGTCTTTTTTTTTCTATTTGATTTGGTCTTCAGTTTTTGCTTTGGGAGGTTTGCAGTTTTGTATTTGGATGATTAGCTTTTTGTATTGAGCTTTTGAAGTGATGGGTTTACATTTTTCTGTTTTATACTAATTCTTTTTCTCTCATTGTTTACATCATATGACTTATTTTTCAGTCAGAACCCATAGAATCCATTCATCTGTGGTTTAGTTTCCATCATCTGCATTTTATATGGGTGTGATCTTGGTTTTCTGGTTTTCAGTTACTTATTTGATTGGGTTTTGGTTTTGATTTCTTATTTAAGCGCTTTTTCCTCACATATTTTCCATTATTTTTGTTTTCCCAGATTTTACTAGATCTTACCCTTTACTTCATCCTCCTTTTGTTTGTTGATTGTAGGTAGCGTTTGTAGCAATTTTAGCTACAAATGCCTGCGTCTAGTGAGGAGGAGTCCCCAGAACTCAGCCCCACAGCCAGCAGCACCTTTGAAGAGGAAAGCTTTCAGTCCCAATACAGAGTCCTGAGGACCATCGGCCACGGGAGCAATGCCAAGGTCCAGCTGGCCCACCACCGCCTCACAGGTACCCCTGTGGCCGTCAAAGTGCTTCAGAAAAGGAAGAAGTGGTGTCATGTTGGGGAAGTCCTGTGTATATGTCAATAAATTACTGCTGGCCAATAGGAATCTAGATAGGTGGGGCTAGGAGTCCAGGAGGATTCTGGGAAGGAGAAACACAGGAGAGTTCGAGATGTAACGCCATGGGGTAGGAAGCCTGGAACTATTCTCCGGTAAGAGAAATACTTAGATTAACAATTATGGGGTAATTACTTAAGTCAGAGCAAGCAAGTAAGAAACAAGCAAGGCCAACAGCTTTATAATTAATACAGTGTCTTGTGTGTTTATTTGGGGACTACAATGTGGCAGAGCCCTGGCGGCTGGCGGGGGATAAACCAAAGCGGCTAGCAAAGGAAAAGCTTCTCTTAACAGTGTCAGCCAATCAGATCCGAGGTGGGTATCATGATGATGACCAACCACCCCAACATCATCTCACTTCTCCAGGTGATTGAGACCGAGACGAGAATATACCTCGTCATGGAGCTGGCCGAGGGACAGCAGCTTTATCAATACATCCGGAAGGCTGGCTGCCTCAAGGTTTGCAGATCTGTGAAGCAGGACTGGGTTCTCACACACACACACACACACACACACACACACACACACACACAGGTGCACACACACACAAATATCCTCTGCCTCAGTTTGCCCAGGTAAGGTGGGAATACTGTGCTTTTCCAGCCATCAGCATGGAAGCAATGCCTTGTGCTGCCTTTGAGAGCTCACCATAGCCTCCACCCATGACACACTCGCACAAGCAGCTTCAGTCAGAACTCTTGAGCAAATAATAGCAGGTGTGAGCTATTGCCATGACCTGGGTATAGTTCACAGGGACCTGAAATCAGACAGCATCATGCAGGACCAGAACAGAAATGTCAAAATCATTGAGTTTGGCCTCGGCACCCGAGTCAAGCCTGGGCAAAGGCTGAGAGTATGGGGAGCCGGGACAATTGAAATTACTGGAGATGATGGAGAGGACTGTCACTTGAGGGGCCAGGAAGCCAGGCTTCCCGTGGCCAGGTGTTTCCTGTAGACACACAGACGTCAGCATACTGAGAAGTGATCAGTTCCTCAGGGGCAGGTTCCTACTGTACCCACCACGCAGGGTGGTGAATACTGACTCTAAAATGCCCCTTCAGAGTGTGCCAGGAGTGAGCAAGTTCCTCACAGCCGGGGCTGTCTGGAGCCACGGGACCTGCACATGGAACTTATCTACGAGGCAGCTCTGGGATGTGTCTATAAGCAGAAGACATCCTCCCTGTGCTGGAAGAAGCCTGGGTGTCCACGTGGGCCTCACCCTGAGTGTCCCTGACAGGAACCTAACCAGCACTTGCCCACTGGACAGCAATGCACTGGCAGAGGCCTCACTTCAGGCTGTGGCCTCACAGCCACAGGCCACAGATTGCCCTGGCATGTTGGTGAGGGGCAGGCAGCCCACGCTGAGGAGTCTTGTCAGTGACAAGGTCTTCCCAGAAAGGACCACAGTCCAAACAGCTCCAAAGCAAGAAAGAGGGCCCTACTCTCTGTCAGCAAGTATCATTACATAGTTACACATATGACTAATGTTTATGTGTGGATGTTCTGACCTGTGCTTACATGTAATATCAATGATTTTAAATACATTTCAATTTAAGCGTGATCTTTGACTCAAGCTTATCATTTCACCATTGAGGGAGATTTGTTTATACACACTCTCATATTATAGGTGCCAACACGGCAGTGCTTGTGCTAAGCCAAGCAGTCAACTTGGAGGATGACACCTGAGGACAAAGTTGCCTGTAGACGAGCAGCTTCCCCACGCCTCCCTTCCAACCTTCCTTTCAGTGTCCATGTGTTTCTTTGTGCGGGGCAACCACAGTTCTGCCTAGAGACCACCCTGAGAACCTCACTGTGACCTCATTTCCTGTGAGGCCCTGACCTTCCAATAAGCTCACACATCCCAGTTCAATGGGGTTAGGGCCCAAAAGTGCAATTTGTCTCACAATCATCTGCTCTGCCCATCTCAAGGTTTGCAGATCTGTGAAGCAGGACTGGGTTCTAAACACACACACACACACACACACACACACACACGCGCGCGCGCGCACACACACTCGCGCACGCACACACAGATATCCTCTGCCTCAGTTTGCCCATGTAAGGTGGGAATACTGTGCTTTTCCAGCCATCAGCATGGAAGCAATGCCTTGTGCTGCCTTTGAGAGCTCACCACAGCTGCCACCCATGACACACTCGCACAAGCAGCTCCGGTCGGAACTCTTGAGGATCACATGTCTTTCATCAGAACGAGATAGCCAGGCCCCAGCCTGTGCAGAGGGCTTTGTGGCTCCAGGAGAGAAGAGGGGAGAAAATGTGAACTTCACGTCCACGGCAAGTCACAAGTAAAAGGAGTGGTTGGTTGTGATTTAGCACTCTGGATAGTGCTACAAGACTGAAGGGCAGACCCAGGCAGGCAGCCCGATCTCAGCCAGCAGACACTTCTTGAACTTTCACAGGCCCGTTGGGTCTGCCCCTGACCAGGAAAACAGACGTTTGCAGCAGGCCATTTTATTTTAATACCCGTAATGCCGAGGGAAGTGAACATGGGGCGGGGGTGGGGGGGGTGGGAGGACAGCCACCGATGAAGAGCTGGATGGGAATTTCCAGGTTTTTAACGGCAGGTTTTACTGCCACGCCCGTAAGCTCCTGTCACTTTGGAGCTGTGCCCTCGAACTTCCATACTGACCGACTCCAAGACCTGCCCCTTTAACATCGAGGTGCATCTTTCCCACAACCGGTGATGTGGGGACGCCAAAAGGACCTCGCCGTGAACAGCATTGGCAGCGGTCCCTTCTTTGCGAGATGTGGTACCTGTTGCGTGTGACCTGTGGATTCTCTGGGTGTGGGGACACACTGAGGGACTGGCGAGGCGTGATGGGTCATTGCACTGGGTTCCGCTGAGAAGGGTCCGGGTCTGCTGTTCTTCCTGTAGGCATTCCTTGCTGGGATAGAGGTCAGTTACCTAACCCTTCCCTTCACAGCACTGCAACCGCCTCACAATGGAGGCTCCAGGTCCCCTTGAGCACCACCTGGAAGGGGAGCGAGGTGGGGTTGTGAGCTGCTATAATAAAGGGAGGGGCTTGAGCAATATGGTCTTCCCCTTGGTGTCATTCATATATATATATATATTTTAATTTAGAAATGATCTTATTTTACATATCAATCCCAGTTCCCTCTCCCTCCCATCCTCCCATGCCCCTCACCAAACTCCCCATCCCACAGCCCATCCATTCCCCAGAGAGGGTGAGGCCTCCCATGGGGGAATCATCAAAGTCTGTCACATCATTTGAGTCAGGGTCTAGGTCCTCCTCTGTGTATCTAGGCTGAGAGAATATCCCTCCCTAGGGAACGGGCTTCCAAAGTCCATATGTGCACTAGACAGAAATACTGGTTCCACTATCAGAGGTCCCATAGATGGCCCAGATATCTCCTAACTGTCACCCATGTTCAGGAGGTTTGGTTCCCCACCTTTACGACTGGGGTCGATGTCCACTTTCAAAGGAGACAGGCTCCAGAGAGATACAGCGACGTCTGACTCAAGGCCTGCCTGTTCTGCGACACTGTGGGTGTTTGGCTGCCCCTACTGAAGTCTGAGGACAGAGAGAGAGAGGAAAGGAGAGAGAGAGAGAGAGAGAGAGAGAGAGAGAGAGAGAGAGAGAGAGAGAGAGGGAGGGAGGGAGGGAGGGAGGGAGGGAGGGAGGGAGGGAGGGAGGGAGGGAGAGAGAGAGAGGAGAGGAGAGGAGAGGGAGAGAGAGAGAGAGAGAGAGAGAGAGAGAGAGAGAGAGAGAGAGAGAGAGAGAGAGAGAGAGAGAGAGAGAGAGCACGTGAGCAACAAGACACCACTGTCATACAGGGTCACTTTCTCTTACCTAAGAGTCTCCTACCACTGCACACATTGTTTCTTTTTACAAGGCCTCTGTAGCACTTCTAGAGCCTCCCAAAGACTAAGAAACCTAAAAGGTAACAGTTTCCCAAACACAACAAACCCTGAGAGTGACATTGTGGCAGAGGTATGTGCTCCACACCGAGGGAGGCGGTGGTGACCGCAATGAAGTCAGCTTTGGGGCTGAATATTGTCAAGGCCAGCCCTTCTCCTGGGTGATCAGGAGGCGTTTAAATCCTCTTACGTTAGAGATAAAACATCCCCTAAAAAATGCAAGTGAAATCACAAAACACTCACATCTGGTAGCTGAAAAAAGACGTAGTATTTCCAAAAGTGTTTCAGGGCTCACAAAGACCTCTTTCCCAGCCACCTCTTGAGTACGCCTCACTGATCAGGTGACCTTACAGGAAGGCTGAGGGTGAGTGAGAGAGACGTGTGACTTGTGGGGAGTCAGGGGTTTCCACATGGCCCACCAGGTGCTTCCGACACAGAAGAGCATTCGTGGACAGGGACAGAGACTGAGCCCTGATCTTCAAAGGGAGAGCAGAAATCAGTGATCTCTCCTACAGGATAAGAAAGTAAGGCCACAACTCAACCCTCTCTGTAGCCACCTACTGAAAGTACTCCAAGCCCACCTCACCTATAGAGATTCCCCAGTTACACACTGAGATAAGGCCAGAAGCTGATCTAGCTTCCATGCCCTGCAGATGCCCTGCATCAGATAAAGCTGCATTTTATGAAGTGGCCTGATTGAGAGTCGCCAGAGACTTCAGCCTGTCCTCAAGTGACATGTAGGACCTCTGCCCATAAAACGTCCCCCAAACAATCAGGACAGAGCACCTTGCTTGCATTTGTCTTTAAAGCCCTGTTAGTGAGCACAGCTGACACGATACTAAACTTTCCCCGACGAGAGCGTTCTCCACGGCACTCAGCGGGCACTGCGGGACATGGGATTAGGTTTCAGCACGGAGCCTGGACCCTTTCTAAACAACACCAGCAAGGGAAACACTAGCTGCAAACACTGGAGAGTGAAACGCTGAATAGAACCAGCCCTCTTCCTCCTGGGCTGCTCCGCACACGTGTCCACCCTGGCCAGGAGGCTCAGGGATTGACAGCTCAGACACGTCACAGCAAGTACTGAAATTGGAAGGTATGAAATCCTTAGCACGAAACACACCTTTAATCTCAGGACTGTCAGCAGAGGCAGGTGGACCTCTGTGAGTTCAAAGCCAGCCTGGTCTATATCGGGAGTTACATACAGGCTAGCCTGGGATACATAATCAGATCCTGTCACAAAAATTAAGCTGAAATTTTTTTAAAGTTGTGAGGCCCAGAAACACATTGAGAGAAGTGGTGGACACAGCTCTGCCCTACTATGTGTGTGTACTCCCAGTGCGTTGCTGGTTGCAGCTGCTGGTGGTCTCTCTCTCTCTCTTTCTCTCTCTCTCTCTCTCTCTCTCTCTCTCTCTCTGTGTGTGTGTGTGTGTGTGTGAGTGTGAGAGAGAGAGAGAGAGAGAGAGAGAGAGAGAGAGAGAGAGAGAGAGAGCACAAACAGAAAAGGCAGCCCCTGAGGCAGCTGTGGAGATATGAGACCCCTACTCCCAGACATACATTTTGCATCTTCACCAGGTCTCTCTGTCTCTGGGGATGATCTGTGCTGCTGTCACTCACCTGTCTGATGTCATAAAGTCCTAGAGCAGAACCCAGTGTTCTGACCTCTGGCCATGCTGAGTGAAGGCAAGTACAGAAAGAGAGCCAGCTTCTCTCCCCTCCCTTAGCTCTGGGGCTGGACCCTGTTCGCCAAGTGTGGCTCCAGGTGTGGGATGGGGCTCTGCTGCTCTTCCAGTCCAGGTTTCTTGTTTTTTGTTGCCAACGCTGTAGGGTGGTCTCCGTGCCAAGGGTGCAGCTGCCAGGTCAAAAGAGCAGACGCAGTGTCATTTTAGCGGTGACTGCCAAGTGGGTGAGCCAGACTTTTTTGTCGCTGCGACAGAAACCCAACAGGAGCACCTCCAGGAGCGAGGGGTTATCCTGGCTGATGGTTTCGACCCCCAGGTTAGTCAGACCCATTGCTGTGCATCTGAGGCAAGGCAGGATTTTAAGGCAGCAGAGGCGTGAGGCTAAACTGTTGCTGCCAGGGTGGGCCGGGGGCCGGCATGAGGCCAGGAAAGAGAGGTGCTTCAAAGTAAAGCTTCTCCCACCAGGACGCCCCTCCTAAGAGTCCACTGGAAACTCGAATCCATCCATGGGCCTAGACCCAGGTAGCCCGTGGGCTGTGAGGTAGAGATGCCTAGAATGACCGACAAAGCCATCACCCTCGTGACCTAGTCTCTGGAAATGTCCTCTCTTACTGGCCCAGAGGTGTATTTCACTAGTCCCCCTAAGGTGCTCTTCATCCATCCACGTTGAGAGTCAGCGCTACCCATCTTTGCGGCACAGGGCAGGATCCCCCATTACCGTGCATGCTGAGTGAGCCTGGACAGCACGCCATTGCAGCAGAAACCCTGCGCGTGTGACCAAGCTCGTTCCCACACGTCTACTTGTATAATAAATGTTGAAGCCCCCTCCCTGTATTTGTTTTGGGATTTTGTTCGTGTCTCCTCTATTCAAAATCATGCATGTTTTCCAGTATTTCGTGGTTGTAGTGTCAAAAAGTTAAACCTGTTGTCCAGCTGGTCTTAGTGCAAGGAATGGAGAGTGCTGAGATTTAAAAAGTCTGTGTCGTGTACTCCCCGTATCTTTGAGAGCCTTGGACTTCCGGAGGAGAGGGGAAAGGGATGAAGGATGGGAAAGGGGAGTAGGAGGAAAAGAGAGGGGGAGTTTGAGGCGGAGACGAAGGAGGAGGGGAACATGCCAGTTTGCTACTGCGGGGGACTTTTCCTATAACTCAGAAACCCGGTGAGCATGCCACCGTGCTGAGAACACCTGCCTGGGTGCCAACAGCTACACTTGGCCAGGATGCCCCTGTGGAGGATGTGAGCCCACTGGCCATATATGTAGGCCTGGGGTGCCCCCTGCTGGAGTCCCACAGAAGGGCAGCTGGACAATCAAACCCGTTTCTGTGTCAGAAGCTTCATTAAGAGAGAGAGAGTCACTGCCTTTGGGGCCTTTGCTTGTCTTGAAAGGAACACAGAGTGACCACACACACACACACACACACACACACACACACACACACACACACACACATCCTGACGTGTAAGATATAAGGTAGGGGTTCTTCCAATGACTGGATCTTCTCCTGTGAACAGCGGCTCCTGTTCCTCTGCCTTCTCCTGAACCATCCTTCCCTTCCTCTCCAGTACCCCATGGTTTTAGTTAAAAGTTAGCCCGGTGTTAGTCTTAGTGCGAGGAGCAAAGCGTACCACGAACTCCCTGCACCTCAGGAGACATCTGAAGAAGAAAAGAGAGTAGAGGAGGATGAGGAGGACTCCCAGCCCTGCGGCTCCCTGTGGCCACTCCCACAGCACTGGTCCTTGGGTGACCGGTGTCTTACACTCATCGTGAGGTCTCAGCATCTGCGCTACAGCCTAGAAGACATCGGTGCCACTCCACGTCTTCCTGTTGGAATAGTGCTCTGAGGAGCACAGACATCTTTCTAGCTTCGATGACGTTGGACCACCTGGAGCATGTGTGCTCTCTCTTGATGAACATGTAAAAGGCTGCAGCTGCCCTCGGGGCTGCTAGGACTCCCAAAACAGAGCCTGGCCCAGCAAGCTCACCCTGGACTCAAGGCCTCTGGCGGGGTCAACACAATGAGGAGACACAAGGTAGCCTCCAATTGAGTCAGCCAGGCCCAGAGGGCACAGCAGTCTCTCTCAAAATCCCAGAGCCTGCCTGAGTCTGAATACTCGACGCTCTGTAAGAGGCTTGGGAGCCCGCAAACACTGATGTGTCTGTGTCTGAGGAGAGTAGATCACAGTGGGAAGTGTCAGGACAGTCAGGACATCTGAGCCCCCCAAGGAGTCTTCATGGACACCCATTCTGTCCACAGCTCCCCTAAACCTAGGGCTTGCCTGACCTGCAGGCCAGACGCCCTAAATCCCTTAGGAACAGGCTCACGTTCCACAGTTGACAGACTTCCCAGGTAGGCCTCTCCTGTGTCACGCTGTGGAGCAAGTGCTGATAGGGATTGCCCATGGCTAGCACTTGGGGCTGTTAGCCCATCCCACATGCTGCAATCCTTGCTGTCACCACCAGGGGGTGCTGCTGTGCCTCTCTTCTTACAGATGAAAGCTAACTTCCCTCGTAGAAAAACTAAATGAAGGAGTGACCCGGCCTTCATGGTCCTCGGGCAGGCATGAGAAGAAAAGGCCCTGTTTCCATCTCTGCAAAGAAGGGACCTGAAGTAATCAGTTTCCTTCTGCCCTATTCTTATGAGCAAAGCCCCTTTGAGACGGCTGGCCACTGTTCCTCATTTCTGCTTTCTTTGGCTGTTCCTTCAAGCCGGGCCTTTTGGGATTCCGCTCTTCTCAACACATGCCAAGCTGAGTCACAGCGGCCAGGGGTGGCAGGCTTTTCTTCGTTTCTTTGCTGTCTCACTCTCAGACCTGACAACGAACTCCAAGGATGAGGCTCTTTCCTCCCAGGCTTAGTGTCTGCAAACGTGCAGCTCCTCTACAGGGCAACTTAGAACCCCAGAAGAGGATCCCTCAGGACAGCGGTAGACACTGCACTGCCCACAGCACTTCTGAAGAGCGGAGGCTCTTCCGGGGCTCGATGCTGTGTGTGCATACAGTTAGCTCTCGGCTGCACTGGGGTGTTCGGGAATGACCTGGGTCCTGCGACCTGACTGTGTGGTTCACGGTCTGTTTCGTCTGTGCCAGCACAGCTGCCCTGTACCTTCTGGTCACAGCGTGCACCGAACACCTGGTCCTCACACACGCCTGCTCCACCTTGAGACCATTGCTCACCAAAGTGAGCCTGGCACACGGCAGGATGGACTTGGGTCATGTTTTCTGTACATCCTGCCAACCTCTGTCTGTGAAGTATGTGTGAGAGGGTATACGCTTGTTCGTGTGTGTGTACATGCCTGCCTATGTGCCTGAGTGTGCACACATACCCCTGTGTACGTATGATGTCAGAGGCCATGCTCAGAGCTGGCCCTCACCTTTCCCGTTGAGGCGAGGTCTCTCGCACACCTGATCACCTGTCCCAGGAGTTTCCAGGATCCTCCCCTCCACCTCCCATCCCCACCCCAGGGACGCTGATCTTATGGCTCTGTGCTGCTACACCCGACTTTGAGGTGGGATCTGGGGACTCAAGCTCAAGTCCAAACCCTTGAGAGGCCCTGTCTCGGGTTTTGATGAGAACCCAGAGGCCTTCTGGGGAACTGTGCGAACAGCGTCTTCCCTGCTGGGTCAGTTTAGGCACAGAGCTCCCGCTGAAACCTTAAGTTGTAGCATCGTCTCGGGCCCGTGAGTCAGAATTCAAAGAAAGGTGTCGTGTTGAGTGCAGACATGAGGACGGTAAGCGTGAGGCACAGCAGACATTCAAACCAGAGGGCTGAGGACATCACAGCGTCCTTCAGGCTTCGGCTTCTAAAAGCCTTTAAAGGCAGTCTCCACAGCCCACCTGAGCCAGAGCCTTTGCTTCCTGCCCAGCCCAGCCGTGTCACGGGAGGCCCTGCTATGATCTCACGAGGGGCGATTGTGAGGGTTCCAGCCAGGAGGTGTTAAGGCTGTGGCCCGGCCTGGATTTCTTTGGGTGTGTTGGGAGGAGCTGTGGAGAGGTAGGTGCCCAGTGCGATTTTATTGTGTCTAGCGAGGTTGTGTGTGTGGTTTTTGCTTGCTTGTGTGTGTGCTGTGTATGTGTGTATGTGTGTTATGTATGTGTGTATGTGTTGGTGTGTGTAGGAATGTGTTTACAGGTTTGCTTTGTGTGTGTGTTTGTGTGTGTGTGTGTGTGTGTGTTAGGTGCACCTTTGTGCAGAAGAGTATTTCTAAGGTAGGCCATTTACCTTATTTACTCTGAGGTAAGGTCTCTCTGGCCTGGAGCTGGCCAAGCATCCAGGCTGGCTGGCTGGTGACTGCCAGGGATCGGCCATGCCAACTTTATACAATCTCACAGACTAAAAGCTCGTGTGGGTGGCTGGCTTTTTTTAAATGTGAGCTCAAGAGACTAGATCTGGTCCTATTCCTGCATGGCCGTCTATTTACCTTCTGGGTTATCTCCGCAGAACCACTGGGTTTTTTGTTTTTGTTTCTTTGCTGTTAACGGATGTTTTGTTTATGTGTATGTCTGTTCACCACGTGTGTGTCTGGTACCCTAGGAGAGCGTGGGGTCCCACGGAAGTGGAGTTACAGATGAGTGTAAGCTGGCCTGTGGGTGCTGGGAATCAGGTCTGGGTCCTCAAGAAAAGGGTTGGCGCTCTCTTAAAACCTTAACTACTGAGCCATCCCTCCAGCTCTCGTGCAGGGAATTTTATGTCTGGCTTGTTTATTTTTATTGTTTATTTGTTTGGCTGGTTTGGGGTTACGGGATTTCTCTGAGTTTTTGATCATTTTTGTGTTTAAATTTTTTAATGTGTGTTGGACCATCCTTGCATCTCTGGAGTGAAGTCGACTTGATCACGATGGATAATCTTTTTGATGTTATCTTGGATTTGATTTGTAAATATTTTATTGAGGCTACTTTTGTGTGTATGCTCATAAGGGAAATTGGCCTGTAGTTTTCTTTTCTTTTTTTTTTTTTTGTTGAGTCTTTACGTGAGTCTGAGGTATCAGAGTTATTGTAGCCTAGTTAAAAAGAACTAGGCAATGCTCCTTCTGTTTCCATTTTGTGGGATAATTCTTTGAAAATTCTGTGCTGATTCTCCGTGGCCCTGGGCTATTTTTGTCTGGGAGACTCTTAATTACTGCTTCTATTTGACTAGGGGTTATTAGGTCCATTTAAATTGCTTATCTTGTCTTGCTTTAACTTTGGTAGGATATGTATAAGTATATGTATATGTGTATGTATGTATGTATGTATATGTATAAAACTGTATCCATTTCTTTTAGGTTTATCCAGTTTGGTGGAATACAGATTTTTAAAGTAATCTTGGTGTTTGTTTTAGGTGGACGTTTCTTTCCCACCTGCCTGCTCCCAAATAACTAACAGGGAGACTCAATATCAATTACAGCTGCTCAGTAAATAGCTCAGGCTTATTACTAACTAGATCTTACAACCTAACCCATTTTTCTTATCTAAGTTCAACAACAAGGCCCATAGCTTGCCACCTTGTTTTGTACATGTCCTGCTTCCTCTGTATCTGGCTGGCAGCTCCTCTGACTCTACCCTTCTTTTTCCCAGAGTCCTCTGTGCCTAGCTGTCCTACCTACACTTCCTGTCCAGCTACCAGCCAGACATCTTATTAAACCAAACTGAATGACAAATCTTCATAGTGTAAAAAGGGTTATCCCGAAGCCTGGCATTTGTGGCGCACGCCTTTAATCCCAGCACTCGGGAGGCAGAGGCAGGCTGATGTCTGTGAGTTTGAGACCAGCCTGGTCTACAGAGTGAGTTCCAGGACAGCCACCAAAACAATACAGAGAAACCCTGTCTCAAAAGTGTCATCTCAGTCTGATGGGTGTTCTTGGATAGTTCTATTTGCACTCTCGCGTATTGAACTGCTTCCATCATTTCCTTCCCCCGTTTGTGCTTCATAGACTTCACTGAGGGATTTGTTGATATCCTAACGGTCCTTAAATATATTCCTAATTACTATTTTGAAGTCCTCAGGTGTCAGCTCTGTTGCATTTCACAGAGCCTATTGTGTGATTCCTGGGTTCCAATAGAAGCATATTGCCTTGGCTATCCATGTTTCTGTCTGGGCTGATGTCTAGACCTCTGGGCTTGGAATGATTTGGGGGTGATTCTAGGTGCCGGCATGTGGTCTAGTCACCGTTGGGTGGATGTGTTCTGTTCCTTATTTTCTGTGGCTCTCTCTAGGTCTTAGGAATCTTGTGATAACTGTGGGATTCCTGGTGCAGAGTGCTGCTTGCAATGTTGGTGGACGCCTCCGAAGTATAAAGGTGGGCTACGGGGAGAGTCTGAAGTTGGGGGGGGTCAGCAAAGACCTAAAGGGAGATCCTGGGTACGCCAAAAGCCAGAGTCTCCAGTGAGTCGGAGGCGTGGTAGGAAAAGGGGGGGAGAGGCTCCTGCAAATAGATTGCAGTAAGGCAGAAAGCCAATGTGGAGAGATGAGGATGGGAGGGATGGGGGTCCCTGGGTGGGGAGCCCCGGGTCTCCAGTGAGTGGAGTTGAGGCGGGGGTGGGGCACCGGTAAGCAAGCTGCTGCCGGGCTGAGGTGAGAACGGAGAGACCATACTGGAAGCTGTGATGTGGTTTACCTGCCAGAATCCCTGCTGGATGAAGCCACCAGGGTGTCCCAGGTAGAAAGTGTTTCTAGGTGAAGGCAAGGACTGAAAAGATTCACAAGAAAGGATGGAGCTGGATCCAGGAGTTCCCACGGAATAGAGGTAGAGAGGAAGGAGAGACGCACCTGAGAGCGGTCTGCTACAGGACTGGAGAGGAGACTGGAAATGTAACACAGGACTGGAAGGAAAACGAACGTTGCTTACCTGAGTCCCAGCCCTGTGTGGTCGCTGGATGTCCCAAGTGGAGTCCCTTAGATTTCATTTTTGATGTTAGCTCCCCCCCCCACATCGTTGTTTTCATTATTCTTGTTTTATTTTCCTACATTTTTACTAGATTTTACTTCATCATCCTCTTATTCTCATATCTGGCTATTTTAGGTAGCGTTTGTAGCAATGCCTGCGTCTAGTGAGGAGGAGTCCCCAGAGCTCAGCCCCACAGCCAGCAGCACCTTTGAAGAGGAAAGCTTCCAGTCTCAATACAAAGTCCTGAGGACCATCGGCCACGGGAGCAATGCCAAGGTCCAGCTGGCTCACCACCGCCTCACAGGTACCCCTGTGGCCATCAAAGTGCTTCAGAAAAGGAAGAAGTGGTATCAGCCAATCAGATCCGAGGTGGATATCATGATGATGACCAACCACCCCAACATCATCTCACTTCTCCAAGTGATTGAGACCGAGACGAGAATATACCTCGTCATGGAGCTGGCCGAGGGACAGCAACTTTATCAATACATCCGGAAGGCTGGCCGCCTGTCGGAGGACGAGGCCCGGAGGATATTCAAGCAAATAATAGCAGGTGTGAGCTACTGCCATGACCTGGGTATAGTTCACAGGGACCTGAAACCAGACAACATCATGCTGGACCAGAACGGAAAAGTCAAGATCATTGATTTTGGCCTCGGCACCCGATTCCAGCCCGGGCAAAGGCTGAGTCGGCACTGCGGAGCTTACTCCTTTGGTGCCCCTGAACTCTTCCTCGGCAGACTTTATGATGGCCCCAAGGTCGACGTATGGACCTTGGGAGTCGTCTTATATTTCATGGTAGTCGGAAAAGTCCCATTTGATGCTGTCATCATACCAGAGCTGCGAAGGCAGGTTGTGGCAGGGAGGTATACTGTCCCCTCAGACCTGTCAGAAGAACTCGAAGACCTGCTTAGTTTCTTGATGACCGTCAACCCCAGGTTTAGACCGACAATAGCTGAAGTGATGACTCACCCCTGGCTCAGGAAAGACAAGGAGGGTTTACCAAATCACCGTGAGGAAATGATCCCCAGCTCACCTGACCCTGCAATTGTGGCAGCCATGGAACATATGGGGTTCCAAGCCCAGGACATCAAGGATTCATTACGTCAGAGAAAATTCAACCAAACCATGGCATCCTACTGCTTACTTCAAGAACAAGCTCTCAGGGAACATGGCTGCACAACCAGGGCTCAGCCTATGAATCCAGGGGTGACACCATTCCCTTCCCTTGAGGATCCCGTTGATTCCCCTCTGGAACTAAGGAGGAGGGGGAGTGAGCCGTCCCTTGGCACATTACTCAGAGGGTCACCCACTAACAGCCAGCAGGCAGGTCAAAGGGGAGGCAGACACGCCACTAGGGCATTCCAGAGGACACCCACACTGGACCCAGCCCAACATCAACGAGCCAAGAGCGCTCCCTGCATTCGTTCAGTGAGCGGCAGCGGCGGCGGCGGCGGCAGCGGGGAGAACATGGAAGACAACTTATGCTCACACAGCACCACAGCAGACAGCAAGTCCGTCCGCAGCCAGGGCCAGCCCAGAGGCTGGAGGGGATGGACAAGGAGGATAGGAAGCGCCCTGATGAGACTCTGTTGTTGCATTCCGTCAAGGAAGAAACCTTGCCGGGGGCAGAGCAGAGTCTCCCCTCGGAAATGAGCCCCGAGGAGGGGGCCCGGAGGACAAGCAACAGGAGCATCCTGGGTACCATTGTGTCTTGTCTTTCTGTGTGCCCTAAGCTGGTCCCTTCCCCATTGCTGACTTCCGTCTCTCCATCAACTAAAGCATAATTCTCACCTTCTCCAAGTACTCACCACTCTTTTCCATCCCAAGCCTCTCCCCTCTTCCCAGCATGGACTCAATAACACTGATGTGGACCCCACTCTTTCTCTTTCTGACCCCCCCATCTCTTCTCCTCCTCCCAAAGCCAACAGCTTCCACACAAGGTGAGGACTGGGAGACTATGGGCTCAGAGACCCTTTCAGGGACGACCAGCTCGGGTGGCCGTCCGTCGGTCACGGGAGCCGCAGATCAGCCTCAAGTCTCCAAAAAGCAACACCACAGTCCGTCAAGCCTCAAACCTGATAACCAACAGCGCCAGCTAAGCATCCTAGCATAGGGTTGACTGGTTACTGAAGCCCGTCAGCCCCTGCCCCGCATGCACGCGAAGTCTTCCGGATGCTCTGTCCCTAAGACCTAATGTTGCACAGAGTTCTATGGGAAGCCCTTCCAAAAGATTTCTATCAAAGATTTCAACTGCGGAGCAGAAAAAAAGACATGGCGTAGTCAGTCTAAGCCCGCGGTGGTGTTCTAAGAAGTAATTTCGCCTGCTTTGTTACTTCTTTTTGCCCAGAACCAATTATCTTGCCTCTCTCACGGTGTCCTCTGGAAACCCTGTCTTGCCCTGAGTAGACACACACAGGAGGTGATTTCGGACCCACAGCCCGAGAAAAGACACAGCGGCGGGCCTCCTGGCACTCCTGGAAATCGCTGAATGACTAACTCCTGGAGCCAGACACACACCATGCGCCAAGTGTGCAGGGAAATGTTTGGTGTAACTAGACACCAGTTATTCATAGAAGACACACAGATCTCCCGAGCGCTGAACAACCGGGAGCTGGAGTCGGAAGGTGAAGGCAAGCAGCGTGCTATGTTCCTGATGAGGAACACCCTCTCCAAGCTGATGGCTGTACTGTGTCCTACCTAAACGCATGGGAATATCAGCCCCTGAAGTCGAGGTGCTGAGACAGGGGGGAAGTGCTGGGACGGTGGGGTGCCGGGACAATTGAAATTACTGGAGATGATGGAGAGGACTGTCACTTGAGGGGCCAGGAAGCCAGGCTTCCCGTGGCCAGGTGTTTCCTGTAGACACACAGACGTCAGCATACTGAGAAGTGATCAGTTCCTCAGGGGCAGGTTCCTGCTGTACCCACCACGCAGGGTGGTGAGTACTGATTCTAAAATGCCCCTTCAGAGTGTGCCGGGAGTGAGCAAGTTCCTCACAGCCTGGGCTGTCTGGAGCCACGGGACCTGCACATGGAACTTATCTATGAGGCAGCTCTGGGATGTGTCTATAAGCAGAAGACATCCTCCCTGTGCTGGAAGAAGCCTGGGTGTCCACGTGGGCCTCACCCTGAGTGTCCCTGACAGGAACCTAACCAGCACTTGCCCACTGGACAGCAATGCACTGGCAGAGGCCTCACTTCAGGCTGTGGCCTCACCTGGCATGTTGGTGAGGGGCAGGCAGCCCACGCTGAGGAGTCTTGTCAGTGACAAGGTCTTCCCAGAAAGGACCACAGATGAAAGGCAAATGCCAGTGAAGTGGAAATGCCAGACTCTGGTATATGTCAACAGTTTCTGCCACTGCACAAATAAAAAAGTGTTAATGTTTATGTGTGAAAATTATGTGTCCATTAATGCATGTTGCCTGAGCTAGGTTTCTATTCCTGTGATAAGCTCCACAGCCAAAGCAGCTTGGAGAGGAAGGGTTCGCTTCGTGTTTGGCTGACAGTTTTAGTTCTTTGTGAAGGGTGGTCAAGGCAAGACTGATTGTAAGAACTGAAGAGCAGCCCAGGGAGGAATGCTGCTTGCCTGCTGGTAATCCACAGACTGCTTGGCCTAATGGTTGGTGCCCCGCCCCCTGCCCAGGGGAGGCACCTACTCAGTGGGCCAGGCCCTTCCCGTCAGTCATTAATCAAGATGTCCTACAGCGCAGCCTGATGGAGGCATTTTCTCAAGTGAGGCGCCTCTTCCCAGTGTTTTGTCAAGATGACAAAAAAAACCAAAAACCAACCAGGACATATGTAAATCAATAAAGGATGCCCGGGTGGTAGGGAAATAACCCCATGTTGGTACATTTGGGAAAACTGATGTTACGAGTCCAATGATAGCTGTCCCAAGAAGCCATCTCTAGGAACACAGCCCGAGAAACAATGGCATACTATGGGAAGAAGGTCCCACGGGGAAACTTAAGAGTGTAGGAGACAGAAGACACCATAAGGTAGACAGTTGTTGACTAGTCACTCGTGGGTGCACGCAGTGCAGGAGCAGAGAGGCCCGAGGCTGTGACATCAGACACCCTCCCGTGCTTGCCTGAGTCCAACCAGGAAGTGATACCCGTATGCTGACAAGGCTCTCCGCTCACCTCCTTCGTTTCAGGAGAAGGGTTCCTTTCCGTCTCCCCAAAACTTTCACTCACTTCCCACGGGGCCCCTTCCCAGGCGGGGCTCTCCCCTGGAGCCTCTGGCCAGGAATGTAGGGTCACCATAGCAACTTGGTTAGAAGCAAGCAGGACAGCAGCAAGCTTGACAGATGAGTTAATGGGAGAACAGAACCAATGGGCCAAGCCCTGGGGAGGAGGAGGAGCCATCCTGAAGACCCTCAGTCCCCAGTCAGGGCTGCACACTTTGGATGCCAAACATCACGGAATACATTTTCCTAAGGGATGGGTACGGGGCGTTGGGGGGGAGGGGGTCCCCGCTGTGGGCTTTTATCACAGAGAGCCGTGAAGAAATTCTCACAGACGTACCACAGAGCTGAGCTCAGAGAACATCCCGGGGGAAAGGGCAGTTTTGAAATTAGATACCTTTGTTCACTTCTCTCTTAGTCCCCTCTTACCAAGACCCACTGATCAACCACTATTACGGTTCAGACTGGGCCCCAAATTCAAATGTTGGAGTTCACCCAGAACCTCAGAATGTGGTCTTATTTAGAGACGGGGTCAATGGTGTAGCTGAGGCCACACTGTCACAGATGTGTGTTGCTGGAGTTTCCTTCGGCTTGGCCCCACTGCCGCTGTAGCCCCAAATAAGCACGCACACACCACATCAACCATGAAACTGTCGTCCGATGGCTAGGGCTTCCTATTGGCTAGCTCTGTCTTAATTATTAACCCATTTCTATAAATCGATGTATTTCCACGTGGTCTTGGCTTACTGGAGAATGCCCGGACCTGTTACTCCCTTGGTGGCTTCATGGCGTCTCTTCGCGGCCTGTCTCTATGGCCTTCTCCCATTCTTCTCCCGGTCTGGCCGCCCCACCTATCCTTCCTGCCTGGATATAGGCCAAACAGTGTTTTAGTCATTTAGTGGGGGATGAGTCTCACACTATGACCCTGGCACAGAAGGGTCCCTACGGACGCTCTTCCCTTGTGTAAGATGCTTAGGCTGCCCGTGGGAGCCACTTTTGCACCGTGTGGACCCACCTGAGCTCTCCAGAGTGCCCCCCCCAACTCCACCCCACACACACACCAAAAAGCTAGAGAGGCCAGTGTGCGTGCAGGCACATTCCCAATTAGTGCATGCTCACACAAGGCACTCACATACAGACACACTCGCATGCAGGCGCACAGGTGCATATGGGGTCAGGCCGCGTGGGTCCCCCCTGGATCCTACCCCTGCGCCCACCCTCCCCACTCCCCATCTTAGAGCTTATCTGTGTTTCCATCACTTTGTGGGGTATAATTTACCGGCCGTAAGATCGCTTTCCTCAGAAACAAACACCTTCACAAGTCTTGGTAAGTTTAAGAGTTGTACCGCCACCTCCTACAGCGGGTGCCACTGCAAACTGGGCCCTGCCCACTTCAGCCCCCTCCACAGGCAAGTCACACGGCCACCCAGGGACCTCATCTTGCCCGGGCTTCTCCATCGGCAGCACCTTGTTAGCACTCTGTTCCTCTTTATCGCTGAAGGCTCCTCCCGCTTTGGCTGTGGTGGCTGTCTGTTTCAGAGGTGGTGTCTCCAAAGCTTTAGTTCTGGAATGTTCTCGGCAGGCTCATCTAGTGGGTAGAAGACGGAAATCAGCTGCCCGGGACGGGGAGGGGTGGGGGTAGGGGAGACGGGAGGGTTGGGCTGAAGAGAACCTGGGTAAGTAGCCTCATTTCTTCCTTGTGCTCCACGCAGTGGACAGTCACAGCCTGAGTCAAACAAGTTGCCTGCACCTTCCTTGATCAGCCTAAACCAGAATACGGCACGTGGGCTTGGCATTACAGCTGCCGCAGATCCAACCAGAGTCCGATAAAAGGTATTTTTTTGTAAGCGGAGCTGAATTGGCTGAGTCAGTCAAGTGCTTATCACTCAAACACAGGCCTTGAGTTTGATCAACCCAGAATTTACATAAAAACCCAGGTGCAGCATATGCCTGTTGTCCCAGCACTGGGGTTGGAGATGGGAGCAAAGGGGGTTCCTGGAGCTTGCTGGCGAGCCAGCCTAGCCGAGTCTACGAGGCCTGGGGTCAGCGAAGAGACCTCGTGTCATGAAAAGAGGTGGAGAGTGACAGAGGGCACCCAGGGTCCGTCTCCAGCTTCCCTACACACACGCACGCACAAGTACGGGCACGATCCACCCCCATTCTCACGCACGTCGATGTGCGCCGCATCCCCACGTACGTACATGTGCGCACATGCAAAGACATTTGGAGAGAAATGCCACATGCCCTGCGCAGACACAGTTTTCCTCACTGATCCCCCCAAAATGCGCAGCACGACAGGTACGTTCATAGTGTGCACTTGGTGTTTGATGCTGCCAGCCACCCAGAGGAGAGGTCACAGGGACAGGTCCATCACAGGCGAGCCATGACTTCAGGTAATGGGCCCGAGCATCTGCGGATCTTAGCTCCCTGGGGCCTGGAACCAAATCCCCATAGAGACTGTGGTGCTGAGGAGTGGCGCTCATTTGGGGCCTAGTCACGCTTCTGCTTTATCGAGACAGAGAGCTGCTGGCCTTCGAGGAGGCCGCAGACCACGGTCCCTGACTGTGGTCCTTGGGTGTTGTTATCAAGGTAACCAGGGTTTACTAGGGTCTGTAGCCGTGGAGCACTACAGCTGCCTGGCTGGGGGTTACGGGGCATCTTCAGGAGCTGATACAGTGTTTGTGAACTGTCACGTCCCCCAGGCATGCTGCTACGGGCCCTCGGTACCGGGCAGCCTGTGAGCCCTGGGGTATGAGCCACCAGAGACGCGGTTTTAGAAAATCGCCGCGTTTATAAGCAATAGCTTGAACCTGGAGCTGTTTGCAACCCATTTGCCGAGTGTTACCTGTAGTGCGTCAGCCCCTGTGACCCTGCCTGCCCCAGTACCGGACACTGCGTCCAACTCTGTCTCCGGGACGACTCCTGCTGACCTCTCAGGACCCCTGGGTGCTGCACGTGGCGGAAGTGTTGCTAGTGCTCCTCTCCTGGCTACCAATACAGGTGGGAGAGCAGCCAGCCGTACTTAGCTGCCATCATGGGACTGACGCCTGCCTCCTGGGGTGAGTCTCGTTCAGACAATGAGCAGGTTCTGGGAACACAGGGGAATACCGTGCATAGTGTTGAGCGCCTGGATCTCTGTCCTGGGGGTGTTTCCCATTAGCTCGGTGTGACTGACACTGACTTTACCCGATGAGGAAGACAGCGGGCCACAAGCATCTGGGAAGTCTCTATGACACGGTGTAGCAGGGAGCACGACCTCAGCCTGAGTGGAGGCGGCTTGCAGCAGGGTCTGAGCTACCCCCCTAGCTGTGTCAGACTCTCCCGGCTCTATTCTTAAGTTCCCGGCACTGGCCCCTGCCTGTTGAGAGCCTGTTGTGTGTCAAACTTCTTCTCTTGGACTCTGAAGCAGGGCTTTCTCTAAGGCTGTCCTCACGCAGGACAGGGAAGCCCTCTGGATGTGAATGACCTGCCCAGTGCCCAACCTTAGAGTTCCCCGGTGTTTGCTCACCCTGGCCGGCGGCAGATGTCTTGCTTGGCCACACAGCTGTGACTTCTTAAGCGTCTGTCACTGCGAGCTGCCTGGCCCGCTTCACAGCCACCTGCCGCAGAGGGAAGGGACGCCAGGGCTCTGGCCTCTGTGTGGTCTTGCCGGAAGAGCATCTCGTGGGAGTTAGGGCCCCATCACCTCCTGCCAGGACACAGTGAGTTCTCCTGGCCCCTCGCATCCTGCCTGAGAGCGGTGCCGCTGCTTGCCTGCGGTCCAGCAGCCTCCACCCACCCAGCGTTCCAGTCCCGACCTTTGTCCCCGCTCGGCCACTGAGTTCCCAGTCTTTCCCCAGACAGTGTCCGGACACGGCCGGCACAGACAGTGCAGCTGCATACGGGAGGTGACAACACCCGCCCCACCCCCTGCGCTGATGACCAGGGAGGACTTGGGAGGACTGGCCTACCGGTGACACCTGAGTGGGAGGCTGGGGACCGTCCTAGTTCACCGTCCTCTGCAAGAAGCAGTACACGGAGCCTGTTTCTGGGAGAGCCTCTGTGTGCTTCCCAACGGGGAGACTGATACCCAGGACGCTGAGATGAGCTCCGAGCTCAGGGACATCCTAGTGCTGCTGCCTACCTGGGAACAACTGCGGCTGTCAGTGGGGGTGAGCGGAGAAACAGCAGGAGGGGGTTCTGCGTCCCGAGGGACGGGAGGACAGCTGCTGAGAGCAGCAGCACGCACGGGTCCATAAGGACCAGCCCGCATGGAGACTTTGCATCTTGAGGGGCGGGGGACAGTCAGAGCCATGTGGGGGGGTTAGGGGGGTGGACCACGGAGGCTGTGTGCCTAGAGGGAAGGGTGACAGCAGGGATCAGGTGTAGCAAGCTCCAGGTACAAGAGCGTATGGGATCTCCACTTCGCTATGAAGGACACCGCTGAGGCACAGTTAGCACTAACCTTACCAGTCAGCTAGAGTCTTGGCTTGCCTGGTCCCACGGGGTGCTGGGTTTGTTTGGTTCCCCCCCTGTATCCAGCGTCATGGGTTTCCCTGTCCCTCGTGCTGTCTGGAGCTTCCATGGGCTGAGCTTATTATTATGCGGGACCCGGCTGACCTCTGAGTACTCTGACCTCCCACGATCCAGGGTGGTGATTACATAAGAGAGGGTTCTGAGCGTGACATTCCTGCCCTTTGACCCTGGCACACTCTGGACCCTGATAGATTTCTAGCTTCCGTGTTTCTTGAGTCCTCGGTTCTGAGTCATCTTCCCCGATGTCCCATCTTAGAGGATGCAACCGTCACAAGGTCACACCCACTTTCCCAGGCCACACGGTTTGCTCTCTGTCTTCTCCTCATTCTTAGCTTCACGTCCCCCTGTGTGACCCAGGCTATCCCTCCATCCAGATGCCGCGGGCATGGAACTGTGTTAGCCTCAGTTAAAGGCCTCTTCAACCCCAGGGACAGGTGCTTGTTAGCTGCAAAAACTGCAACTAGAGCCTCTATAGCACCTTTACAATGGGGATTTTTTTTAATCAAATTAAGCTTGTGGGGGAAATTTCCACAGTACCCAGACTGCCCCTAAAGAAAAAAGAGCATTTCCTTGTCTGTGTTGGAACATATCCTTTCCACTCCCCAGGCTGTTCTTTTTGGGGGGAGTAATTGTTTAAATTCGTGCTTTGGAAACAAGTGGGTGTCCTAGACCCCCGTCCCTGTCTCCATCCCCTGCCTGCAGATAGCATGGCTCCCTTCCTGACCCAGTGTCCCTGCCAGCCCAGGGCTCTGGCTTAAGTCCTTCCTCTATTCCAGGTCACAGCCACAGGACAAGAGCTCTTCCGGCTGGTGTGCGATGTGGCACACATTCGTGACACCCGCTATTTTGGCCTCAGCGTGGTCAGAAGTAAGCATTGCTTAGCATCCAAGCACAGGCTGCCCAGGGGGCAAGAAACGGGGTCCTTGGAATTTAGTGCATCTGCCGTGCCACCGACCCTGCCCGCTTGCAAACCAGCTGGGGCACCGCATCCAGAGTCTGCATGCATCCATGTGCGCACGCGCATGGACACTTGTGCACATGCACCACAAAAACGTGCACACTGCTCACATAAGTACAGAGCACGCCTGTGCGCACACACAGACTCAACGCACCACAAACACGTGAACGTCAATATAGACCACACACATATCACAAGCGAGCGCCCGCCATACGCGGGCGCACACCACGCGGCATGTATTCTCGTACACACACGGTTAAAGCACGTGTCCCCCTCACACATTCATCCGCGTGCAGTTACCACGCACATTCAAGCGCGCATGCTTATGTGTACAATGACACACACAGTGCGTGCCCACGCGTTAACTCACAGGCACACTCGCTCATGCTTAGGCACTCACTGCCCTCACCCTGCACGCCTGTATATTCACATGCTCGTGAATGTGAGAACCAAGCTGGGCAGAAGGGACCAAGGAGCTCCAACCCAGCGGAGAAGGGACAGGAGGAAGTGGGGACATTGAGCAAGGCCGGGCCAGTAGCCATTGACTGAGCAAGGGGGCAGCACCCCCCCCCCCGAACTAAATCGTGCTGTCTGTGGGAGCAGGAAGCAGCTCTATCCAGACCTGCCTGCCGTGCCCCGTTCTCTACATTCCAGTGTCTGCACGGACACTGCTATGTTCATTAGTGCAGGAGAGCCACAAAGCTCCCTCCCCCGTGGGATGTGACGGCCACTGGCTATGAAGCTCCCCTTAGGGGAGATGATCCCTGGTCTAGAGCAGGACGCTGCTCTAGAGAAGACAGCTGGGACATGACTCTGGGTCCTGCCTGCAGGTCCCTCGGACCCCCAAGAGCCTAGAACAGCAGGTGGAGTGGTGAGGGGTGGTGAGGGTGAAGCCCTGGGAAGTACTAGGCCGGGTCCCCGCAGAAGGAGACTCCAGCAACTGCAGCGGGCATCCCTGCGCTCGTCGGTGGGGCACTGCCGGGGTGGAGTGGGGACCCAGTTTCCCTGGAGATCCCTTTAAAGACATGGGTTAATTAGTCTTCTGGGATCATGTGATGCCAAGCTACAGGTGACTGGTATCTAGTGTGCAAAGCCAAAGCCCATGGTATGGCCAAGGCCAAGTCACGAGTTCTATGACCCTTGTCTTCTTAGCTGAGGCTCAACGTCAATGCCTGCTGTCCACACATTAGGACTTTGACACCTGGGTGGCCACACCTAGGAAACGAACTTGGGGAATCAGGGAGCGGTCGCAGGAGGCCATGGGTTGTAAGTTCAGGTCTGTTCCAGTTGAGGGGCTGGCCTGTAAGGGCCTGCAAGGTGGAGCAGCCCCCCACCCCCACCCCCGCCCCCTCAGCTTGCTGGAACTAGGAGTTAATGTTTACTCAGACTATGCTTTCTCCCAGCAGGGGGCACTCCTCATGGGAGGGGTTCAGCTCTTAACAACCAGCCTCACCATCCATCTCCTTCTGTGTGAGATGTCTCGGGACGTGGGCAAGGGAAGAACTTGGGGACGAACTAAGGATTCCGTCCGAACAAGCGGTGACAGGCTCTGGGCACACCTGGGGTCTTGGGGAAAGCAGAAGGCTGCCAGCTGGGCCAAGCATGCCACCCCTTCCAGATGGGCTCTGAACTGATGGGCACCCCTGTAATGTGTGCCCAGATCCTTGCTATGGAGACTTGAACTCTTATTATAGCATGACTTTGGGTCCCCTGCTTTAGTCATCCCATGATGTATAATTTCGGCACACTTTTGAGACTGAGGCACGTATGTAGCAGACTGCAAACATGTAGGCATGGTGGTGAGGCATGTGATCCCAGGACCTGGGGCCAGGGCAGGGGGATCATGAGATGGAAGGCATGCTGGGATTCATGGAGTCCACCCTGGGCTGTGATACCCTGCCTTGGCGGGGGAGGGGGGGCAAGAAGACATGAGCTGCCGTCCTTCTACCTGGCTCTGGTTTGTAGCACTTGGGACTTCTGAAGACAGGCTTATATGTCTGGCTCCTCTATCTACTCGGAGCTGGCCTTGAGCAGTCCTTCCCTTCATAATAAGTATCAAGGCTAAGAGGAGAATGGAGGAGACCTGGACACTTTACCCAGGTACACATGCCTCGGGTTAAGAGGGTGATTCTGGCTGTAGGGAGTGTTGGGAAGGCTTCCAGGGTTGGTATTACCCCGTTTGGTTTGGGGGAAGCCTGTAGCTGGAACTGGGGGAGACAGCTGGCTCTTTCTCTTTCCTAGAGCAACACGTCCCTCCTAAAGCTAAGTCTGTGTTGGCACAGGGTCTGCAGGGATGCAGTCAGGAGAAACATTTATTTATATGAGGTGAGGAGGGTCAGAGGGAGCTCAGGAGGCTCAGGAGACGGAGGCCGTCGAGTCTGGAACCTACAGGCAGGATGCCAATGCTGCAGTTAGGGCCCAAAGGTTGTGGGTGGCAGCTGTCCACCCTACTAGGACTGCCTAGGCGGTGTAAACCCTCGGGAGCCTGGATGAAACCTATCCAGCTAGGGAGGGTTATCTCTCAGGTTGCCTAACAACACAGACACATCCATGCTTAGCACACTAATTAGCATTCCTATGTGGGGTGGATTTCAGTGTCAGTGTTGGCTTCGAGACATGTCCTGGCCTCAGGAGGCTCTGTCTCCGCTAGTGTGCTTCTAGAATTTCTCTTACCATACCTGAGGCTAATCTGGGAGCATCTCCTCAGGATAAAAAAAAAAAATTCCACAGGTCCATAGCCGGGCGACCTCCCTGCATGAATGAGGTCTCCATCCATCCAATCCTAGTGTTTACTCCTGGGCCTCCCTATTGCCTGTCTCCTCCTCCCTGGCCCATAGGATACTTCCTCTTCCTCAACCTCCCCATCTCGGGCTACTTATTTCATGACACAGGCATGGTAGGGGGTTCAAGCGGCCTCCTGGAGTTCCCTGGAGGGACCCACAGCGCCTCTACCCAGAAGGACAACTGTCAAGGGTGATGATGTGTCCCAGTTTCTGCCCTGGCTGTGGGGGTGACGTCAACTGCAGTGTCAGCCCTTGCCTTGGAGGAGCTGCGGGCTGCAGGGCCCAGCTCTTTCTCCTCCATAGAGGCCACAGGTCGCAAGCAAGAAGCCAGCTAGGAGTTTGATTAAATCTGGAATGTGGCCACATTCCTGGGTCAGGCTGTACACAGGGCGCTCAGCCTGCCATGTCCAAGGGACCTGCAGGAGAAACAGTTCTCCACAGGGATAGGGCCCTGGGTGTATATCGATGGGCCCCTGCCTGCCTGGGTTTTGCAGAATCCCTGCTGACCTCGCGTGCTCTGATTTAAAGAAGTCTATCCGGGTCTCTCCTGATGCTGGGATACAGGGAGTGGAGGAAGCATCAGGCTCTTCCCCTTGGGGACCGTTGTCCACACTGCCTCGGTCACGTGGAGGCAGACGAGGTTGCATTTGGGCAATACCGGGGATTGAACCGAGGGCCTCATGTAAGTGGGGCAAGCGCTCTGCCACCAAGCTACAGCCCCAGGACTCCTATTTCTTCGAACAGATTTTTTTTTCGTAGCAAAACTGAGCAGAAAGTACAAAATGCCCCATACAGCAAGAGTCCCTCCACCTACCCCAGCTGGATGCCAAGCTCTATGTTAACAGACAGGCTCGCTCTGGCGGGGCTCAGCTTCTGCCTGGTGGGACTCCTCGGAAAGAACGAAAAGTGTCTTCTCTTTTCCAGACGAGGAGTACGTGTTCCTGGATCTGAAGCAGAAGCTCAGTAAATACTTCTCCAAGGACTGGAGGATGGAGATGAACCAAGTAAGCGGAGGACAGATGGAAGGGGCCAGGGCCACCCCTGTGCCCAGCGACTGGGAGGGTTCTCTTCGGTATGGGGTGGGCAGGTGCGGCTGGGTCAGGCCCGCTCTTCGTCCCCACCACGGTCACCTGTCTGTCGAGAGCTGTTCTCTGGCCTGCTTGCGCGGTCCTCGGGTCCCGCCACTTTCGTCCTAAGGGTTGAGGGTGGGTGGGTCACCCATCCCGCGCCCTCCGTGTGATGCTTGCCTGCGACTGCCCTTGACAGCATCTCCCTTGGGCTTTTCCCCTTTAAAGAAAAGTAAGACAAAACAACTGTTTTACCTCGTTAAGGGTGTCCTTTGACAAGCACACGCCACCGTGCACTAAGACCTGAGCGGGAGATGCCACCAGACCCGTGGAAGCTCCCCTCCCCCGCTGCCCCCTCCTCCTCCCCCGCCTCCGTGTGTGCCTCATTTCCAGGCTCCTGCCTTTTCTTTTTCTCTTCTGACAGAGGAGTAAGATATCCAGGGCGCCCTTTATCGCCTTCTTCAGAGTGCAGTTCTACGTGGAAAATGGGAGGGCGATCAGGTAACTGCGCTGTCGAAGGGAAATGCAAGCCTCAAGATGGGCAAAGTGCCCTCCCAGTGTTCTCTGAAAGAGAAAGGTCCCACCGTCAGGGTGTGACGTCTCCTTCCAAGCCTGGCACTCCTGCACTCTGAGGCAGGCATCTCCATCTGGTGGCTGTAGGGGAGTCTCAGAGTTGAGCTTTAAACAGGAACCGTGCTTCTTGTCCGGCGTCCCCAAGCCCTTCTTGGGCAGGGAGGGTCCTGGGAAGGGGGGGAGTGGAGACACGGAAGGTCCTTGCTTTCCAAGAGGTAGATCAGCTGCCATCGGTGGGCTGCCTTGCTGGCTGACAGGAGGCAGTGATCTCTTCAGGGGCCATCAGAGAACTACAAGGCTCCTCAAGCGGAGCTCTGGGAAGCCATTGGCGGAGCCTGGGTGTCCTTGGGATGTCCCCTGGCGAGTGCAAGTCCCAGGGAGGGTGAATGGGGATGTGGAAGATTCTGGAGTCTGATGTACTCAGCCGTAGAAGGCTCTAGAAAATGAGGGCGTGTGTAGCTAACCAAAGAAGGTTCTAGAGAGAGTGAGAAGGCGTGGCCATGTGGAAAGTCCTAGAGACATCCGATAGCAGGGAAAAACCGGATGGGAGCTGATGATGGTTCCCCCCGTACCGTGGTGGGCAGCCGGGTTGCTATTATCAGAAGGTGTGGGAGAGGTTCTCGGGAGGCACGCACCGCTTCCAGGTCAGCTGACGGTATTGGACAGGCAGACCGGCTGGCTGGCTGGGAGGCAAGTCTGTGGCGTGGGTCTGCCCCTGTGCCTGAGGTTCCGAGCGCCCTCACTCACTCGGGAGCTGTCTCAAATGGCACCACTTGTTTCTGCATCTCAGTTGCTGGAGGGCTACGCCCACGGGGACAGACCTTGTCCTTGCTTAAAGCCTCCCTGACTTCACTGAGGACCCTGTAACGGGAGATGCTCGTGTGCATGAACAGACTAGGAAGAATCCTCAGAGGCCTGTGGACCAGGAAGCCAGGCCTAGGAAGGGCAGGGGGTGTGGCGCTGGGGGCAATGGGAGGGTTCACTCTTGCTGTCCCTGCTGCCTTCCAGTGACAAGACAGCCCGGTACCTGTACTACTGTCACCTGAAGGAGCAGGTGCTGAGGTCCAGGTGCGAGCACAGAGAGGAGGTCTACTTTCTGCTGGCTGCCTGTGGGTTGCAGGCTGATCTGGGGGACCACCAGGAGTCGGTCCATGTGGGCAAGTACTTCGAGCCTCAAGCCTACTTCCCACAGTGGGTAAGGCTGTGTGGCACCTCCTTGGGGGGGTGGGAGGCGCGGGATGGGGGTGATGTCTCTGCTCACCCAGAGGAAACTCTGCAATCCATGAATGAAGGGGAGGGTGAGGGGTTGGGGACGGGCCAGGGCATGGAAACAGAGGGACCCAAGTCCAAGCAAGGGTGTGACACCGCAGAGGCCGGCAGCACGGTGTAGGAGCCGCAGGGCCGGAGCAGGCTGTGCCTTCAGCCCTCCATGAGCCAGCTAGCTCGGCATTGGCCTGCCCAGCCTCTCAATGCCTCAGTTTCCCCACCTACGACCCAGGCAGGACAGGTGGTGAGCAGGAGGTGCCTCTCCTCTGTGTGTGAAATCCTGGTCTGACTGCCGCGCTGAGCATAGGGTTCCAGGGACTGCGGGCGCTGGCCCACCCCTCCCACAGCCCTCCCTCCCTCCTTTCCCAGCCTCTGTGCCTCAGGCCTCACATATCTCTCTGCAATGCCAGCCTAGAGGGCCTCCCTCAGCTGGCACACACTTCTGTCCCTCATTGGAGCCTTTGATTTCATCCAAGGTTTCCTCACTGGGCGGGTTCCCTGAGAGCCGTGGCCTTTGGGATGAAATGAGTTCCACAAACCTCCAAGGGGGTGAGGACGCTGTTTCCGTGTTCCCCATGGGCGCGTGGTTAACACACACAAGAGAGGGGGTCGGAAACAAAGATTTAGGGGTGTCCATATCCTCGCCTCTGGATCTGAGGCTAAGGCAGAAGGCCCAACCTGCTCGTCTCTAGCTAGGAAGTTGGCTCTGGGTGTCAGTCCAGAGAAAGGTCAGGGTGGGGTCTGAGCTGGCAAGGTGTCTCTCTGTCCTCAGATTATCAGCAGCAGGGGAGCTGACTACATCCTCAGGCATGTGCCTGCCATGCACCGCGAACGGCGGGGCCTGAGCCCCAAGGAGGCCGTACTGGGCTTCATCAGGGCTGCCTGCCGCCTGGAGGACGTCCCTGTACACTTCTTCAGGCTGTACAAGGTCGATGCCGCGGTGCGGGAGGAACCCGGGGCAGGGGTGGGTGTCTCCCCCGTGACAAACGTGACTAAGACTCCAGGTAGTGTGGGTGGGACTGTCCTCAGGACCTGGGTGGCGCGTGATGAGTTGGAGAGTGACTTGGTATGTGGCGTGCTGGGTTTCTCTGGTGTCTGAGTCCTGTTAAAAAAATCCCGCTTGCCCAGCCTCCACTATAACTGGTCTGGCCTAACGGTGGCTGTTTTGCCTGGCCATTCTGGCGGCCTCTCACACGCCGCCTGGGCACAGCATGGCCGCTGTTCTCTGGGGACAGCCTCCCCACGAGGGGCGCTAAGGGTGGGGCTTTTATTTGTGAGGTTCACGAAGTTCAGATGTCTACGGGTGACGCGTGTACCCTGGGTGGGCTGTGGGGTGGCTCAGGCATAGGCGGGGCAACAAGAGGAGCCTAAACAGAGCTCCCGGTCTGTGGGGCCTCCACCCCGTTAGACGGACCCCCTTCCACCTGCGCCAGGGCCAGGGCCTCAACCTCTCTGACCCACGCCCTTTTAGGAAAAGAAGGAAGATGGCCCTAGCATCCTCCTGGGACTCGCTCTGAAAGGAGTGCTCATCTACCGGGTGAGGGCTCCTTCCGGTCCTCGGCTCTCCTCCCCCCTCCACTCCTCCATCCCCTGCTGTCCCAGCCCTGACCCCGTACTCTGGCTTCCACGTGACTACTGTCTTTCAGGAGGCGGACGACGACGCGCAGCTGCTCTTCGACTTCCCCTGGCCACGTATTTCGAAGGTGACATGTCTGGTGGGTGTCTGGAGCGGTTGGGCATCCACAACACTCAGGAAGCCCTAAGAATGGAGAGCCTGCAACCTCATTCTCAGAGACCCCCATGCCCCCCACACGCACACCCCCAGACACCCCCCAGTCGTGTTGGTCCTCACGGCCGCTTCCGGTGCCACAGCCGTGGTGGTATGAAGCCTCTGAGAGACGTATAGCTCTGGGCACCACCAATTTCTGAGCTCCCTACTCGGCAACAAAGAGAGGGAACCCGGTACCTTAGAGACGCACCAGGCAGCTTCCGTCCTCCTTACTTGTTCCCAAAGCTGTTTTTCTGGGCCCACAGCCGCTACAGCGACTGGAGAGCAGGCCAGCCCTGGAGAGTGCCCAGGGTTCACTGCAAATCCTGAATTTAAAAGACTTGTGGGCAGTCACAGGCAGGGAGGTCCTACCCAGGAGGGCCGCCCCAGGGTCCTTCTGCCTTTTCAAGGCTGGGACAAACGTTACTGAGTCACAAGGACCGGAGAGACCTATTCCCACAGGGACACCAAAATTCTCCACACCGGGAGCGTGGGGCAGGGCCCAGCCGGGGCTTGTGGCTCCAGTTAAGGCATTTCTCCCCTGCTGCTGAGACAGTTTTCTGGACATGGGATCACACTGACCTTCCTGTCTGACCAGGGGAAGAAGCTGGAAATCCAGCCGGAAGGACCCCTGGCAGCACAGAAGCTGAGGCTCTACACGGGCTACACCTGGCGCTCCCGCTACCTGCTGCACCTGCTTCGCGCCACCCACCGGCTCCACCTCAGCCTGCGGCCTGTGCTGCAGTGGCTACAGCAGCTGGAGGAGGCAGAGGGTGGGTGTGATTACCCACCTGGGTGTGGGCACCTAGCTGATGGCCACACATCCTCTCTAGGGTCTGAGATATAGCAAATCAACCCTCGAGACACACACACATGCACGCACGCATGTACGCACACACACGAATGTACACATGCACACGCATGCACACACGCACGCACGTGCGCACATACGCATGCACACACACACACACACACACACGCATGCACACGTGCACACATGCACACGCGCGCACACACACACTCCTGAGGCTGGCCGGCTATTCTGGGCTCCGCAACCAGGCTACACCTTCTGGTGCACCCACCGTTGCTGGAGGTCCTGCTCCCCTTTGTGTGTCTGGGTGACAGGTGAGGACGGACCATCCCTAACTTCACTCTGCACACGGTTCTACAGTGTCTTACTCCTCACACACCCTTAGCCCTACAAGGAGCCAGAGCCAGAGCCTGAAGGTGCTGCCCAAAGACCCAGGGTTCTCTCTTTTCCCAAGTCTCCACAGAGACGGGACCTACGTGGCTGCACGCTGAGGCCCGCTGCAAAGGCAGGACTCGTGTGTGTGTGTGTGTGTGTGTGTGTGTGTGTGTGTGTGTGTGTGTGTGTGTGTGTGTGATATGAGTGTACCTGAACAGATCTGTGAGACACGACTGAGCGGACCTCTGTGCCTGTGCTAGGAGGCAGGTCGCTGAGGATTCTGGGTGCAGACGCCAAATCGGTGTATCCTCAGAACCAGCAGAGGCAGCCTGTTCTCACCCAGTCCCGTCCTGGGTGACAGGGCACCAGGGCTGCTCAGGATGTGGCTAAGAGACAAAGGTGTCACAGCCTCGAGAACCATCCCAACAGGATGCCAGGAGGCAGCTGGTGACAAGTTCCATTCACGGCTGTCTGGCCGTCACCAGGGGCATGAGGGGTTCACCCCTCCCCTCCGAGGGCAACGTTTTGCCCATGCACCTAGGTTTGGCTGCATCCACAGCGCTGACCAGCCCTGGCTCCAGGAATGTGGAAGACACTTGGTCCCCCCTCCAACACCGGCTGTCGTGTTGTTTCCCACTCAGAGAGGAAATGCTACCGGGAATCCTACATCAGCGATCCTCTGGAGCAGGACCTGAACCCACGCCGCAGGGATTACCTGGGCAACGAGGAGGACGGTATGGACAGCAGACGGCAATCCCTCCTCCTCTCACTGTGCCCCCAAAGCCACGGCAGCTCCCACACCGCGGGCATCAAGCTCTACTCCCTGCGCGAGGAGCGTGAGATGTCTGTGGATGAGCCCACAGGGACTGAGAGGCTCTGTAGGACGACGCCATCCAGCAGTTCCTGGAGCGGCTTTCAGCAGCCAGGACACCTGCACCAAGGGCAGAGGTGAGCTGTAGGACCGGGTAGCAACCGCCTGAGCTAGCCAAAGCTAAATTTATTCCCTGGGTGTGGGATAAAACGGCCACTCGGGGCCACATGGTATCTCATACTCAGGGTCAGGCAAATCTGTCACTAACGCCAGCCGCCCTTGGTCTCTGAAGTTGAGTGCAGACTTTACAGGACACATCGGTGGCCCAAGAATGAAATCACATGAATGTGGGCTGCTGGCAGCTCCCTGGGAAGAGGTGTCATTCCCAGACCTGCAGAGAGGGGGCTCCTCAGCTTCCATGAACAGCAACCTCTTCCCCTCCTAAGCCTGACTGGAGCCACTTTGGGGAGGACATGACATCACATGTCAGATAGAGCCCAGACACCCCGGGCGGCACATCTGGGATTCTGCATAGCTTAGACGGGCAGATGGCCTCATCTCAGACGGGCATTTGGTCCCTGCTTCAGAGTTACGGCAGGAGAGGGACCAGGGCAGGCTGGGCCACAACAGTGGGTCTAGGCCAGTGTGGGGTCCTCAAGTGGCTGTGTGTGCAGATCATCACTCCCGCCTTTCACCGACCTCTGTCATTCAGATTCCATCATTCATTCAGCTGCTATCAGTCCCCCCAGGGGCCTAAGACCTTGAGTTCCCACTTCCCTAAGGCACCAGAGAGACTAAACCAGAGGCCGCTTAAAACCTAGGCGGAGGACAGTGTGGGCTCCATGCTCCTGGGCTGTCTCTGGACTGCGATGTAGGCGCCTGCGAAGCATCCCCTGGAGATCAGAATATGGTTGGCCAGCAAATGCGACACTGGACTCACAGAGAGTTACGAAGAGCTAGAAACTGAGAGCAGAGAGCCTGGGGGGGAAGAGGAGGTGGGGGACTGTCATCACGGCAGAGTCCAGGCCCAGAGTAGCGAGCCAACACACCCTGAGGCTCTCAGCCTGGATTAGAGCCGGCTCCTTTAATAGGGGAACTTGCACCCTCCCTCCCAAAGCAGCCTGGCTCCCAACTAGAGGCTCTACTCTGAAGGACTTGACTCTGAAACACACTTCCAAGAGTCCCGCAGACAACGGACCCTGAGAATAGCTCTCCTATCTCCACCCACGTGTGTCAGGGCCCTCCAGCCAGATCCAACGGCCCGCCCGTCGTGGCTGAAAAGCGTGACTTTGAGCATCACTGCAGTAGGAAGGCTACTCTCAGCTGATGGGAACCCACATAGTCTGAGGACAGGTGACGGCCCTTGGAATCTCGGGCATTCCCAGGGCTGGTGTGTGGTGACCATATCCAGAGCCGTTCCTCATAGACGCAGAGTACCGAGGCTTCATGTTCAGAAAGGCAGCCATGGGGAAGGAGGCCCCGGGGCTGGACAGCACCTCTGGGGTCAGCGTGGGCCCCAAGGGTCCTACACTGTGTCATGGAGCCTCCAAAGAACCCCTGGAACGCACCAGAGCAACAGCCAGCCCACAGCCCGGCCTGGGGCGCCATTAAAATATCCAGTATTATCAGGGAGACTAAGGTGGGGGTATGCAGCTGTTGCATGCTGGGTAGTCAGAGGAAACAGGACGAGGCAGGCAGAGCGCACCAACAGGATGGTCTATCGGGTCCTGAACAGATTGGCTACGCTAGACTTAGAATGATCTGGGTAGAGCTGGGGTCCTGGCATTGTAACGACACAAAAACAAAACAAACAAACAAATAGAAAACCAAAACACCAGTAGGCAGGATGAGAGCTACCACACTGCTAAATCTCTCTGTAGGTCGGGGAGGTGGAGGCTGACCATAGGGGTGACCAGCATCTCCACAGCCTGAACAACATGCGGCTTCCCAGCACCTTCCGACTTCCTCACCCGGCTGCACCTGGGACTGCATGCTGCTGGAGCTTCCGGTGCCCCCTAGAGTCCAGGGCTGCTCTTACCGGCAAGGCGTTCACAAACTACCTCTCCCCGTACAGGCCTGGCGAAGAGTCACCCCTGCTGGACTTTGTGGTATAGGCAAGAGCCTCACAGCAGTCCTGTCTGTGCCAGCCAGCCAGCTTGGAAGGTGACTCGGTGGCCTTGGGCCAGGTCTGGGCAAGGCCTTCAGTCAGTCCCCTCTTCTTTGACTGCTCACCCGTAGGAGGGGTGGGGCAGCTCTGACCTTTAGCCTAGAGGTAGGCGGGCAGTAGGCATGGACCCTGCTCTTCCTGCCTCGGGCTGTAAGTGCCCAGGTCTCTCATGGCATAAATGTCTGAGGGACCCAGGAGTCAGCATTAGCCGTGAAGCGGAGGGCTCTTGTCTTATCTGTGTGAAGAAGGCATCACGGTGGCATTAGAGCCAGAGCTGGCTGCACCAGGGTCTCCACGCTGGCTGGGCTTCCAGGTCACAACTCTTTTTTTTTTTTTTTTTTTTTTTTTTGGTTTTTACGAGACAGGGTTTCTCTGTATTGTTTTGGAGGCTGTCGGTCCAGCCCAGCCTTGAACTCACAGAGATCCGCCTGCCTCTGCCTCCCGAGTGCTGGGATTAAAGGCGTGTGCCACCAAAGCCCGGCCCAGGTCACAACTCTTAAGTGTTGCAGCAAACTCAGGGGCCTCTCCTGCAGCGTGTGGCTCGGTCCCACCCAGAGACCCCTGCCACTGCCTATGCAAACAAGACACCGTTAGATGCAATGGGGTCTTTCCCTTTAGAAGAACTCCCCTTATTCCCCCCCCTCGGGCTGTGGGGGCTCCCTCTGCCTGGCCATGACAGTGTCACCAGGGCAGTGGTGTAGGACTGTTTAGGGATCTCCTCCACATCCTCACCACAGCCAAAATGGTGTAGGAGCCATTGAACAGGTGTGATTTATGGGCTCTGGGAAGACCTATTGGTGTGAGGGCCGCATCTGGGCACCCTTCTAATGGCCACCAGTCTGGCTGGCCGGGCAGGGCAGCCCTTCCTCGTCTTAGGCCACGCCTCCCTGTGCGTCCTGAGCCCAGGCAGAGTGTGGAGTAGTGCCAAGCAGGGAGGGTGGTGGCTGAGGTACGACTCACACAGGGGAACGGGTTGGACTGAGGGTCCCATTCCCTGGACACTGTGATACAGAACAGATGGGGAATTGTGGATAAGAGAGGACACCCAGGGCTCTCCCAAACATTAGTGTACCCCATTGGTACTGAGGGGGGCTAATTACCCCTGACTGAGAGGCATCCATCTTCCATCAGAGAATCTTTGAGAACAAGGAACCCTAGTGTCAGTGGAGGTCTGTGTCAGCTGTGGGTGCCAGGTGTGGGGCAGGGCTTGTTTCAGGACATGCCCTCAACACACACTGGCATACATGCACACACACACACACACATACACACACGCACACAGGCACACATGCACACACAGAGACACACGACACACAGGCACACATGCCCCCCACACACATCTAGGCACACATGCACATATAGGCATAAATACACACACACAGGCACACATGCACATATAGGCATACATACACACACACAGGCACACATGCACACACAAGCATGCACACAGGCACACATGCACACAGGCACACATGCACACACAAGCATGCACACAGACACACATGCACACAGGCACACATGCACACAGGCACACATGCACACACAGGCACACATTCATGCACACACAGGCACACATACATGCACACACACAGACACACATGCACACACAGGCACACATTCATGCACACACAGGCACACATACATGCACTCACACAGGCATACATGCACACACAGTCATGCACACAGGCACACACATGCACTCACACAGGTACACATGCACACAAACCCACCACATCCAGGAACAGGAATACAGACAGACGGTGATCACCATGACACAAAGCCGTCTCAGGGAGTCAGGGATGTGTCCAGCTGCCCTGCCTTAGCTTCTCCTTACCACATATGCCCCCAGAGAGTGTGAGTCAGAGGCAGCCCCTCCCCTCGCTGGTGCCCCTATCCCTCAAGCTCAGGTGAGGTCACTCTGAGCCTCCATGTCTTTGCCTGGCCTCAAGCAGGTCACCTGGCCCTGGGGTTCCTAGGTGCCCCCAAGGGAGAAAATAGCCCGTCTTTCATTGTTACACTGATGCTCACAGAGCTGGCTCCTGGCGGGAGTCAAATGTGGACAGGAACTTGGCAGGGCCTAGGCCTCCGGCTTTGTCAGTGCCCTCTTCACTGCAGGGCACCTGCAGAACCAATATGCTCCCGACAGAGCTGAGTGTGTGCCGGGCAACGTGCCTGAGTGTGGGGAGCAGCACTGTCGCGGCATGTCCCCCTCTGAACCTGGGCATGTGTGTCTGTCCTCATCAGAGCACGGCCTGTTGTTACAGCTGTTTTTCATCATGTTTGGAAATAGATCCGCAAGAGCCCAGCTGGGTCTTCCAGCCCTCAGGGAGCACGCCTCGTGTTCAGTTGTCCCCCGTGAGTCCCCTTGGCCCAGGGATGTAGTTTCTACTCCCTCAAGAGCAGCAGGGGTCGCTTCAACCCACCCTTGGTGTGTGTGTGCAGCGACTAGAGCTTCGCGGAGGTGAGGGCCCGTGCCCGGTGTCTTCCCACACGAGAGGGCAAGGCCATTGGCTGACCCTGAGAGGCCACATGGGTCCCACAGGGATTCCTATTTCTGTCCTTCCTCTGGGCCTGTGGACAGGCGTGGGGAACCCTGCCAAGGGTCTCTGACCACCAGATTACACAGAGCTGCAGACTGCGGCCGTGTCCCTCGGGGAATGGAGAGGACGATTAAAGGCCGGGCTCTCTCCGTGCCTCTGCCCGAGACGGTTCACTGGGGCAATCAAGGAAAGGCGGGGGCCGGGGGGAGCGTAAGAAGGGGCCGAGAGGCAAGGTTCCCCCCAGGCTCCTTCCTGTGTCCGTCCACGGGGCTGGAAAAGGAAAGCCACCCCTCGGGGTCCCTCTGGTCCCTGAGCAGGGGCTGGAACTCTTTTCTTACTAGTTACCCAATGCAGAGTGGCTTCCCATAGCGGCCAGTCCTATGGCAGGGCCAGGCTCAAGGTAGAGTTCCGTGTCCAGATTCAAGAGATCCTCCCAGGTGCGTGCCTAGCCAGCAACGTCGCCCTCCAGGGGCATTTCCACAGTGCTCGCGGGGACTAGAGCCCAAGAGTCCAGTGGGAAAAGGAGATGAGGACCTCTGGGTAGGGGTGTACAGATAATGGTGGCTGCTCAGGTGATGTGGACGGCAGAGCAGACCTAACCGGAAGCTCTGGCTCCCCTCCTCAGCAGGCGGAAGCCAGACCGCCGTTCTACATTCCACTTCTGACGGGGAGGGCCTTCGCTTTACGAATGTCTCTGACCCGGGGGTCTCGTAGAGCTAGTTGCTCGAGAAACAAGTGATAGGGACAGGCAGGGCAACTATCCCAGCACCCAATGAGACAAAGCTTTGGGGCCCCCACGGAACACTGGCATGGCTGCAGTTCTGAAAAATGTGCAGAGGACGACATTTTAGCCATGTGTGGCTGGGATCTCGTGCCTTTCCATTGATATCATCTCCCTTGTGGCAATTAGTGGTGCCAGAGGACCTTGCAGACGGCTGCACCTCAAAGCCTCAGAGGGAGATGTGTCAACTCAGAGCCATGAGAGACAGCCACCGGCTGGGTGTGTTATGGCTCACGATAGGGCGGCAGGCTTCCTGGAACTTGGCAGCCCTTGGCTCATTCCATTCTGGACAGGATAGCAGAGTGAAGTCACCCTGTCATGATCCCCCCGTCCTCCGTAAGCCAGAGCACACAGACCTGGGGTCACACAGATAGGATACAGACACAACAGAACCAGCCTCCGAATCATACCGCTGCAATTTCGGGATCTTAAAGGGCCCTCTGTGTCCCTGGTTCCCATTCTGTAGGGGTCAACCTGAGCAAGGGGCAGGGGAACAATGAAACCCTTATCTGTCTCTCTGTAACTGGCCAGGCCCAGTGTCCCCATAGGCCTATGTGCTATGTGTCTGGATTTCTGTGCCAGCCTGGTAACACTGAGGCACATCTCAGACCATCTGAGAATCAAGAAGTAGAGTTATGGCACTAAAACTATTTCCTGGTAACATGCCCTCTTCAGCTACACACAATGCCAACAGTAGGTGGATCCTACTAGCCATCTTCTGGGCATGCGACAATGAGGCCAACCCGTGCTGCCCCTGGCATCCATGCTGGACTCCGGGGCAAGTGGAATGCAGTCTAAGTGTCAAGAGCCCTAACAGCTACTCACAGCTCAACAGAGAAGAGCCTGAGGGCTTGTCACTGCTTCTCTTCAATGTGGGGCTTATTGTCACTCATGCCCAGTCTGGGACCTCAGCTCCCTAAGGAGGTTTGGTGCGTGTGACCCTGGCACTGTGCTAATTCTTGTAGGCTTCACATGGCCAGTGTTGACCCTCTGGGTTTCCACCTCCATCACACAGCTAGGAGAGTGGGAATGGGGCATTGAATTGTCTGGAACACGGAGCTGGGGGCAGGCAGGCCTGGGGGCAGGCAGAGTGGGAGCAGGAGGGGCTGGGGGCAGGTGGGGTTGGGAAAGGCAGAGAGAGAGCAGACAGAGCTGACGTACAGCTCTGGAACCTTACTGTGCAGACCCTGGGCCTCACTATGTGCCCCGAGCTGACGGCCTCAGCCTGCCTTACAGTCTCCCTCACTGTGTGGCAGACAATCCTGCTCCTTTTCCAGACGTGGGCCCAGCCATGCTCCTATCCAGAAGTCTCTCCAGCCAGCTTCCTCCCCTAGCATGCTGAGCTCAGTAGATGTGGGGCAAGGCTAAGCCTGGGCCCAGGGAGCAAATGACCCCCTCGAGGCCAAGAGAACACTGTTTATTCCTGAAGCGCACACATCCTAAAGCCAATGACTGACGAGAAGCAGCACGACTCAGGAAGGGGCCCGTGACCCCGCCAGCCCCACCCCTGGCTTCTGCATCTGGGGGCTGGGAGGTCTCCTTCTGGGTGCTCTTCGCTCAGCCTGCCGAGCTCGGGCCCCAAATGTTAGGCCCCGTAGAGTCTCTGCCATGTGCTTCTGCCCGGGGGACACACACAGAATCATCAGTAACTTCGCGTCACCACCTTAAGAAAAAACAAATTAAAGATGCCAGGTGTAAAGCAAGCAGGGACCAGGGGCATACAGAGAGTCTGCGAACACTTTGAGCAGAGATCGCATCTTATCAAACAAGTAGTAGAAGCCAGCACAGGCCCTGGGGATGGAAGCCCTCGGTGGGGTCCTGCCTCCACAGCTTAGAGACCCAGCCACAAGACCGTGCCTGCCACAGTGAAGAGGGTGACGATGACAGTCCCTCTGAAGAACTCTGGAGAAAGGCCCGCTGTCCAGGCCGCCCTGCAGCATAACTAACACACGGTGTAAGCCATAGTGACCCTAAAGTCCTGAAGACACTGAGGACGGGACCCGGCAGAGCCGTAGCTTTGCCAACGACTGCGAGGCTTGGGCAAAGGGACAAGCAGGGGTGGGACTGCTCCCTAAGGCTTGGCTCTCTGTCCCCTTCTGTTTTGGGAGACAAACCAATGGAATCTTGGAGCAGGTGGGTGAGCTTGCTGTTCCGATACGGGATGTGGTCACGGTGCTCTGACAAGGCTCCAAGGACATCTGCGAGGGCCGCCAGACTCCGGTTGATGAAAGAGGTCTCCTTCAGTGCCGAGCCGGTCACCCCAGACACTGCTGGAGAGTGTGGAGACCAGCCACATGTGAGCATGTGCTCGGGATGGGGACAAGGTGGTTCTTGGGAGGGACCATGTAACCTGCCCAGTTTCTGGGGGAGGTACCATGGCCTGTCAGTCATTAAGACGAGCTCCCCATTTGTCTAACTGCTGGTAGCAGTTCCTCAAGGCATGGACCCCAGCACGAAGAGCTTAGGAAAGTAGCATGGGTCTAACATGGCCCTCCGTGCCAGCTCCCGGTCTACTCGGCCGCGTTGCCCTCTGCCGATGCTGGCGTGCACCCCAGGGCTGACCTTTCTGATTCCTGCTCACCTGCACACTCACTGCCAGCCAAGTCCACAAGCTGCAGCCTGGCCAGCGCCTGCCCGGGAGGGTCTGCAGAGTCCACCGGAACGGCATGTGGAGATGAAGCCGGGGGAGGGGTGATCCACCAATTACCCGCCCCTGCTTTTTTCTGGGGGGAAGCTCCGCTGGACTGTGGAGCTGGGAGAATGACAACCAGGAAAGTCACAAGGGTCTACTCAGCCTTACGTCAGTATGAGGGCTGAAAGCTCGCCCTTCAGCCCCTGCTTCTCACTCCCTTGTAGAAACAGGTAGTTAGGAAGTAGACAGAGCAACAATCCTTGCCCCTTCTTGGGGGGAAAACGGCAGCGTGTGCTGAGCTAAGGATGGTTGAGCTGACGCCTGATCGGTTCCCCCAGAACTGAATAATGTGGTTGGAAAGTGGTGGTGGCCGTGTGAACTAAAACCACAGGCAGAACAGGAATCTGCGTGGGGGCGGGGGTGTTACATGGCGGACCGCCTTGAACTCTAGACAACCAATGCTCACTGTAATGCTCACTTGGGTCCTGAGAGATACCTAGAGGGACACCAGGGTAGTTTTCCGGGAATGACTTCTATATCTTGAGCTGACCTGGCACAAGTGTCAACTTACCAGTGCTGCCCAAGGATGAAGCTGTGGTCAGTGTTGCCGTGACCATCAGGTGAGACCGGGAAGAGTTCTTGTGCACCAGGGTGGGGTGCTGCACTCTGAGCTTCACACCCCTGTGAATGAGCCCCACAAATTCCACAGCACTGGTGACAGCCCTGGCGGAGGACAGCACAGGTCAGAGGACACCCGGGGGTGATGTGGAGAGGGTGCTCACGTTAACCTAAGCTTACTCAGCGACAGACAGTTCCCATGTGAGCTAAGTGTGCCAAGTTCAACAAAGCAGACTGGGCCTGTAGTCACAAACACTCAGAAAGTACAGTAGGAGGATCACAAGTTCAAGGGTAGCCTGGTCTACAGCGTGAGTTCAAGGCCAGCTCGGGCAACTTGGTGACACCCTTTATCTAAAAAGTACAGAGGGCTGAGGATATATATTAGCTCAATGGTAAGACGCCCGTGTGAGAATCAAACTGCTGAGCTTTGACGCCTCTCCCTGCTCGCCCTGAAACACAGGGTGTTCGAGTAAGTCAGAGGTCCGAGCTAGCGCACTTCAGCCACGCTCTTCCCTTTCCAGTGTGGCAGGTGGCAGACGGAGGCTTGCATTAGCAGAGCAGCATGCTGAGCAGGGACCATCGGTAAAGGGCTGGTTCCTACTACTTTCTGTGAACACATCACAGCTCACCATGTGCCTTCTGCAGGCTTTTCCAGCCTTACACATAGCTTGGAAACCTTCCCTGCTGTGAGCGCTGCAGTGGGCAACCTGACCCTCGTCCTCTCAGCGGAGCAAGAATCCCCTAGTTGGCACTATGATGGGAGGCGGGTGCACCTTGAGTCCCACGGGGAGCAAGCCTGGCACAGCCGCACTCTCCTTGACAAGCGAGTAATGCTGAGAAAGTTCAGCAAGTAAGATGTTTCTCATTTTCCAAAATGACTATGGCATCCCCTAAAATACTGATATTTCCAGGTGTAAATAATTATACTTGTCCTTGATTGAGTGGTGCATGTGTGTGTGTGTGTTGCATGTATGTGTGGTGTATGTGTATGTGTTGTGTGTATGTGTTGCGTGTGTGTTCTGTATGATGTGTGTGTGTTGTGTATGAATGTATGTTGTGTGTGTATATGTGTAGTGTGTGTGGTGCGTGTATGTTCTGTACGGTGTGTGTGTAGTGCGTGTGTGTGTGTTGCGTGTGTGTGTGTTGTGTGTGTATGTGTGTGTTGCATGTATGTGTAGTGTGTGTGTATATGTTGTGTGTATGTATTGCTTGTGTGTGTTCTGTATGGTGTGTGTGTTGTGTGTGTATGTGTGTTGTGTGTATATGTGTAGTGTGTGTGTATATGTTGTGTGTATGTGTTGTGTGTGTTCTGTACGGTGTGTGTGTGTGTATGTTGCGTGTGTGTGTGTGTTCTGTATGGGGTGTGTGTGTGTGTGATTAGATATAGAACTCAGTGTCATTGCATGCTACCATTGAGCTCCCCCATCCCTTTTATCTTTATCTTTAAAAGAGCTTTTTAAAGATATCTTTGACATATAAAGCCTATGTATGTTGGAGGCATGCATCTTGATGCTCTGATAGACAGTATGTTGTGAGACACTCAAAGCATTATAGCTTGTTAAGATCTCTGCTGCCTCTGCCGAGTGAGCCTTGCAATATACTGAGTTTGTGTGGCACACAGACAGTGCACTCCATGGACCGCTTCACAGGCTGGTAGCTCTGACTCCATCCCACACACAGCTGGGAGTGGACTGCTGTAAGGCTAGTACCTAACTTACAGGGAGTACTGGACCCCATGAGCAGCTCACCTGCAGGTCAGCCTGGGCACCTCTGAACGTCCCTCCTGGGTTGACACCATCTGGAACTTAGTCCCCGACATCACCGTAGAATTATCTTTGGCCAGGAGGTCAAAAACGTTGTTATTATAGATTTCTACTATGGAAACATCAACCTTTGGACTTCTTGAAGGGTTTTCTGAAATGAGCCTGGGAGAAACACAAGAATTAAGGCATCGAGGAAACCCAGTTCGGCCCCTCACAGAAGGATTATAAGAATGACTCATGAGGGTAGAAGGCACATGACCTGTAAGAAATGGAGTGACCTCACTAGCAGCAGGGTCACTGGGGAGAGGAAACCTGGAATCCTGTCTTGAGAACAAAGCTACCTCGTAGGAGCTGTCTGTCACCAGCTACTATAGCAATAGGTGCCTTTGGTACTCAGCACCCACCATGTGGAGAGTTGAGAAGAGCAGGGCTTAGACCCAGAAGCCTACTCTGTTCTCCGTCAGGCACAGCTGCGGGCTGCAGCTTCTGAGCAGCTTTACTCAAGGTTAGTTTATCTGAGGGCCTACCTGGTGAGAGGAAGACTGGGCCACAGCTCCCTCTTTGTACCCAGGCCATGCCCTTGGGCCTTCCTGAGGCTGCCTACGAGAATCACAGTGCAGCCCTGCTCCGGCCTGGGCTCCCTCCCCTCTTCCTGGGCTCCCTCCCCTCTTCCTGGTTGGTGCCACGTGAAGAAGTCACATTACCAGCTCTTGTTGTCCCAGTCACCAAGCTTTCCCCACTTCCATGGACCATGACCTCAGATAAGTCCTTCTTCCTTTAAGTTGTCTCTGGTAATCTATCACAGCACTGAGAAAGTAACTAACATATGCCCACCAGGAATGAGGACACTCAGACATTGGCCAGGGACGTGACCCAATTTCTAGATAGTTCCCTGAGTTTTCCAACACCCAGCAGGTCCATCCAGGGCTCCTCGGGTCCAAAGTCTTGGGATCCTTCTGGGCTTCTCTGCTGTCCCGATCGTAAACTATAGCTTGAGTGGAAACGTGACCCATCGCGGGTAAATGCCTGCTTTAGGTTGAGACTCCCGTAGGCAAGCCCATGGCTCATGGGAACTTGACAGAGTAAAGCTCACAATGTTTTGAAGACAGGTTTCTCCATCTACGAAGATTTTGTTTTGGAACATTATTACCAGATGAGAGGCAAGCCAGCAGGAGCCGGGTTTACCTATCAGGGAAATTCACTGCTGGCTGTGTAGACAGGGGAGTCTCCGGGAGCAGAGAGCATTTGCAGATTCAGGATAGAGGCCTGGGTCCCTCAACCCTGGGCCACTAAGGTCTGTCACCTGAGTCACCTGAGTCAAGCCGTCTCTAGCTGTCTCTAGCCTGCCCCACTGGGAAGAGGAAGGACAAGGCATGATGTCTCCAGCAGATGGCGCACACAGAGCAGTCCACACGCACTGTTTCCACACGTAGGGGAGTCTGGCTGTGACAAACCCTGGAAAACGGTGCCCTCAAATTCTGGTATTGCCCAACAAGTTAAAGACATGCCCCCCGTGGATGGGGGTGCATGTTCTGAGGGGCCGCTCTCACCCTCAGAGCTGCATGTCTCTGAGATTTGCAGAGGGCCTGCCCCTGCAAGCAGTGACCCAGGTTGGCTCGTCTCCTGGAAATAACAGCCACAAACAGTGGAAATTCAGCAAGGATTGTGCAATGTTTTTTTTTCCAGAAGCAGTTAGTACACGCAAATTGATAAACACATATGTTCATGTGCACAAATATTTAATGAATGCTGGTTTGAAGAGGAGGGGGTGGGAGCTCTCACGTCATTGTCTGGCTCTGGTGTTTAGGACATGGATGGGCGACACACCAAGAGGAATTCCAGGGACAAAGCCACTCCAGGGGTCGGGAGCCTGAAGGAACTGGCCTTGCTGCAGACATGGGGGTGGGCAGCCAGGAAAGTGGGCTCCCAGAGGACCTCTAGTGACAGCCGCAGGGACGGTCGCGTGGACCACAGCATCCAGGCTGTCCCACTAAGTCTTCTGGAGACCACCTTTGCAGCCTTCCTCCTGGGATGCCTTTTGTCATCCTGGCAGGCAGCAGCAGGCATCCTCTGGGGATGTGCTAAGGGACCAGGGGGAGTCTGATGGGTCATAGGACCGTCTATAACAGCTGAAGCATAGGCTCCCTAGGCCCGCCCTCCCCAAACGTAACCCTACCCACCCCTCTACTGTGACCTGTCTTACTGAGAGCTCTCTCAGGAACTTCTGCCCTAACACCAGACTTCCCATGCAAACCCGAGGTGAGAACATACAGCCAATGCGTCAAGGGCACCCAGAAGCCAGGGGCTGCTGCTAGGGTTGGTTGATTGGCCTCGGGCAGGAGCACCAGCTCTGCCGTCTTCTAACCCAGGCCTGTGCTCTCAGGGCTGGGTACCCACCAGCCTGCCCTGGGTCCTCACCACAGGGTGTACCTGAAGAGCTCCTCAGCGGCTCTGGGGATGATCCCCAAGTCTTCACGAGCACCTGACAACAGGGTGGGGTCATCTTCAGAGTGGGGCCCCAGCATGGTGTAGCTTTTCCCGCTTCCGGTCTGTCCATACGCCATAATGCAGACATTGTACCTGGAATCCAAAACCTATTCAGTACAGCGAACCATAACAGAGCCTGCGGGTCTCCAGCCGGACACAAACACCAGCGCTCCCCTGTGTCTCTGCTCCCTGTGAACCAGGTTTTCATCTACTTACGGTGTCATTTCTGCCATCCACCCATCCACAGGTCAGCCAGCCACCCTGTACAACCTCTTCCCTGAGTTAAGCTCACCTAACATACTCCTCAGCAGGTCGTCATCTTGGCCTCAGAAAGCTTTTACCGGAGCCCACTACTTAGCCCCTGTGCCAGCCTGTGGGTTACTGTCAATGATCACCTTATTAACTTTCAATGCGGTTGCAGAGTCGCCTTATATAAATCCATTTTCCTAAATCAGGCTTGTTAGACCTGAATGATGTGAGCCACCAAGTGGTTGCTGGGAATTGAACTCAGGACCCCTGGAAGAGCAGTCAGTGCTCTTAACCTCTGAGCCACCTCTCCAGCCCTAGACCTGAATGATGTAAAGCTTGCATGGTTTCCTTTGTAGGTATGCACAACGGATCCAGCAATGATGACTGTGGTTATACTCACAACAGCCACTTTATAAACATTTTCCTCTTTTACGTATATTTTATTTATTTACTCTGTGTAGTGCGTGTGCATGCGTGCTTGTGCGCATGCACGTGTTCCTCCGTGGCTTGTTTGTCACAGCACACATGTGGAGGTCAGGGGGACACCTTGCGGGGGTTGGAACTCTCCTTCCACCATGGGGGTTCCCGGGATGGACGGTAGGTTGTCAGATTGTCAGCAAGCATCTTTACCTACTGAGTCTTCTCAGCAAGCCATTATTCACTTTCAACACATAGCTTGTGATTCACCAGCCTGTGGCTTCTTGTTCCCAGTGGACACATGGGTCCCTAGGGCCTCTGCAATGGGCAGTGTGTGTTCCCTCAGCTCTGTGATCTGCTGCTTCGGAACAGTCGATTTCACCTACGTTTTTTCCCTAGCCATTTTATTTTAAACCAAACCATCGATGAGAGGACTGGAAACATTTAAAGTAGTATTTACAATTGTTTATGAGTTAAACTTATATTTAAGTTTTAAGACTTTCTTGGTTGTAAGGAAGCAGTCCTCTTGGTCCTAGTGCCCAAGGCTTATTGCAGGCATTCCCAGTGGCCTCTGGGATTCACCTGGAGATGTTCAAAAGTCCATGTACTCCTCACCTTGGACGTTTTGGCTTAATTACCTCAGTTCAGAATTATCTGCTTAGCCCTTGCAAGTTAAACAAAGAAGTGTCACTCTTTGCCCAGTGTTTCCGTGAAAGTGTTCAGGAAGGCGGGCATCTGTGTCACATCTGGACCATCGAGAGAGAGTGCAGAGTCCTGCCTCTGGGGCTATCTCACTCCATCCTTCGGGGCTCGGGGACCCTGAAGAGAACCCAGTGGGTCAGGACTCTAAGCCACCAGGTGATTTCCTTCTAGAACTGCAAAGACCCAGTGGGAACCACATCCCACGCCTCTGCCATCTTCCTGAAACTTCCTGTGTGCTTGTCCTCAGTGTGGTGTGCGGTCAGGCTCCCGCGTGTAGTTGAAGGAAGCGCCGCACTTGAAGGGATGCCCCGGGCTGGGCTGGAGACGGAAAGGCAAGTCTGGTAGGTGGTCCAGCCGCGATGCCCACTCCACTTAAAGGATGGGTGCTGACCGGATCCTCCCTGTCATTTCTGGTGAAGGGCCTATTTTGGACAGACGTAAAAACAGAGCGGAAGCAGGAAATGCATCCCAGATGAAGGGAGGATTGTCCCATGGACAAGTCCCCAAGTGGACCTTCCTTCGCAGATTGCCAAGCCTCTGGCCGCACAGCCCACTGGCTAAAATCAACAGTGTGGTGACAGCAGCTCTTCTTTGGGAAGTTCTGGGGAGGCTTCTCTAGAAAACCAAGTTTCTCAAAATGCTCTTAGGTTCCAAGTCTTGGCTTAGGGTGTAGCAATGCAGCCTCTGCCCCACAGCTGGCCTGTAACTAGTGACCATGCAATCCAAGATTAGAAGTGTGGTTGGTTCTCAAAGAAAACAGCTCCCCAGTCAGGCACTGCTGTTTTCGAAGTCTTTCATAATTTATACAGAACCTGGGTGGAATGTTCTGCAGATGCCTCTTAGGCCTGCAATGTCGTTTAACCGCAGTATTTCCTTTTGGGTCTGGGTGACCTGTCACTGGTAAAAGTGAGTTCCTGGAATCGCCTACTATTTCTGTGTTGTGGCTGATCTGAGGGTCTATGCTTAACAGTGTTTGTTTGAAGTATTTGTATAAAATCGGGTGCCCCCCACGTCTGGTGCGTACGTTTAGTACTGTAATGTTCCTCTTGGTGGATATTACGTAGTGACCTTTATTTCTTCAGATTAATTTTAACTTCCAATTTTTCAGTATTAGGATGGCAACACTTAGCCAGATGGTTGTGGCACACGCCTTTAATCCCAGCACACAGGAGGCAGAGGCAGGCGGATCTCTGAGTTTGAGGCCAGCCTGGTCTACAGAGTGAGTTCCAGGACAGCCAGGGCCTACACAGAGAAACCCTTCCTTGAAAAAACAAAGGGGAAAACAAAAAGAATAGTGACACTTTCTTGTTTCCTGGCTCTGTTTGTTTGGCATACTCTTTTCCATTCTTTCACTCCAGGGTGCTGTCTATCCTTGAAGGTGAGGTTTATTTCTTGTAGGCAACAACAACAATAAAATGGCTCCTGTTTTCTCATACAGCAAGCTAGCTTGTTTTTTTATGGCTGAGGAATTGAAGTTATTAATATTCAAGGCCATCATTAAAAGATGTGTATTAATTATTGCCCATTATTGTTTGTTTCCTGAAGCCTACTTTGCCTAACAACTATGCAAGCGGTCCATTTGTTTCCCCCTTGCAGCCTCATGGATGTGCTTGGCCTTCTCTTTAGCACTGGGCATCCCTTCCAGGGTCCTCTGCAGGCCTGGCTCAGAGGCCATAAATTCCCTTAACTTGTTTCATTGGGGAGTACTTTTCTTTCTCCTTCGATTACGACAGTTTTGCAGGACGTAGAAAAAGTCTGGGTTGGCATGTACCACCTCTCAGGAACTCGAAATACGCTGTTCCAAAGTCTCGTGGCATTTAAAGTTTCCACTGAGAAATCAGCTGCAACACTCAGCCTTAAACGGGACATGTATGCCACCCCTTCCAAGGCGCTGGGGACATCCTGAGAGAGAACACAGAAAGAAGGGAAGATCTCCGGGGTGAGGGGCAGGGCTGTGGACCGCAATCTTCTGAGCATGCAGCCATTACAGCCATGTATCCATGGAAGCTGCAGTTACCTACACCAGGCCTACACAAGACTGTGCATTTTGACCTGCAGCAGACACGGGGGGTGGCTCACTGGGCCCCACTCTCTCTGCTGAACTCTTGGCTACTAAGGGACTACAGGGGGAGGAGGCTGAATCCTTGCCTTCAGCTGTGGGTCCAATGCTGAGCCCACCAGCTCTCCTGGCTAATTCCAAATCTACTGTCACACAGGTGGTCCCAGATAAACTCAGAGGGTCACAGACGAAACAACATGAACATGAGACAGAAACTTGGGGGAGCAGGGGCTAAGAGAGAAGATAAGGGACAGTGTGGGGCAAGATTAACCAGAATGCGGGGTGTGCGTGTGCGTGCATGCGTGTGTGTGCGTGTGTGTGTGTGTGTGTCTGTACGCACGCCTGTGTGAAATTGCCAGGTTTAATTAGTAAAAACAAGACAGGACAAATCTGAACAGCTCTGAAGACTCAGGACATGAAGAAGGCAGCTCCTCCAGGCCGACGGTGGACCGGGTGGGAAATAGCACAGCTGGGAGCCCAGCTGCTCATTGGATGTTGGTCCTCACATCACTTGGCTCCAGGAGAGACAGTCTCCACTGACAGATGCTAAGCCGTGCTGGGGCAACACCAGCTCTCCTGTCTCCTCTCCCTTGGCCTCTCAAGTTCTGACCATCCTGTGGCCGGAATGAGGGGACCTCACATTCAAATGTGACTATGGCACTGACGTTGGGAATATCTGAACTCACCCATCCAAAAGCGATATGAGGAGGGGGCGCAGATCTTCAAACACCACTGCCTGAGATGCTGCTGGACCGTACACTCTGGGAGTAAAGAGAGTGTCAGGTGAGTTTGAGAGGCAGAGAACTCCCATTGTATAAACACAGAAACCCGGGGGCAGTATGTCCTACAACTTCCCGTGCAGAATGCTGGCAGACAAAAGTCATATGAGAGCTGACCGCCTGCTGCTTTTCAAGCTGGCAGGGGCTCAGGGGCAAGCTGTCCGTTCACCTTAGAGGGTTAGGACGGCAGGGGCGTGGGAGGAGGGGAGACCCTTGGAACAGATGGGCCTTTGGTGGCTCGGAGTCTTCTATCTTGTGCCCTTGCCTTGTGACTGGGAGGACTGCTGGGTCCTGTCCCTCCCGAGCAGTGGTTCTCAACCTGTGAGTCTCCATACCTGGGGTTTAAACTGCCTTTTTACGGGGGTCGCCTAAGATCATCAGAAAACCAGGTATTTGCATTACAGTTCATGGCAGCAGCAACATTACAGCTATGGAGTAGCCTGAGTTCATTGCTGTGGTGGGGGAGGGTCACCACAACATGAGGAGCTGCACTAAGGCTGAGAACCACTGCTCTGGAGGCTTCCCGACTGGTGGCTCCGTCCTCTTACTCACTTGCTGGTTGGTCCCGGGGTACAGGCTGGGAGAGCCTGCATGTCTCCAGCTATGGCCCCACAAAGCCTCAGCTATGGGGTGGGAAGAATCCTCAGTGGGGCAATAAGCAGAGCCTAGATACTAGGGTCCCATCTGTCACACACCTTTCTTGGCTGAGGGATGCTATCACACCGGGCTGAGGAAGCCTCTGACACAAAGCCCCAGGGCTAGTAGTCACTGTCATCCTGACAAAATGCTACCAAGATCGGATGACAAGGGTGAGATTTTGACCTGGGACACTCCCATGTGGCTCATTTGTGAACACGGACACGGGAACCGGCAGGTGAGCCCCACATTTTCCTAAGCCCCACTGAGCGGGTACATCTGGACACTGAGCCCAGCTCTACACTCCCCCCGAGACGTTCTCACCTTTCAAAACTGTACGTCTTATCAGTGGTCGGGCGGCCAGGGAGAGCACACCTCACCAGGACTGTTTCCTAACAGGAGACAAAGCAGGGAGGGCGGGCAGATTCAGGCAGGCCTCCAGTAATCAAACAGGGTCAAGACGGGAAAGTGGTGCCCAGGCAACTCCAGCAGAGGCTTGTCTTTGTCGGCAGCCTTCCCTGGAACACACGCACAGCCCTGATGACAGACTGGGCTTGGCTGCCCAAGGACAATGCTGTGTCATAAAGACAGCAGCCAGATGGCCCTCAGGAAGGGCCATTTGATACCTGGCCCTTCAGAGAGCCAAAGCTGAGGGTATAGACATTTCAGAGGAGGCCCAGGTCACATTACATGACCACGCCCGGTAGAGGTGAACTGTCCAGTCTTAAGCCACGCCAACTTTAGCTCTTTCTGAAGGGAGGGGGTTCAAGAGGGGGGTCTGCGTAGCCCAAGCGGGAACCAGGCCGTCTTCTTGCCTGTGCCTCCGCGGGTCTCGCTGGGCCGTTTCTTCACTTACAGCCCAGGAGGAGAAGCAAAGGCATTTTGGGGGGAAAGAGCCAATAGCTTCCTTCAGCTAAAACAAGCCTGCATTGTTTCAGGCTCTAAAGCAAAATATAAACTTACAAATAAGTAGGGGGGGCTGGGGACAGGGGGATGAATGACAATGACAGAGTGATAACCTGTGGACATCTGACATCTTAACATTTAGAGTCTAGTGGGTGGTGATGGTTACAGAATAATGCATGAGGGGAACTGGTGAGTAGACTCTGTGAGGAGAAGGGTTGGCACACAAGACAAGAGGCTGACCTGAGTTCAATCCCATACTACCCTGAAAAATAAAGTTCTTTAAAAATATATGTGTGAGGGCTGGAGACATGGCTCAGAGGTTAAGAGCACTGGCTGCTCTTCCAGAGGACCTGAGTTCAATTCCCAGAAACCACATGGTGGCTCACAACCATCTGTAATGAGATCTGACGCTCTCTTCTGGCCTTCAGGCATACATGTAGGTAGAACAGTGTATACATAATAAATAAAATCTCTAAAGAGGTGTGTGTGTGTGTGTGTTATGGAGATGCATGTCTAGCTTAGGGAGCAGAGCTACAGGACCCACAGCTCTTCACTCTCTCAGGGAGGTCACTTGTCTACTGCTAGAGGCTCCGTGAAGGAGCACAGACAGGGTAGACCACTCCGTAGGGCAGTGGACTGTGAGGGAGAGGCAGAACTGGGGTGACAGTCCGTCCCATCACAGGGCTACCACATGCCATGGCAGCCTGTGGAGTCATGTGCAGATTTATACATCTATGAACCATAATGCAAATATCTGGTTTCCCTCTCTTGAAATCTCCACCACCAAATAAATTAGTCCATTACTTTTAAGTTTAGCCTCCGGTGAGTTCTTAGGACAAGAGCAGAAAGAAGCTACACTTTCGCAAAAATAAATAGGTAAATAAATAAATAAATATTTAAAAAATTGTAAGGAAGGTCTTTAGCTCAGTTGCTAAAAAATATTGTTTCCCTCTGAACTCCCCTTGACCTGGGCTTACACGGTCTACATGGCTATTGGCCCTGCTGTCCTCCAAGCTCCTACCAGGACACCCCACTAAACTCTGTTTACAGCATTCAATCTCTTCTAGTTCAAAGTTCCAAAGTCTTCCATGTTCCTCAAAACACAACAAAACACAACGAAACAAAACGCCAGCATGACCAGGTGTTACAGCAATAGTCCACTCCTTTATCTCAACTTCTGTATTAGTTACTTTTCCATTACTGTCATAAGTCACCACGACCGAAGCCACCTGTAAAACAGAGAGTCACTGAAGCTTAAGTTCCAGAAGGTTCGGGTTCACAATTGCAAGGCCAGGGCGTGGTGGAAGGAGCAGGAGGCTGAGGACTCACACCTTGAGTCGGCTGAGGACTCACGCCTTGAGTCATGAGCACAGAGCAGAGAGAGGGGGCTGGGAATGGCACAGGCTTTGAAACCTCAACGCCCACCCCAGTGACAGTCTTCCTCTATCAAGGCCACACCTCCTAAGTCTACCCAGACAGAGTCACTGACCGGGGACCGCGTATTCAAATGCCCCAAACTATGAAGGATGGCTCACTGAAAATGTCATGGGAACTCAGGGGCTCAAGTCAGTGGCGGGGAGAACCTCCACCACGGGTCAACAACAAGCTGTGTTCTCCTGAGTCTTTCAGGTAAGCTGTGGACCCAAAGAAAAGTATAAACAAGCAAGCCTCGGGCTCTCCAGGCCACGGGCAGCCGTGCGGATCTGGTCTTGCTTACAGGGTAAGGCCCGAGGTGCTGGACACCGGGATCACAGGAGGAGCCAACACAAACTCAAACTCTTCTGGCTTCAGGAATAAAAATACCATGAAAGCCAAGAGACACAAGGCCATGGGCCAACCACTCACCCGCTCAGCAGATGAGATTACAAGCCATCCTAACATGCAGGCCCGCTTACTAAACAGCTTGCATTCTGCCGATACCTCCTAAACACAATCTGAAATGCTACAGTCAAAGAAATGTTACCTTTGTTGAGTAAGACTTGAAAACACTAAGACCTATAATATGGAGGGTGCAATTTTGGCAGAGCCAGGGGAGGTCTGTTAAGGGATGTAGAATGTAGAATAACGAATTACCACAACCTGACTTCCCCACTGGCTGGCAGAGACCTGCTCAAGGACATGCTTTCTCAGTAGATAATTCCTGAGGGTTGACCAGAAGGCTGCAGACTAGAAAGGTTGGAGTAGGTGCTGTTTAGTCACTGGTACTCTGAGAGCTCACCTAAGGGATGAGAGGGTTAGCAACTTGAGGTTGGGATGTCTTGGGGGAGGGGTGTTGCTTTGTTTTATTTTGTTGGTTTTTTTTTTTTGAGACAGAGTCTCACTATGTAATTCCGGCTGTCCTGGAACTCACCATGTAGTTCAGACTGGTCTGGAACTCACAGAGATCCTCCTGCCTCTGCCTCCCAAGTGGTGGGACTGATGTTGTGCATCCTACAAAACCAGCTGTGGGATGTCTTCAGACCCCAAATCCTGAAGGTTCTGTCAGTCTCCCTTGGCTTGCCTTGGCAATGCTGGAGCTTGAGGCAATACAATGTGCATGGGGGACACAGCAGAATATACTCTGGGGGCTGGTGAGAGGGATCAGAGCTTAAAGGAGCTTGCTGCCAAGACTGGCAATCTGTGTTCCACCCCCAAGAAGCAAGTCCTGTAAGTTGACATTTGCATATGTCACATATACAACAAATAAATATAAAAAAATGGCTTTAAAGAAAAAAAATGTTAAAGATCTTTAAAGTCATTATTTCCAGAGGTTCCGTTTAATTTTTGAAACAACCGTCATCATTTATCCTTTGTAAAAAAAAAAAAAAAAGTAAGGCCATCAAATCATTGATTAAAATTATTTCCAGAGTTACTAAGGTTCATGATGCACAATCATAAGACTGGTTCCTATGAAACAAAGTTTTGAACCAGACACTAACCAACAGCCTTCAGAGAGGTTGTTGGAGCTGGAGGGATGGCTCAGTGGTTAAGAGCTCTGGCTGCCCTTGCAGAGGACCCATAGGGAGTCTCACAGCTGTCTGTGACTCCAGTTCTAGAGTGTCCGACCCTCTTCTGACCTTTGCAGGCACTGCACACACGCACATGCTGCACACACGTGCACTGCACACACGCACTGCACACACACGCACTGCACACATGCAGACAAACAACCTATACACATGAAATAAAAACAAATAAATCTAAAAGGAAAAAAAATCCTCTGAACAGCCAAACAGACTCATGCTACCACACAGTGCTATCACACTGACTCTTGTGACCTGAGACAGCTGCCATACTGACCCATGTGACTTGAGAGGATGGCCATATTAGCTCTTATAACTTACAACATACTAACTATCATGATGCAAAAGAGTAGCCAAGTTACTAAACCCATTCCTCTTGAGATTTTAAGGTGAATTCAAAACTGCCAATATTAGTGGTCGGTAGCTTTCTAAATTCATTTTGTGACGTTTGCAATAAGTTAGAGCAAAATATAAAACCAATACAACCCGATATAAGTTGACTTTTAGAGAGATTTCTAACATGCATGCCGACACAGAGGTGACAGTGTTAGTACCAAGACCCTGCACCAAACATTTAACCTGTTCAATCTTATACTTCTCTTTTTTGACATTGTCTAATTTGAAAGTGAAAACCATCTCAAACTAGCTATAAAGCTACAGTTTGCTTCCTCAAATGACAAGGACTCTTAAAACATAATCAACATGTGTTGTGTCCAATTCTGAACCCCAGAATCACCAAGAGGCCCATTTTGATGCAAGAGCAAAGAATCTTTTATTGTAGTTGTGTAATGAGCTAACCCCATTGGCTCGGGCCCTTCATCCATCCACCCCAAAGGATGACTGCAGAAAAGACCCCAAGAAACCTCGAGGCAGGGATCTTAAAGGGCAGTGTCTAGGGGTATGAAACAGTCTCGGGATTGGTGGGCTTCCAGGTTTGGGTGACCTGCCCTGTGTTGATTGGTCAACTGGTTGTTATGGCCCATAGGCCCTCCCAGGGTGGTTGCTATGCTCTGCACGTCACTGTTGTGCACTGTCCGTAAAGCACACCCAGAGCCGTAAAGCACAGCCCCGCCAGCTAACTTCTGATTGGTTCCTTGCCATGAGGAGGGCATCTGACCTTAGTGACCAGGACAGGAGGGGCAAGGTCATGCGAGCACATGCTAGCCTGTCATGGCTGCTAAAACGTGGGGGGGGAGGGGGCTGGTCCCTTCACATGTTATTCATCATACCCTGTGAAGAGTGGCTGAGTTAGTTCACTTTCTGCTGCAAGAACAGAATAGCTAACGCTGGGTAATGCATGAAGAGGTTTGTTTAGATCAGTTTTGTTGTTCAAAGATGAGGTAACCTTGGTGGCTTAACCTTTGCTGTAGTCCTATGTCATGTCACAGTTGCCATCTTTCTGCATCACTCTCTTCCTTACTACCTTGAGATACACTGAAACACAGGCATGTTGTTTCTTCTAGACCGGCTGGCCAGTAAACTACAAGAATATGCTTGTGTCCTACTACTGAAGGGACCAGCCCCCTGTTTTAGCAGCCATGACAGGCTAACATGTGCTCGCCTGACTTTGCCCCTCCTGTCCTGGTCACTAGGAGGTCAGATGCCCTTGTGGCAAGGAACCAATCAGAGGTTAGCTGTGCTTTACAGCTCTGAGTGTGCTTTACAGACAAGTGCACAACAGTGATGTGCAGAGCATAGAAACTGCCCTGGGAGGGCCTATGGGCCATAACAACCAGTTGACCAATCAACGCAGGGTAGGTCGCCCAGGCCCAGAAGCACACCAATCCCGAGACTGTTGTGGACTTCTAGACACTCCCCTTATGCTGCCCTTTAAGGTCCCCACCTCGTGGCTTCTCGGGGTCTTTTCTCCAGCCATCTGTTGTGGTGAATGACGAAGGGCCCGAGCTAATGGGGTTAGCTCATTAAACAACTACAATAAAAGAACTCTTTGCCTTTGCATTGAAGTGGGTCTCTTGGTGGTTTTGGGGTTTCAGAATTTGGGCACAACACTACCTCCCTATGCTGAGATTATAGGCATACACACTCACATACTGCGACCCTTTGGGGCACATTCATAATCAAGTCGTCACAATGACAGAACTTGCCATGCCACCTTGACATGACTTCTCGTTAAAGGCAATGGAGAACGGCGGGCACAAGGACCTCTCTTTCCTTCTGAAATCTGGAGATGGAAGCCCCACCTAAGGGTGGTTTTCTCACTGGGGGGAGGTCAGCCTTCCTGTGTCCACACTCCTCCTCTTAGGGTCAGACCCAGGGCTGTTCGGCTGGTTCCAATCACAGCCCCAAAGACTTCAGTCTGGAAGAGATGGCCCCTGCAGCGTGGGACAGATCCAGGCTGAACCCAGGCAGGTAGCCATGTGGGCCTGTGGCCTGTCATTAAGACGTAAGGCCATCAATCTCGAGTTCAGTGCATGTCACAGCTTCACAGAGAAGACTCTGTCAACCCCAAGGGCAGCAACATCCACAGGGGACTAATGGGAGGCCCCAAATGGCTACTGGTGATGTTCCAATTTCTTCTTTTGTTCTGAGTGCTTTAGATGGGATCACCCATAAAGATAAAATTCCCCTCAACAACTATTTATTTTTACTGAAATCTATTTCTTGTGGGAAGAGGACCATAGGCGTGCAATTCTTCCCTTCACACTTCTCAGTATGTATTGAGGTCCTAGCAGCTGTAAAGGTGACCAGCTTGTTTGAACAGTGAGAGCTTAGATGCTAGCATCAGCTTGCATTTCAGTTGGCTTTTGTCCCTCCCTGAGTTCCATTTCCAGCCTAGCATCTCTTGCAGTGGGTTCTGCATCCCGAGACACGGTCATCATCTGTGGAACTTCATCTATTACGGATACCAGGGTCCCAGTATAGTCATCTAAGACGTCCCCAAACCCTAAGCATGGTACATGTCCAGCCACAGTTGGGTGTTTGGTCCCCATGGGTACCACTAAGCCTGTCTGCAGATAAAACCAAGATATCTGAGGACGTTAAGAAGAAGCAGAGTCAGGCCTGCTTCAAATTCAGAACTGTAAAGTCCACACTTCACTTAACTGCTCTCTTATTTTCTCAATGGCTGAAATCTTAGTACTTGCTTGCTTGGATCTTTTGAAGCAGAAAGTCAACCCTGGTGAAGCAACCTCCTCACACAGACGTGCCATCAGGAGTGTCTATCTCCATGTCTATTGTCTCTGGCTCCAACACAAGTAGGAAATAAATTATGTCCTTATTCTCTGTGATCATGGCACAAAGAATAAAACCAACACATGCCCCTTCCATCCATGAGTGCTTCCCAGTTAGGGGCCCCAGGACAGAGGGATGCAATGCAGCAGTAAAAAAGTCTCTGACTTAGCCCACTAGGGCCTACTTACATCATCCGCAGCGTGGACCACTTCTCCAGGGGTGGGGCTGTAAGGTAAGACAGGGGTATGAGGGCACCATCGTGTGAGGCTTCTTCCTGAGCTCCTGGCATCCGCGCTCCACACACCGTCAACCTTCCTACGCTTGCCGCTGTATTTCCACGCTCTGCTTCCCTGGGCTCTGGACGCTCTCCCCGAACGCTGTGTTCCCAAACCTCTGCCGCAAAGCCCACCTTCCCCTTCCTTACCTTTCACTTCCTATTCCCACCTCCTGCACGTGTTCTGAGGTGGGTCAGCCACGGGTTAGGATGATCCATGCAACGTGTGACTGCCCCCCTCCCCCCACATCCAGTCTTAGGACAAGAGTGATGAGAAAAGCATTGGCAGGCTGTGTGCCTACACACAGGAGCTCCAATGCCTACAAGAATCAGGAACCTGGGGAGGGGGGAGCAGTACGTTTCTAAACAAGAACTGAAGGAGAACATGCCACAAGGGCATCAGTGGAGGCTCTGCCACCCCAGAGGAACTCTGAGGGAGATGAGTGGCCTAGTGGAGCATCTGGCTCTACAAGACACGTCTGCATCCCAGCTACTCAGACTTCATCTGCAGAGTGGGATGCAGTGGGGGTGACTGAGACAGCTCTCATTGCCTCAGCGAGTGCTCATTCAGACCAAGGATTTCGGTGAAGGGTGGTGGTGGTGGCCGCCGTACCCTGAAGATGTAACAGAAGCAAGCCTGTGAACAGGATTTGGAAGGCATGTTCAGGAAAGCTCACTGCTCTTCTGAACTAAGTCTCACGGGACACTGCTCCTCTCTGGCTGTGGCTCTGGACAGATGACCATGGCTATGAGTGTGGAAGTATCTTATGCACCATGGTTGGCAGAACAGCAGACTTAAAGATTTGAAAAGAAAACACCTCTGCCACTGCCAAAAACAGAGACAATATTTGGGGTGTGGCCATGTTGCTCAATGGTTAAGAGCACTTCGAGATGTGAGTTTGGATCCTAACACCCACATGACAAGCCAGGCAGGGTCTTGCATAATGATAACACGTCAGGGGTGGAGGTTAGAGAATGCATGGGACTCACTGGAAGCCGACCGAGATGGAAATTCAAACTCCAAGTTCAAGGAGAGACACGGCTTCAAAAGAATAAGGTGAGGAATGATAAAAGAGGATACCCAGCACCCTCCTGTAGCCTCTGCGTATACACACATGCAAACGTGTACACATATAACACACATGCATGTGTGTGTGCACACGCACACCTCCTGTAGCCTCTGCGTATACACGCATGCAAACGTGTACACATATAACACAAACACACATGTGCACATACACACACTTCCTGTAGCCTCTGTGTAGATACCTATACAAGCATGTACACATATAACACACACACAGGTGACATGTGTCACACTACTACGAGTGGGTGATATAAATAGAAAAGTTTCAGCTAGGCCTCTCAGAAGACAAAAACTGTTATGAGATGGGACAATGGGATCCATAGCCTGGAGCAGGCCAGGCAGTCAACACACACTGCAGACCAGGGAGAGCAGCGCAGCCCAGGGTCGGGGGCTTGGAGGTGAGAGGATAGGAGCAGATGGGGGGAGGGAGGCAGAGGTCTCCTCTTAGGAGCACCTGCCCTGCTGAGCTTCGTGGTCAAGAACTTACTGCAGTGTCACACTCGTGCCACCAAGACCCCGTAAGTCACAATGTGACATCCCTTAGCCTTGAGGAGAGGTCTCTAGAAGGAGGACGAAGGGACGCCCCCTTTGGTATAACCTAAAGGGAAAGGCTGGGTGGGATGGTACCCTGCTACTTGGAAAGGACAGAGACTTGGCCCGATGAACATGCTTAGGCATTTATTCAGGCAACTCAAACCGGGTCGCGATGGGCCTGCCCTGCATCGTTAACAAGGAGCGCCACCCTGGCACCAGGAGCTACTCCAGGGTCTAGGGCTGGCAACACAGGGCACAGCAATTCCTGCCACTATCCAAGCCTTTCTCTTCAGACACGTCCCCAACCCAAGCCATGCACGGACAGTATGGGAAAGTAAATTACCAGTTCTGTGAAGCCGAACCATCCAGCTTGTTATCGAATGACAAAAAGGGACGAATGCGACAGTGGACTCGAATGTTTCCCTTCAGCTCCTGCAACAACAAAGAACTTTCAACATCACCATCACCGAGGCTGGCTCAGCTGCAGGTGGCCTGACCTCTGAGATCCCCCACAGGGCAGTCATTATTCAGCCTTAACAGATTTGTTCATTAAGAGGCAACAAAAAGCCATTTCCTGGTATCATGGGCTAAATCTCTGGGCATTTTAAGAGGAATTTCGAGCATTTGGCTTGTGGCCTGTATGCTGACCCTCCACATGGCCATCCAGATGACATTATGGTGATGGGCCACCCAGAGGGGAATAAAGCGAAAGGGAGCTGTGCCGTCAGGGGCAGCAGATGGATGCAGCATTTATGTTGTTCTGTGGATACTGTTAGCATAGGATTCAGTACTGGGTAAAGGTGGGTTCTGTGTCTGCCAAGCTGGTCTCAAACACTCATGACTTTGAGGAACTTGCTGCTTAGGCCTGGTTGACAAGGCCTCTTTAGCATGGTCGTTGACACCAGGGGGATTGCCCAGAAGCAGCCAGCCCATCCATCTTCTACTGAGTGCCAGAGAGCATCCTGAGCTCAGCTATGATGCCGTCAGTCACCACCTTCTGTATCCATTCAGTCAGTCCAGTCCAGTCCCGCTGCCGCCCCAGGGTGGCTGGAGCCCATGGAGCCTGGTTTCTTCCCTTTTCAGATGGGGCCTCTGCACAGAGACTGGGATTGAGGGATTGAGGCGGTCCCTACCCCAGCAGGCCTCAGTCAGCACAGCCCTGGCTCCCATAGCTGACTTGGGTTGGAGACAGCCAGTCAGACCCAACATACCTGCTAACCAGGTATGCTGTAACCAGAAGTCTCTGGACGCCCTCGCTTCCACCCAGCCACTCAGACCACAGATGCACACTCAGGAAAATGGGGGGGGGGCATTAGCATGGCAGTGAATACGCCGGTGAACTGCGGTAGCAATGGTCACATAGGAGAGCAGCCCTGGAATGCTTCACAAAGGGGGACTCGGACGTGGACAAATGAGAGACCCAGGAGAGGATGGGGGGGGTTATATACAGAGCCCTATACATGCTGGCGTTAGAGACAAGGGATCTTCGCCACTCTGGAAAGGGGGTAGGGAGGATGGGACGGCCATCCTGTGGGCAGGAGAGTCCAGCGGTGAAGATGCTGTAACTAAAGCTGAGGTCGCTGCCTGCGCTGGTGTGGGGGTCACCAAGGTGGCCGGGTGATGTCAATAGCCGTGGGCTCATCCTTTTGTACGCTGTGAAACGTGTCTCTGCCTAAGGCGCCTTCTGATTGGCTTAGTGAGGAGCTGAGTGCGGGACTTCTGGGGAGAGAGGGGACTGGGGAAGAACTTGAGGCACGGGGGGGGTTGCCACCACTGAGACACGGAGGGAGGCAGGGGTGCAGGACGGAGGAGAGGCGAAGAGCCATACGGCGGAGTGCGGACGAGGACAAACGGTCAGTGTGAGCCCTGGGAGGTCACGGCACAAAGGAAGCCCCGACAACAGCTGTTCAAACACGACCCTTGCTACCAGAGCCTGTCTGGGCTGAGGCCGCGTGGCCGCGTCCTGGGGACCCCATGCTCTTCAGCATCCGTTCTGTCACCCTCGCCTGTCAGGCTTTCTGCATCTGACGCTGGCTCAGCCCATCGACACTGCCTGATGTTTTGCAGTTTTTTTTTTGTCATCCTCAGCTGTGGGAACTTTACCTTTTTGTGCCGAAGGCATCAGAAAAATGAACACACGAAAGTCATGGAAGAGCCGAGTGGGTGTTTGTGAACACTGCGGAGAGACCCCCACTCGTGGCCGGGCGCATGGGGACAGGGTTCTCATCGCTCTTCTCCCCTGGGCTTCCCTCTATAGCACACAGTACTTCCCCCAAATGTTTGCAGTTAGTCTGTGCGTCTACCCAGTCTTCAGTACCCGGAAAGAAGTGGGAATGCCTTGTTCTCGTGCGCTCTTGTTGGGTTCTCCAGGGAGGGGGACTTTTTCCTTAAGAACCAGGAGTGCTGTGAAGATTAAAATGTTTGTAGTATGTGTGCATGTGTGTGTGTGTGTGCTTGGTTTTTTGTTGTGGTTTTAGTCTGCTTTTCTTTTTTTAAGAGAGAAACAGAACATTAAATTGGGTAGGTAGGAAGATTGGGAGGGTCTGGGGAAGGGGAAAAACATGATCATAAATATGATGTATGAAAAAAAAGTTTTCAATAAAAGTTTTTTAAAAACAGAGAAAACCCCTAGGATGCTTTAGCCAGTGCTTGCCACCCTGCGAGTACCCAGATTCTGGTCAACTGTCACTCAGGTGTGGCCTCACCGTCGTCCCGTCCCGGTGCCTTCTGAGTTGCTGAGCCACTTGCTGGCCAAGCGCGTACTCACCACCAGGCTGTTGTGGAGGGCTCGCCTCCTCTGCTGCTCCAGGTAGTAGCGCGATTCCAGCTCCTGCAAGCGCTGCTGTAGATGTGTGGCCTCTGACTGACAAGCTGCAGAGGGACAGTTCACCCCAGGTTACAGTCCAGTTCTCACGAGGAGACCCTGCAGTCTCCTACCCAAAAAAATGATCTAAATCATAAGGAGGCTTGTGGGTAGGCTGTGAGCCTTAGTGGATTCTCCAACCGAGGTTCTGGATGCTCAATGCTCAAGGTAACTAATGATTCCCAAGGGGTCCTGGCTCTGATGACCGGCCACCGTGGGCTGAAATGTTTCCAACCCTGAAGCTTGCTCAAGTATCAAAGGTTTCCATGATGTCCCCACTGTGTGGGACACGGCCACGAGGCAGACATTGGGCTGACTTTCAGCTCTTGTTATACATTTTGGGACCCGACACTTTCTCTGTCCCACCAGGATGACCACATCTTTTACAGGAAGAGCAGCGCCGCTTCACAGACTCCTGGTGCCTGCCTCAGACACAGCACAGGTGAGAAGCCCTACTCTGAGGAATCCAGCTTGGCTGACAGATGGTCTCTCATCTTCCTCGGCCTATAACATGAGCTGCTGCTGTCTGCTCTCCTATCAGATTTAGGATGTTGGCTGAGATCTGTCTCTTGAGAAGAACGGGCGGGGACATGCTGTCTCAGTTGACAAGGACCTCCTGAGACTCCCCTTCCCCCCCAAAGCCTGGCACCATGAGGAGCAGCCTGGGATGCCCTCCCAGCTGCATTTCCCAGGCACCGCAGGCACAGCACCTGTGGGTGGTGGGGAGTGATTTGTGGCTACGGAATCGCCATACACATCAGCACTTCCTAGGGAAAAGCCACACTTGCTGTACTCTCCGCTCTCCCCTTCAGATTGTCGTGATTTTTCCCTGCTCCTCCTGGGAAGGTGATTGACTCTTCCCATGTGACACGCACATGAAGACCATACTCGTGCATACTATACACGTACTACCCATGAGCACAGACCACACACACTCCACATGTACTCATCACACCCAGCAGGCACGTGCACCACACACATGAGCATGTGTACCCATGCACATATATCACATCATACAACCATACATACAAGCACACACATGAAGACACCGTAAACCATATACGCATTATACACACATGCGTATGCCACACACACATGCACATGTACACAAGCATACTGTGCACACATATACGCTCACACCTACTAAAGTCTCAGGAACCGCCAGGAGGTTCTGACCTGAAATGACCTGTACTATGGAGACTACAGTGAAATCCTGGGGCAATCGTTATCTCATATAAAATGCTAACCTAGCCCCAAAGCAGCAAACAGCTGTAAGGTTTGATGCACCTCTTTTGAAATAGCAGCGTGTGATGCGGAAGTCCTGTGTATGTGTCAATAAAGCACTGTTGGCCAATAGGGAAACAAGATAGGTGGGACTAGGAGTCCAGGAGGATTCTGGGTAGGAGAAACACTGGGGTCACGATGTAGCCCTCCAGAGAAATAAGATGTCCGGAACTTAGTTCCGGTAAGAGAAATACTTAGATTAACAATTATGGGGTAAATACTTAAGTCAGAGCTAGCCAGTAAGAAACAAGCAAGGCCAACAGCCTCATAATTAATATAGCCTCCTGTGTGTTTATTTGGGACTAATGCAGCTCTGGAACCAGGCTGGCAAGGAAAACCTTCCCTTTACAAGCGTGGATGTGGGTTGCATGGCACTGAAGGATGAACGGGGCTCTTGCACACGCGGCGCTGCGGGGAGGAGATAAGCAGGGCTCTGGAAATGACAAGGGGACTGGGGGAACAGGACACTCTGCCTCCTGTTTTGGAGGAAAAATGACCCAGGCAGCTCATGGCCCTGAACATCCAAGTTAAGAACATGTTACATGGGCGTCAGAGGGGAAGGGAGGGTTTTGTAGCAAGGTGAGCTGCTGGGGGGGTGGGGGGGTGGGCAGACCACCAAACACTGCAGGGGGAGCCATTTCATCACGGTGTTCATTATTGCCACCACATGAGGCATGCGCCACGAGTAAGAAGAAACGGGGCTTGAGTCCCAGGTTGGGCACTGTTCGTACAGTTGCGCTCTCACCTTGAAGAGCCTCGAGGCTCAGCTGTGTCCTCTGCACAGCAGCCATTACGTCAGAAAGACAGCTCCGGAAGTCATCCTGATAGCTCTGCAAGAGCACCAGGAAGGACTGTCGAAACTCCTTGACATCTCGTTGAAGTTTCTGTGTAATGAAAACACAGTTAGCCCAACCGATCGTGTGTACAACCAGTCACAACAGCCCCACAGAGTACGGAAGTGGCCTCCAATCGGCAACCCTGCAGTAGCAGCCTGACATGAACGAGAGGCACGTGAACCCGTGGTCCTCATGCAAGGCGAGTGTTTACCACACACAAGCCCAGCTTCCCTTCAGAAGTTTTTTGTTTGTTTGTTTGTTTTTTTGAGACAGGGTTTCTCTGTATAGCTCTGGCTGTCCTGGAACACCCAGAGATCCACCTGCCTCTGCCTCCCGAGTGCTGGGGTTAAAGTGTGAGCCACCACTGCCCAGACCCCTTCAAAAATTCTCACTCAATAGCTCTGGGGTTAGTGCTTTGAGAGCAGCAGCTCATGGTTCCATATATTCCATATTGTTGAGATTGTTAGGAAACAGAAAACCAAGGACATGACCCGTTTCTGTGGCCCGGCTCGCCGACCCATTTCACCACCTGGTGATTTTGGTGGAGCACTGGGGCTGTGTTAAGCAAGAGCAAAGCTCTGATGGGCTGTGCAGACCAGCTTCTGGAAGCTTCGTTATCACGGAGTCAGGCCAGTAAGAGCAGCTGCCGTACCCGTGTGCGTGACAGGGTTCCAGGAACGGCCTTCATCAGAACTTTCGGGGAACTTTGGGAACAATGCAGCTGCATCCTGTGCGTCACACATTCCCCCGTCCAGCCCCGCAGTCACCCCAAGGACTTCCAGCATGATGACCTGACAATGAGTGGATGACAGGATGTGGCATGGTTTAATATTTACTCTCCATAACGCATCGTAACGTGTTACTTGAGCTTAACCATAGGGCGTTTTGTCTCTAGTTATGAATAACTGGAGACTCTTCCATTCACAGAAATATTGTAATAAAGATGGCAAAACTAAACTGAATGAGGTGATTTTACCATAGGAACATAGCTATGCAGCTTGTTCAAAGACAGGCTGATTTTACTAAGGTGGGAGAGAATTTACAGTGAGTTCTACATGAGCCCGTAGCCTCCACCTCTGACCACGGCAGGTTAATCCTGTTTGCAGATGGTGTTTACATTGCTTTAATGGGTTTTATATTCCTGTTTCCCACCCTGGTCGCATTGTTTTCGACATAAGGTAGAACAATGCTTTTAATCAATAGTATAAAAATATCTACCACAATCTCTCAATGGAGACTTGCCAAATACACTGACATAGCTGTTTCCTAGCTTTTCCTCCAGAAGCCACTGACGGTCTAAGAACTGGCTCGTCTGTGATGCTGGGGCAGGGGAGACCTATGTCACTACAAACACCTTCTACCATTAAACTTTGAAATAACCACTGTGGGGGCTGGAGATATGGCTCAGCGGTTACAGAGCACTCGGGGTTGGTTCAGTTCCCAGCACGCACGTGGCAGTTCATAACTGTAACTACAGTCTCAGGAGACTGGATGCCCTTTCACCCTGAGGGCAACTGTACATGCATATGGCACACGGACGTACGTGTGGACAAAAGACCCACACACGTGAAAATAACAGCAGCTGTGGCTTATGAGACTACGTGTCCACTGCTGCTACCTCAAGCCATTTGTCTACTGGCCAAAAACGACTGCTATCTATCTCATTTTTGCTCAGGTGCCAATAAGTGCTTTGGGGCTTTCTTTTGCTGAGCATTGGAAAGCTGAGCCTGTGCCAGCGCCCTGGGGTGAGCCTCTTCTGACAGAGCAGAGGCACGAGGGCTCTCCTGAGCCCTACACCACTCGACAGTCCGTGCGTGAATGGAGGTTGTGGCAGTGCTGAGGTCACTGCTGCCCTGGTCGGGCAGCCAGGCTGGAGGAAGGGTGCGTGGATGCTTCCCTGGTGACACTGCCTCATCCTGAGCAGAGCGCAGAGCCGGGCCTCACGGCTGCGTCTCTTCGTCCTCTCCTGGCACTGTATAGAAGGGAAGAAAACACGATGCAGAGTTTAAAGCCTTGAAAACCCAGCAGGTACCTCCCCAGCCCCCCAGGAAGAAGCTACTGATGGTCTGTAACACACACCACACAGGAAGAGAGATGCCAACAGAGCCGGGGCGGGGAGAGTCAGACAAGGAAGACAAGGAGTGTGGACAGTTCAAGGTTAGGGGTCTTGGGGCTGGGCCTGAAGGCACTGGCCAGGTAGAAGAGACACAGAGAGAGCCCAGGCCGAGGCTGTGAGGGGCAGACCTCAGAAGAGAAATGACAGGAAAGAGGTGCAAAACCCGGGCGTTCACTTGAGGGCTGGGCAAATCTGGGGAAGGCTCTCCCTAGCAATGCTTTTCAGCAGACACACACTTTTAGAAGACCTTTCTGGGTTTTTGTGATACACCGGGGGAGGTGGCAGGAAGCACTCCCCAGGGAATGCTAAGGGGACCATCTGAGACTTCAGGAGGACCAAGAAAAAACATCCAGGCTCCAGGACAGGACAGCAGAGACACCGGAAGGGTCGGCCACAGCTCTGCAGGGGTTTCTGCAGGTATCAGTGCTAGGGCCCCAAATGAGCAAGGTGATGACTGTGGGTTTTGCTTCATTCTGTTGCTTTCCTGTGTGTTGGGGGGGCGCGGAGTGGAGGCATCTATCCTTCCACTGTCTTTACAAGCGGGGGTGGGCGCTGACAGACCCAGCCTCTCAGAGACACACATCTCACAGGGAGCCACACGTGTGTCCCCGTGTCAACGTGAAGAGCTCACGGTCATGTGCACTAGCAGACCAGTGCTTGGTTCTCACTCTGTAGGACAGAGAGGGAAGCAGGGCCCTAGCCTCTGGCGTGCACCTGTGATGGAGACAGTGAACGCCTGTGGGAGGGCCCTACCCAACACAGACTTCTGGCTTCTGGCTTAGTCCTTGGTTGACACTGAGAGAAGATAAACTCCCTCAAAGAGTGGGAGAGGGCAAAGGCTGCCCCTGAGGATGCCCAGCAACCTGTTGTAGACAGGTCCTAGGGCTGTGGCTGGGCCAGACCTGTCTGCCGGATCCGTGTGGGAACTGTTGTTCAGAAGCAAAAAGGCTCCAAGGGAAGCAGAAAGGGCGTGGCGTGGGGTGGAGTGGGGCGGGGCGGGGCTTAGGAACAAGCTTCCACAATTTGGTTAGGGCTACTGCAGAGCACAGTGTTCCTCCAAGATTCATGCTGACAAATAGTGTCCACTGTGGAAGTGTAGAGATGGGGCCTTTGGGCGGTGATGAAATCATGAGGACTCTACCCTCATAAATGGACAAGACTAGAGAGTTATTTGCTCATCTACTCCACCACAGGAAGAAATCTAGACAATACCAAGAAGAGAAATGAGCTGGCCATAGATATCAAGCCTGCAGTGCCATAATCTTGGATTCCAAAACCGAGAGAAATGCTCTTTGTAAATTATCGTCTCAGGTATGTCATTATAGCAACATGGGAAGGTTGCAGCAGTTGTTCATCTGTAGATTTACCAAACGCAGAATGGTGCAACCTAATATGAATGAATCCCTGATGCATAAATTATACAACACGTCTACAGGGTGTATCATTAATGAATTATTCCTTAGATACTTGTGAGCACCAAGATACATAATTTAGAATTTATCCCTGTTCCAGTATAGGATGACATGCTGTCCACAGAAATGTTCCATCCACCCCACTGAATGGGACAACAGATCAAATGAAAGCCACTCTCCCTCTGCATCTTCTGCAAGTCCAGTCTATCAGTTTACAAGGCACATTAAAATGTTACCTCTGCCAATTTCAGGTGCAGAATAGCATTTTCTGTCTCCAGTTCAACTATTCTTTCTTCTTTGACCTAAAGCCAAGGATCCAAAAGGGAAACCCATCAACACAGCCCTTGCTTGGTCATAGGGAAACACTGCGAATGAACAGGAGTACAAGAGTGAACAGTCTCAGCAAAGAACTGCAGGGAAGGTCGGCGGTCAGGGTGCTCGGACTTCTTCACGTGCTGCAGAGACAAGACAAGCCCACCTCAGTGAGGCCTGACTGTCAGACTTACTAGGAATACGTAACTCAAGACTCTGCCATCCGGTCAGAAAAGTATCAGGCAGCATTGCTGGCAAGTGGAGAGTTTACAGAGGAAGCCATAGAATCAGTGCACCTTCAAAAACCAGTAACAGCTGGGTGGTGGTGGCACACACCTTTATCCCCAGTACTCCAGAGGCAGAGGCTGGCAGATCTCTGAGTTCAAGGCTGGTCAACAGAGTGAGTTCCAGGACAGCCAGGGTTATGCAGAGAATCTGTCTCAAAATTGTAGAAAAGCAGCGTTCGAGAGAAAGACACCATACAATGGGGTTCAAACAGAGACTTTTTTTTTAATTAGAAAGGGATCATAAAAAGGGGAAAGGAAAGGGGTGAGACCAGCCTCCAGAGACAGGAGCAGCAGGAGAGAGGAAAGAGGGGGAGAGAGAGACAAAAGGGATAGGTAGGCAGAGAGGGAGAGGAAGAAAGAGAGAAGGATGGGAGGTGGGCAGGGCCCCTTTAAAAGGGAACACAGTGACTGTGCACAGGTCGTGCTCTTAGTGGTTGCAGCTGAGGGCGTGTCCTGTCAGGATCCCAAGGACAGGCCAGTGCAGATGCCTGAATACTAACAGAAACCCCTTCCCCCAGCCCCCCAAACTGAAATATACATATATAAATAAAATAAGAAAAATTAAAAATCCCAAACAGACCCCTATAAAATCCCCAACCTTAATCGCACACATGCGTGTGTGTGTGTGTGTGTGTGTGTGTGTGTGTGTGTGTGTGAAGAGATGTGGGCAGTCTTGGAAGATCAAGGAGAGAAAAGGATTCATATGAGGACGGGGAGGTGGAGAATGGAGGGAGGTTGGACTCTGGAAGGAAGTCAGAGCATGGACTGTTTGGATTTTATAAGCCAAAGACGAGAAGTGCACGTCTATCTCCCAAACACAACTGGTCCAGGTGCGGTCTCACTGGGGGCTCAGTGTCTCAGCTATGGATGCATCATTCCCGGGAACTCAGTCCATCCCAATGAACATACAGTCCCTTGAATTAAAGGTCAATACCCTGTTGGTGCCCCAGACTTCTCAGAGAATAAATTAAGTCCCTCCTTCTAGGGATCCCATCATCCTTGCAAGGGATTCTGTCTTTCCTGCAGAAGATGTGGTCCTTCCTTTCATGGGTCTAGTCATTTTTGCTAGAGATTCAGTTCCTCTTGAAGGGACTTCAGTCTCCAGATAGGGATGCAGTCCCTCTAGTTAGAGAATTGCTTTCTAAACTGGCTCACAAAGAATCTAATTCTAAACTCTAATTGTACAAGTCCAAAACCTAGGAGTTAAATTTCTTCAGTTCCTTATCAACAATCTCTGGAATAATTTTGATGAAATTTACTCAATTCCTAGATTTCAAGCTAAAATAGCAGCTACAGTTGTAAGTCTGGTGTTTGGTCAAATGTATTTCAAAGTATTTTGATTCTGTTTGCATGGTGCTGTACATGGAATGTTTTCTTAATTTGCTTGTGTTCATTGCTAGAGCATAGACATGCCAGTTATTTCTGTAGACAAGCATTCCATCCATTGGTCTTGTGTAACTCCCTTCTTAATGCGAAGGGTTTTAGCAGATTTCTTGGGGCTGCATCTATAACATGGTTCCATCTGCAAGCAGACTGCTTTATTCTTCCTTCCTGATGTGATGCCTTTGCCTTTGTTTTCTTCCCTAAATGAATAAGGTGTACCCCTGGAGCGATGCTGTGCACCCCTGCTAGAGGGATGCATTCACCTTGATCCCGGGACACAAGCTTTTCCCAAGTCTGGTCCGGTTAGAATGGGGCTTGGAAAAGTCTGTGAGGACAGTCCTCTCAGGTCTGCTCTGACCATAGGAGAGTCTGTCCAGTGCCTCTGCAGGCCATGGGGTAACTTGCAGCTTCTTGTGGGCTGTAACCCCCTGGCCCCCCCAGTTCCTATGCTGAAGTATTAAGTCCCAGCAGATGACATTTGAAGACAGTGCTACAAAGTGACTGACTCAAAGAAGCCTTGAGGGTGGGTTCTTCTGTAATTTCGTTGGCGTCCTTCTGAATGCAACTCTGGAGCCACAGACCCTTCAAGGGTGCAGAGGGAAGACCCAGGACACCACGGGGAAGCAGCCACTTGCAAACCAAGGAGAGACTTAGGGCCAACTCTCTTGCCCAAGACTTCCAGCCTCAAGCACACATTAATCTCTGAACAGTTCTGGAGGCAGCCTTCAAAGATTGGAGTGTCCATTCTTGGTGCTATTGAGCCTGCAACTCAGGGCTGCAAACCTCTCTCTCCTGCAACTCACGGCTGCAAACCCCTCTCTCCAGTCTACCGTTATTCGTGGATCATGTCCTCAGCAAGTGATCAGCCAGCTCTGTGCTCTCCAAAAAGCGGCCACCTCTGAGCTTTTAGCACGCCTTTAGTTAATCATGCAGCCTGTGACCGACAACTGAGGCGGGACAAAAGCTAGATCTCGACTTCTTGGCCATCCCCGGACTTTCTGGGTCGCGTCACCTCCACTCTGCTCACTGTGGGGCTGGGGTGACCGGAGCCCACACACTCGCCTCGACCCCGTGTTGGGGTGCTGAAAGCGGTCCTGAGTTGGGTGCTGAGGCACACAGCCCGAGGGTGTGTATAGGTTCTGTGTAGCTGAGCTGGGGCTTGGAAGCAGACAGAGGTGTGCTGCTCTGAGATTTAGCACTCTTTGCTGGGACAAATGCTTCTTTTTACAAGGTGCCCTCAGGTTCCCATATGCTGCCTGCGGCTCTCACCAGTTTTCCTTGGAACATGCCCACCGCAGAGCTCCTTGTCTTCTGCCCTGGAAGCCTCGTGCTTCAGCGGCTTAGGCGGTCAGCTATCTCTCCAGCCAGGAACCACCACCTGCTACAGACCGTCACTTTTTTTCCCCAGGGTTTCTCTGTGTAGCTCTGGCTGTTCTGGAACTCGCTCTGTAGACCAGGCTGGCCTTGAACTGCATGGTGCTGCAGTTTGCTGCAGAACTCAACAGACGCACGTGGAATCTACTGGGAAGGAGTGGAGGGAGGGGTGGGTGTTGGCCGGCAGGGAGCAGAGATGGAAGGGGGAAGAGGGAAGAGGTAAAGAGACAGAGAGAGGGCAGACGAGACGGGAGAGGTCCGGTCTGCCCCGGGGGAACAGCGGGAAGGAGAGGAGAGTGGAAAGAGGGAAGCGGGAAGGAGAGAGCAGAAAGGGAGGGGGACGGACGCACGGACCGACCGTTAAGTAGGGGAAGAGCCGGTTAAGTGGGCAGGGTCTGGTCTTAAAGGGGTCCTTTGCACCTGCCTGCAGACTCCATAGAACCCTGGGCTGACCAGGGCACTGCCTGAGTGCATTCTGCCAGCTGACAGGGGCGGGCCAGCGTAATGCCTGAATCCTTACATTTTTAAAAAATTTTTGCTTATTGTATTGATCTATTTGTCTAAGAGGACAATGGTTAGAATTACACAATTACTGTTGTTTAACCATTCTGTCCCCAAACTTGCTCAGTACCTAGACAGCCATCAGAGCTGAGAGGGGTGCCAGGAGCTTAGAGGACACGAGGTGGGCTGAAGGGACGATCGGGGATGCCTCAGGTGGGAGTTTAAGAAACCTTAAGCGCAGTGGGAGGAATCGCGTCCATCATCCTTGGATCCTGGACGTTGGAAACAAGGCAGATGGAGTCGGTCCTTCCCGAGAGTGCTCAGGGGAGATTCACAACTCAGGCCTGGGAGGCGTGGTTCCAGACCGCGGGTTCCCCTCACAACTCACCCGCATTTGGTGCTGAAGCTGTCGCCATCTCTGTTCTGAGAAGCCCCACAACATATGCTGCCTGGGCATTTTTCCCTGCCTCTTCGCAGTAGGCAGCGGGTGAGGGGTGTGGCTAAGTCTTAGAGGGTCTCTTTCACGGACCGCTTTGCACGCATGCGCCGTGCCCACCCACAGAAGTTTCTCCTGGATGCTGCTAACCAGCTCATACAACATAGGGCATTGCTCCTGCTTTTCCAACCAAGGGCAGTGGGATCGTGGTAATGCTTGTGGAATGTCAACCACCTTACCATGGCCCTGAAAACCCATCTCTCCTACATCTCTCCCCATCCCTTTCTGGTTCTGCCCCTGATGCAGCAGCAGCCCTTCCTTTCTCTCCCTCTAGCTTGCCATCGGAGCCTACCACACCCTCCGGCGTCAACTCCCACAGGCCCCGTGTTCATCGCATACTGCTAACAATTACAGACAACTGGCCTGCTTCTGTCTTTTCACCTCGACTGCCACCCCTGGGAAAGCAGGGCGGGTCAGCATTGCCTGTTGACTGCTCAGCAAGTTAAGGCGATCCCAAGACTGGCACCGTGATGATTGAAACAGTATAGGAATAAAATCACCTGTCACTAGGGGTATAAAATTTCTACTGCCAAGTCAACCAACGTTTTGCTTACTTTTATCATAAATGCATAAATACATCTGAAATCCCTGTATTAGCTAGGAAGGGGCACAGACGACAATTTATCTGGGGTTTGGTAGATGTCCTCATGAAGTGACAGAAACAACAGACAAGTGTAGGCCAGAACACAACCTCCCGAAGAGGGAGGGGGCCACAGGAGGGGGTGTTGCTGAACCAGCACTGATTCTAAGTGTGTCTGCAGAATCTAAAAACCACAGCAAATTAAAACACAGGATACACAAACATCACAATTCCAATGCATAGCTCCTGCTTCTACCAAAAAGGCTCCCCACGGGCTCCTTCAACCCTCAAACATGACTTCCTCCCTTCAAGTTCTTTTACATTTTTACAGTACGTTGTATGACCCCAGCCCCTTTTATGCAATGTGCTTGATCACTGAGTATGTTCAGAGAGTCCAGTGACCAATGGGACGGTGGAATGAGACATGGTCCCAGTGGCCATTTGTGATTGCTGAATGTGCAAGCACTGGTCATGAAGACAAAGGTGACCAAGCTCTCATCTGAGACCTGTGAAAATGTCACCTCACCCTAGTTCTTAGTGGCTGTGTCGTCAATCAAAGAACACTTGCCCACAGACAGAAAAACAACTGAGGGACACAGGAGTGACACTCAGCACTGTTTAATGGAGTAGTGACAGATGGAAATGGGGGAGAGGAGGGCAGGCATTACAAATATAAACTTTATCACACTTTGATGAAAACAATAGCAAATACACTTAAATAGATACAAAGTTTATTAAAAATAGGCTGCAACTGAAATACAGTAGAAATGGAAAACAGCAGTTTGGGTGTTTCCCCACCGTAACACACTATGTAACGCCCTTACAACACACATTCACAGTCGCTCTCACTGTCCAGGGAGGCCGAGTCTACTTCACTATGGGTTTCACACACACATACAGAGTTTTCAGATGTTTGCAGGTTCCTGTGTGCGTCTGTCTTCCCACGTACAAGCAACAGCAGGCATCTGCTCCTCTCTGGGAGGTATGGATCTGCCCAAAGGCTGCCAGTGTGCTCCAGACACAAGGAGATTGTACTTCCTAGGCAAGTGTGCAAACCTTCATTAGCTCTCGGGACCATTCAATTCTCTCACAGAGGAAACAGCAGAGGCACTTTCAAATAGGAAGCTTACTAGACATAAAAAATATTTACATTTGTATTTCAACAATTTATCATACAGTTCTTATTAAAAGTGGTTTTAAGGTTGCAAATGCTTCTGTTCTATTTGAAAGTGTGCCTGTTTTCCTAACGTACAGTCTTGTCAGAGAATAGTATGGTACAGAAAGATCATCTAGATCCACATTAGGGCTTTGCCAAATAGGAAGTGTGCTTGAAGTCATAAAGTTTGCTTTTACACAAACATAAACAAGTTGTCTCCCACAACTCAGCTGGAGGAATAACAGCGCAAATTCAAAAATTAAAATTAAACTATTCTATTATGCTGTAAAAGAAATGTAGATTGAGCTACCACAAGTTATTCTTACAGTAATAAGTTCAGATGGCACAGTAACCAATTCCTCCCCTTTATGACAGTATACCTAACACAAACCTTTGTTAAATTTAAATTTCTGATAGCTATGTTTGACTGCCACCTGTGAGCTCCACTCTTCTCTGACGTCTTCTCTTCTACCCAGATGAATGCCGTTTAGCTAGAGAGGTCTAGATTCTTTGGAATATCTGAAATATTATGTAACTTCCCAACATAACCATCATCTTTAATTTTCACCAATGATTAGTCTAATAATGATTTGGTATCTATAAAAATAAAATCCCCTAGGGTTAAACCTTTAAAATTTTGAGAATTTTCAAAACTGAATTATTAATTAGATAATCTCAAACATTTAGGATTGATCAGGAGCTCAAGTCTGTCAAGAATAATGTGTTGTGCATCTTACATATAAGATACTCCATTTAGCCACCTAATGCTCATTACAGACGGTACAGTGGGGACATCTATCTGCCCTGGACTTGGGAGGCAGCGGCTCCAGGCTGACAGTCCTGCCTCCACTGGAACACAGTACTGGCCTGTGCTATTCAGCTGTCACTGTCTGGTGGCCAAGTGGAGTTTTGAGAAAGAACAGAAAGATAATCTTTTGGCCTACTGTCCTTGGAATGACAGGGGAAAGAGGGCAGAGGAAACACCCTGTGACCTTTACTGCCCATCACTCTGCCCCTTGAGTCTAAGACTCCCCAAAGAAGCTAACAACAGAAGATAACTTCATCTGAGTCAAATCAATAGGAAGTAGGCAGGACTTCTTGGTAAAGTAAAACAAGATTTCTTAGAATTGGAACATCTCTAACTTGCAACCACTTTAAAAACAGAAATTAGAAATCACTTTAACACTAGAACTGTTCCCTCCTCTTCAGGCTCACCCCCACAAAACCAGACTCATGGGAGCACAAGGCGCCCTCTTCTCTTCTCTTCTCTTCTCTTCTCTTCTCTTCTCTTCTCTTCTCTTCTCTTGTCTTCTCTTCTCACTTGGTGTTCAGTTCATTCTCAAGTTCTGTTAATTTACGAGAAGCTTTTACTTTGTCAGACACATCTTGACCTTGTGAAAAGAGGCGCTGACGCTCTTTAAATGTCAGGTTTTCAGGGGCTCCAGAACTGCCTGGAAAGTCTGCATCTTGGCTGGACAAGAGGAAAACACAAAAGATTATGCATCAAAATACAAGTAACTAGCCTTTTCATAGGGACCATAAAGTTTCAGCGAGACTTGTTCACTGTTGCACATTACCATAATTACATGTATTGGGGCTGACACAAACTACACCTACACTATGGTCTCAACAGAATTTAAAAAACCAATATATGCTCATATAATTAAATTTAAATGAACAAAGAGGGCAGGGACAGTGGCACAGGTCTATAATCAATATGGGCCAAACAGTTAGGATTTCAACTTTAAAAATCATTCTAAAGACAGTAATAAATATAACCATGTAGAAAAGGAGCAAAATATTCTCTTTACCTAACACAATAACTTTCAAAAACAACTAAGGGGAATAGAGATGGCTCAATGGTTAACCAGAGATCACATAAACACTAGGAATACATGGCAGCCAGCCTGTAATTATAGCTTCAGAAGGAAGAGATGGGATTTCTAGAGCAGCTTGCTAGCAAGACTAGCCATACCAATGAGACAAGGTGGAGAAACAATCTGAGGATGACTTCTGTCAATCTCAGGACTCAACATGCACCCACATACATGCAAATATGTGGCATATACACAGATGTGCCCATGTCATTACCTCAAACAGAAGCATGTTAGCAACATCAACTTTAAAAAAGTTGTACAGGTGCATTTGACTCACACCTGTAATCACAGAACTAGGGAGATCAAGGCATGGGGAAACTATCATAAGCTTGAGGTCAGCCTGGCTACACAGTTAAGTTCTAGACCTACAGAGACAGACTCTAGACAGACAGACAGACAGACACACACACACACACACACACACACACACACACACACAGAGACACACAGAGAGAGAGAGAGAGAGAGAGAGAGAGAGAGAAAGAGATTTTCTCTCACATGATTTTGTACAGTAAAAAACACCTGGATGCCTGATGAAGTCTGACGCAATTCAGCAATGACACTAAAACGAGAATAATGAGAAAGAAACCAGCACAGATTAGACCCAGCTCAGCCCAGCCCTTAAGTACCTTCTAGTGTGCTTCTCTCTTGGGTCCCGAGGAACATCATGGACTGCTGAAGCTGTTCCAGCAGATCCCGTATAAGAGTGTGGTCCTTTTCCATGAAAAAAAAAGAAAAGTCCAAGTTAAAGTATTTACTCATGACAGAGTGTCTGCAGGAAAATAAGCTCTCTTTAATCACTGACAAAATGAGGGATCCAAGGTTCTTCATATGCTCAAAGATGCATCAATTTAAAATCCACTACTTTTAGTGGCTAGGTGATCCAATCACTGCGTCCAATAACTGACACTAAAGCCTTTTGTTCTTAGAATGGAAAAACTGTAACACAGTCCTTAATCAAAACAATAAAGCACCCCAAGCCAGCACATGGCATAATGACCACAATTACAGAAGACTTGCTTAAGTGGGGAGTAAGCAAAAATATTTTAGACACACTCTAACACACTGTAGGAGTTCTGCTTTTGTTTGCTTTCTTTATTATTTATCTATTTTTATTGTATGAGCATTGATGTTTTGCCTGAATATGTCTGTGTGAGGATGTTGGATCCCTGGGAACTGGAGGTACAGACAGTTGTGAGCTAACATGTGGGTGCTGGGAATTGAACCCAGGTCCTCTGGAAGAGCAGCCGTGTTCTTAAACTGAGCCATCTCTACAGCCCCAGGAGTCATTATTTTTTTCCCCGTACACAATCATTGAAAACAAATAATCCCAAAGTTTAAGAGTTAAACCTGTCTATGATCAAAGTTCCTTTGTGTAGGATAACTAGATTTCTTTTTCAAGATAGATGCTAACTATTAAAAGCAAAATAAAGCCTTTGAAGCAATGAGCTACCAAAACCAAACTAGAATAAAATTCCTAGCATTCCGTATTAGTGCTGCTGACAAAAACTTCCAAGAGAACAAAATGTGAGGCAGAATTAGCTTGGCCCTGTGTGCACACATCTGTCTTGGCCATGAAGTCACAGTTAAGCTTGATGCCCACCAGTTAGCCAGCATTTGCCAAGACCTCAGGACGCATACACAGAGGATACAGACAAAGACTTACTGTGTATCAAATTATATAACGCTGTAATAAATAATATCTCAGCACTATTACAGTATCTGCTGTAACAGTACAAAACAAAGGAAGGGGCTGGAGAGGGAGCTGAGCAGCTTAGCAGTACTTGCTGCTCTTGCAAAGGACCAGGGTCAGGCTCCTAGCACCCATGTGGGGGCTTACAACCACCTCAAGTTCCTGGTGACACAGACATACATGCAGACAAAACACTCATACAATAAAAACATTCACACCTGAGGAACCAGCGTCTAACAAAATAGAGTACAAAAGGCTCAGAATATTTGTCAAACATGGGAGATTGGATTAAATAGACCACAAAATTACCGCCATGTCTTTACATTAAAACACTCCTCTTTAGACAAGAGGCAGGAGAATGGATTTTCCTCCATATAAAGAACCTGTGGGTAGAATATTTTGGACCTATCTAGACAGAGCCCAGCAGCCCGGAAGTTTAGGGTCCCCAAGGCATCACAGAGCATGTCACCTTCAGCAAAGACTCAAAAAAAAAAAAAAAAAAAAAACAAAAACAAAAAACACCAAAAAAAAAAAAAAAAAAAACCCACTTCTACCTCCTAGCAATCCACGGTGGGTTCTTATATTGGTAATTTGCATAGTAGTTGGTTTCAATTCCCAACCTTATATTCATTTTGTCTGTTATTAAGAATGCTGTACTTCTGAGCTTTGCTGAGAGTGACATTGGCTTCTTCCATGAGCAAAAATCAGTTCTTCAAAATTTCCAGAGTGTTTAGTTTGTTACAATGTTAAAACTTTGAGCTGACTATATGTATAAAACTGTCCATTGTAATTTCCAAAGTGTTCTAGTAAAACAAAAACATCATTTAAAGATATGCTGCCATTGAAATTCAGTCTTAATCATTTCAATTCCATAAGCTCTGTATCTCTCATGACCCCTTGGAAGAGGCCAAGTCCCACCTGCAGAAGCATGCCTCACCACAGAAAAGGGTTAGACACAGCACATGACGGAGATGAAGACGACAGGGCCAGAAAGCTGCTGGATGTGCAGATGGCCCCAAAGAGGCCATGAGCTGCCCCAGAGTGGAGCATTAGGCATGAAGCACAGTGAGGTTTCGTGGTGTAACTAAGGGCCAAAGCCGACACGTATGACTCCTAACTATACTGAGACAGTCAGTTTGTTCAAGGTTCGTATAAGCATTTTGCTTCAAAATTTATTGCTATTCCATGAATGCCTTGAAAGAGCACCAATTTTTCAACATTTATGGTAGAAATTTTATAAAAGGACTCGATTTTTGGCTTTCAGAGTGACTTGAGCATACTACTACATCTCCAAAATAGATTAAAAGACTGATACAGGTGGGGAAAAAAAGAATTCTGACCAAACTCTATCACTTAAGTAGGAAACAAACTCTGAGTCTTAAAGAGAGTTTGACTTTTCTCAGAACTGCTGAGTTCACATGTTTGTGTAAAGATGAAGCCACTCACATTCATTAAAATTACATTTTTGGATGCTTGATGCCACAATTCCACTTCATTTACGGTCATGGTAGTTTGAAGTCTTAATTTGAATATAATTGAGCTACACCTTCAGCATAAATTCAATGCTTACTACAACTCTGTGGGTAATAGCCTCTGTGCTCATCATTAACAGCCCCCTCCCCCCATTCAGAAGCTGCTTGGGTGCTAGTGCTTTGGGGTCAAGAGAGCAAGACAATGAAAGGGAATGGAACAAGTAAGAGGGACAGAGGAAGAACTTCAAGATGAGGGTCTGTGGGCAAGGGCTGCCTGTGTTAGGAGTAAAGCTGTCCTGCTAACTCGTTCAGTGCATGTTGCAACTCCCAGCCACGCTTCCACAGAGGGCATGAGTCCCTGCACAGGCCTCAGGAATAGAACCAAGTGTTCTGCTGACATTAAATGAAGCGAACTTTAAGAGCACCTGACACTCTGGCCCTGATGTCTGATCGAGAAGGCACTTGATTGACAAAGGTAACAATTACTTGAAGAGGCACAGAAAACTAAGCCAAGACCAACAGTACTTGAGATAATTTGGTAATAGTGGAGGACTGACTGTTGTCAGTAGATTAAAGAGTTGGAGTGCCTTAAAGTGTAAGAGAAATTGGAGTATCAAGGCTTAATTAACAGAGCATTAGCACAAACACCGCAATCAGGGTGCACAGGGAGATCATGTGCTGAGAGTGACAGGCGTGGTCTCAGTGTGCAGTGCCAAGTGGCAGGGTGCAGAGACCCCAGGCTCAATCATCGAGACAAGAGAGGTCTGATTCGCCATTCCACCATTCCCACTTTACCTCTACCTTTCCAGGGGCCAGGACGGCAGAAGCTCGGTTTGCCTGGAGGGGGTGGGGGCTGGCCTGCTTTGTTAGCAGTACTGTTGGCTTTGGCCAAGGGTGGCTGGAATGAGTTGGAGAGAAAGATGCCATCCGAGGCTGGGCGTGGCTGGCAGGGGGGCTGCTGCGGCTTAGGGGCAGCAAGAGGAAGGTGCTCATGAGACCTCCTTGTGCTGGGGTACTTATCCTGACCTGCTGGGCCGCAGTCCTCCTCCTCATCATCATCATATGCAACAAACTTGGCAGTGAACAGCGAGTCTGGGGAGAGGACCTGTGTTTTGAGGTAGGAGGCGTTTCGCTGAGGTGGGGGAGGAGGGGCGCTGGGTGCTGGGGACGGGGATGGGGGCTCATAGTCCCGTGGAAGTGGAGGTCGGCTCAGCCCAGGCTCTTCGGGCTCCAGCAACCTTCGTGCTGCCTCGTCGTGCTGTCTGCGCCTCTCAGCTTCTAGGCGGCTGTAATACCCTTCTTCCTGTCGCCTCTGCAGGCGGGAATAGACAAGAGTGCAAAAGGTCATGGGTCAGAGGGCCATCAGCGGACCCTCTGTGCCTTCACAGGGAACGACAGGTACACCCATCACCACTACCCATCACTACACTGGCGTGTCCACAGGACGTCATGTGTCAGTGTCATAACTACTGTAACAGAGGAGGAAGGCCACTCCCAACTGGTCTTGTCTCAGGATCTATGAAGACGCACGCACACTGCTCCACACTGACATGGACTGCTCAGTGTCTCAGGATCTATGAAGACGCACGCACACTGCTCCACACTGACATGGACTGCTCAGTGTCTCAGGATCTATGAAGACGCACGCACACTGCTCCACACTGACATAACTGCTCACAAGTGTGGGATTAGTCAACTCTCAGGACTTTCCTTTACACAGCCAGACTCTGGGTCATTTATATTCTTTCTTCTTCCTCTTTTCCTCCAACATTTTCTCTCCTTTTCTGTTTGGACAGAGTATTAACTTACCTGTTTCTGCTGTGTTTCAATAGGAAACCATAAACAGTAAGAAATATCACTCATTTTCTCAAAGCCACAATCTAACAAGTATGCTTTCCACAGTTAATGTATGTTTCAAATCTTAATAAACTCTCTGAGGAACAGAAAATGAGAGCCAAGCATTAATAGTAATAGCAGCAGATATATTCTGACACACACTGTACATTTTCATCCAGGCAAACTACAGTTGACAGTATTGAAATTCTTTTAACATTAAAAAGGCAACGACACAGCTTTGTTAAGGGTTGACAAGAGCTTAGAGCACAGGAAGAAAGTGAATATGGAAAGGATGGGAGAGCAAACAAATCACCCGCCTCGAACGAAGCTAACGTTCGGTGCTAGAAAACCACGTGCAGCCAGGCTCAAGTCCATCCAGCCCCAGGAAACTAGCGTCAAGGACCTGCTGGTATGATGGGCTTGCTTGACCCTCACTATGCTGCATTCTTCCTCTGCTCCCTCCAGAGCTTCACACAAGCACACAGTGGACATACAATGCAAGGCTCCCTGCTTCGTACTCTGAGAAACAAAAGGGAAGACTAAGGCCAGCCCCACTCACTACCCTTGCCCAGATTTCCAGCTTTATTTCTTGTTCTATGTTATAAAATCCTAAAGGAAAGATATTTTTATCTTCTTGACTATACAAAATTAGCACTATCTAGGTTGGGTAATTAAGCTACAATGACATCTGTGGCTTTTAAGTGGCACTGTTGAGAATGTTAAAATTACATGAAGAACAATTATTTGATAACACTGTACGGAGAGGCCAAACCAACCTTTTTTTCAGTTATACCAAGAGCAGATACAATTAAATGACCATGGTGACTTTATCCAGAAAACAAATGCACATGTTTCATAACAAATCAAACCCATCAATTGTGGACATTCTGTAGTAAAAATAGTATTTCAGTTTCCTTTTACAGTGACTACTCAATTATAGAAACAGTTACTAGAACACAAGTATGTTTGACATAATTATGAGTTAGAAGAACGCACGTAAGAAGAATTAACCTAGACTTTCTCAACACAGAAAGCACAGCCTGCATCTCTCTGAGTGCACAGCCCCGATGCAACCACCAGGCTGCTTCATCCAGGCTCCAGCAAGGCCAGGGCTGTTCTCATTATAACGAGGCAGCTGGCCAGCCCTGAGCTGGGAAAGAACCCATCCCCGCAACCCGAGGATTCTCAGGGAATACACAGCAAAGCGAGACCACCACCGTAACTTAGAAAATTGGCTGGATCCAGTGCTGGGCACTTCCTGATTTCCTGCAGGGATCATCACTTTCAACTAGCATTACCCAAGTTAAAGGCTCTTGGGCACTCTAGCCCTGAAGCTCAGTCTTTCAGAATGGCTCTGCTGTTAGTGTGTAGCAGCCACTGCTCTAGATGCAAACTGTGGCCTCACATCATCGACTGTTTCATTTAAATGAGCCACACCACATCTGCCAATCTTACTCTTAGATTGTCCTTTGACCAATTCATCATTTCCCTAAAAATTTAGAGCTTCCTTAAAATTTTATTTATTTATTTTTTTGCTTTTTTGGGAGGAGGGATGTTCCTATTTACATAGTTCACTGGGACTATCAAGGAAGTAACAATAAAAACTAAACTTTTCTCCATCTGAAATAGTGACACTCAGAACTTCTACCTTCACAGAAGGTAAGTAACAGAAAAACAGCTTCTCTCAAACCACACAGCAGCATGCAATACCCAGGGGCAGGGCAGAGCCACCCTGGGCTCAAGGTGGCCACTCCTCACCCAAGAGAGCTCTGCCCCAGACAGGAAGAGCTGAGAACTACATCTTGGAAGTTTCTGCTTTGAAGACTGTCAAAATTGCTATCGCTTTAAAATTCAACTATGGAAATTATTTGAGTTAAAACCCACATATGGAAATAATCAGAATATTTGTTGGGTTGCATACTAAATTTTCCTTGCATGTGTTTTACAAGTCATCTACACTCTCTTTACCATCAACCAGAACTAAGTAGTTCTAATGAATAACCTGTTTGAAATGGTTACCGACCGCCTTGCTATGTTCCTACTGCCTCCCAGAGTTCACACTAACTTCTCACAGTAACTGAATAAGCAACACCTTCATAAAAGCCACCTGGACCCTGTCTGGGGGACCAGAGCACTATCACATCCCAGACCTCTTGCTCTGGGGCATGGTGCTCAAGAGTTTGAGTGAGACCAGATCAGAAGGCAAAGGAGCCTGAAGACAGTCCAGAAGAGAGGTAGGCAGGCCAGATGGGGCTAGAGTTTTTGGTCCAATAGCAAAAGCTGGAATATCCGTCCCTGTTCTGTCTTATGCATCCTAGATACATGTAATTTCTAGCCCCCTTTGCCCTAGCCAATCATTTGTGTTCAGGCTAATCTGGTAAAAACTAGCTGCCTTTAGAGGACCATAACCTTTTCTTCAGCATCTCTCTTTACTCGCTCCTCCTCCTGATGGCGTCGATCTTCCTCTTGTCTTACACGATCTTCTGCTTCTCGTTTGCGCATCTCTTCCAACTGCTGCTGGCGCCTGCGCTCCTCATCCTGCAACTAACAATAAACTGAATTTAACTTTCACCCAGTAAAACCCACCAGCAGACATAAAAAGCACATCCTGAAACAAGCACGGGCACAGACACACACCCACACCCACACATAGACATGGAAAGCCAAGTAAAAAACACCAGGCTAAATCACTGTGGGAAGATGGTAAAGCTCATGTATTAATTAGCTCTTATCACTTCAAAGTCAGTTACCTAAAGCTTTGTCTCCACAGTCCCAGTGCTATTCTTTCAATGATCATAACTCAAAGAAACAAGTTATTTCATACATTCATGCATTAATCAAGTACAATTTTTTGTTACACTCAATTTGTTAGCTACTTCCTACAAATTACCACAAGGCTCCACTTTAAGAACTGCAGAGTACTACAACCACCCCAAATGTTAATGAGTTCTTTTCTCATGGGATATGGGCTGCCTGTGCTGAACCGAGCTGCACTTGAGAGCTTGTTACTTGGGAAGTGGGGTAAAAGACTAGGGCTCTCCCTTTACCAACTCCCCGCCCTCCGTATATCAACCTGGATTCTGGGAGTCCCTTCCTAGCTGAGATGACCTCACACTTGCAGTCAGAAGCTGGGGTTTAGAATAAACTCATTCTGGCTCAATTGTGTCTATACAAGCATATGGGCAGGGGGGGGGGGCGCACTGCTGACTCTCCAATACAGGACATTCTGCTTTAGGTGACAGCTAATTTCAAAGTTCTCATATTGGGTCTCAATCCATCACCTGATACTTCTCTAATCTTGGCCATTCAAGTTCTACCTTTCTGAAAAGACAGAAGATGCAACACCTTCCCTTCACAGTATCAAACACTAGCAGCTATCTTCAGAAGCCTGTGGCATGCTTCTCCCTTTCCTTGTGGCCCCTTCACTCTCCTGACCACGTTTCTCTAGGCATCACAAGCTCCAGGTTGGGCAGAGCCTGATCTACAGCTACGCCTGCAGTTTCATCACAGACAGTGGGAACGCTGAGCTGGATGCACAGATCTGTGCTACAGTCACACCCACAGCAGCACTATGACACGCCACCCAGAGGACAGATTCAAATCTCCACAATTCCAAAGAATTCCAAAATTATTCTGCTGATCTCTAAGCCACTCGCAAACACTTCATTTAAGACTTCTTGTGAGATGCAGCTCAATTTCCATAAAATCACCAGTTTTCCTATACACTATTTATAGAAAAATAATTCAAACTTCTGGATTTATATTCTATGTGTATGCCTAAAAAAACAAAACAAAACACAGATGGACAGTGGTGTCGCATGCCTTTAGTTCCAGCACTCAGGAGGCAGAGGCAGGCAGATCTGTGAGTTTTAGGCCAGCCTGGTCTACAGGATTTTAGAATGGCCAGGGCTATGCAGAAGACCCTGTCTTGAAAAACAAACAAAAAACAAAACAAAACAAAAAAGCACACAAAAATCTAATAATTTTATCCCTTATTTTCAATGGAATAAAATGTTGTATGTAGGGCTGGAGAGATATGTCAGCCCTTAAGAGCCTGGCAACTCTTCTAGGGATTTGATTCCCAGCAAACTCATAATCATCTGTAACTCTAGTCCCAGGGAATCTAATGCCCTCTTCTGGCCTCCAGGAGCACCAGGCACAGACACATATGCAGGCAAAATACTCATAACACAAAAAATATTTAAAATTCCACTATATTTAGTAGAAAAGAAATTAGCCTATGCTGTTGGGTTATTCAAGTCAGTAATAAAACATCTCATAAAAAATATCTTCTCAAAAAGACAAATGAAGTTAACTTTTTCTTTATCATAAGGTAGGTGCAAGTCCAAACACAGGTTGGAATTTAGGGGGTGGATTTCATAGCAGACATAAACACTGCTAGTCAAGAACAAAAGAAACTAGGAATCAAAGACTTCCCTAAGGACTACAGTGAGGGTGCTACAGCCAACCGTGCACATCCCAGAAGCTATAGGCACTATCAAAATAAAAGCAAATGGATCATTACAACAAACCAGAAGCAGCACCACACAAAAGCAACAAAATCAAACAGCAGCACAAGAACTAGCAAACGCTCAGAGAGAGCAATTTAAGGGCAAATACGAAGCTGTACTTCTCTTTCCCTGGAACTAAGTGCGCTCTGTTGTTCAGCCTGGAAAACACTGCTCACTGGTTTGGCTAACTAGCTCAACTACAATGCTCATAAACCTGCAAGACACATTTTCTCTAAAAAGTATGGCTCTACATTTTTCTAGCTGGTAAGGTGGTTATCCGGGGGTCTTCACAGTGTATTCAGTTCATTGGTTACTATATTTTTTAAAAAGACAAATTAGCCAGTGCTTTTATAACTAAGACATTTCTTTCTATTGTTAAGTGAATCATGCAATTCTTACTTTGAAATGTTTTGTTCCTTTGAAATATTTTACCTCACCTTCCACCTTTCCATCTCTGTAAGCATTAGTGTGTGTGTGTGTGGGGGGTGTCTTAATTTCTTCAGAAGTCCAACTCCAAATAGGCCACTGAACTGTAAGGCTTAGGTGTTCAATAGCAGAAAAGGGGGCATCTTTAGCATCAGTCTAACTGTCCTGCAGCCTGGTGACAAACTGCCTATGACAGTGTAACTGAGCATGGGCCAGGCTTCTCTGATCCAATCAAGGCAACCTGGACCAGTGCTAATCTAACCCTCACACTCTTGGAACTTAAGTAGCAGTGCCTGGCAGGTTCTGTCACCAGTCTGCATTTCTAACAAGGCATTTCCAGGTCAAACAATAGTGTAGGCTAAGATTGGTATGTTTATAAATCCACAAAATGTACTAAAGTTATTATCATTGCTAAATTAACAACCATGTTTATATTATTTTAATATAAAACACGATTGCGAAACCTTTTACTTGCTGACATCTGAAGTCTGCCTGAGTTTTTGAAGGCTTTTTAAAAATGCTTTTCCTGTACAGTTATTTTTTTTCTAAAATACAACCTCAATTTTAAGACAAAAATATAATAAAAAAAACCTTGAAGAATTAGATTAATACTAAAGATGTCCTTTAACTGTCACGTAATCAATATAGGCAAGCCTTGTAGTCTTAGAACCTAGCTCTTCAAAGGACCAGCCAGCCCTGTCTAAGGAAAAAGCTCTATGCCTAGAGTCAGGGTTAGAAAACAATGTCTCCTCTCACACTGGCAGAGGACATTTAAAAAAAAGGACCACGTAGAACAGCACAGAGTCATTCCTCTTAGCATATGCCATATAGTCCACACTGTTTTCTTAAAGAAATGTGACTTATAAGCTCCACCCTAAAGGACAGTGGCCACCGAACAGGGCAGAAAAAGACTCAGCGGTCCAGGCACACCCTAAGTGCTTTCTCTGATGGTTAGTACTCTAATTAGCTTAAAGTACTTAAGACAGAGCTTGGTCCAACCCTTTCACACCTGGGTGGCTCAAAGGTTTGTGCCTAAGCACTTCTTACACAAAGACCAAGCCCTGATCGTGTTTGACTTATTAGAAGAGCCACTCAAATCTCTGAAAGCAACTTTTCCATCAGTAGAAGCTCATTCCTGTGACTAAACACGTTACCCAGAGTACCACATGACCCATTAGTATGTGGTGACAACACAGAGCTCAAAAAGCCACTGAAGGATGAACAGGCCCGGTGAGTATCTAGCTGGCAGCACAGAGGGTAACTTAATGATAAAGGAAGTGGTTTTGATGAAGCAGAAAATTCACATAATGTGACAGGAAAAGGCAGGCTGGAATGCAAACTCATGAGGACCTATGGGACAAAGGGTTAGGCTCCCACACTAGGTTTGGACCTTTACTTGGCCGTAGAAGATTTGTTATGAAGAAATGTGATATGAGCAACAGGGACCTGTGTTATACATACAGCTGTCACCAGGTGTTTAAGGACTAGAAAATGAAAACGAAGCATGTGGGACAGAAGGTGGACAGGGGCAGTAGTTTCTGAGCTGAGTGAAATGGGATCATGCGGGGCTGTAGAGGTCAAGTGACTAACAGTGTCTCCTGGAACGGGAGGTCGAGGCAGAGTGGCTGGGTGTGTGAGGCACAGAAGGGCAGGGATCTAATTCTGCACAGGCTGGATTTGGAAAGCTTCCCCTTTGCCGACAGGAGAAGGTATCCAGGCATGTGAGTAGCCAATCTTTTATGCAAGAGGGCTAGACTACAGCCACTGGCATCATTATGACCTTGAAGTTATGATCTAGACTGAGAGGGAGAAGCAACAGGAAGCAGGCTGTGGACTGACAGTGGCATCAGGCCACTGGGAGGCCAGGGGCAGAGTGGCAACCAGTTTAGGCAGTCCCCAACCTTAGGGAACTTGCCTCACTCATGCCATGAGTTACCCGGAATCTATGCACGTCTTAAGACTGCAGGACAGCACTGCTTGCCACTACCCACTCTTCCTTGGAAGAGGCTCCCAAGGCAATCTGTCAGTTCTGACACGTTAAGAGTTCTGTGAACAATGCATTGTTGTTAATAATACTAATACCTACCAGAGAACTGGGATAGGAAGTGCTTAGAAACAGAATGGTTAAGATCAAGACTAACGACCAAAATATTCCTTTAAAACAAGAAAAACTGGGAACTGTTGACTGGAAATAAACAATTTAGGGCAAGCATTATTTAGTATTATTTATCAAAGATAACTCTACAGATAAAGCCATCCTTGGGCCAAGAGCTGGCTAGTGTCTGCGACAGTGCCTCTGGGTCTGCTCTGTAAGGGCTACTGATAAATACTTGCTAAATGACTACCCATCACCAAGAATGACTCTAAGCTGGGCAATGTGGTACACATCTGTAAGCCAGGAGGATCATGAGCTTGGGGCCATCCTGGCTCACAGTGACACCGTTTCTTGAAACAAAATAACAACAAAAATTCTAACTAACATATGTATACCTTAATACATAAAGTTTCTGAGGGGGATGGGTATGTATTATCTTTCTTTCATATAAAGAACAAGGATACGGAAGTCAGAAAATATTCCTCTGGGCACCAAGGAGGGGAGATGCTTATAAAAAAGGCTTCTCTCTGAGTAACCTGTCCTCAAGCTACATAAACAGAGAAGAGGGGACTTGTATTTGATGTGGGTGACCACTAACAGTTGAACTTTGAGAAGTTTTTATAGTATGAATTTTTAAAAAATCATTTATAAGTTGATCTGCGATAGACCCTGAGTTAAGGATTAATATAAATATATATGTCAGAATATAACTGTCTATTGGGTTAACAAACACATTACTGAAACATAAAGAACATCAAATGACCAATCAAATTTCTCTGATACTGACATTAATTAAGCATATTGATTTAACAGCAAATTAAAACTGCAAGTGTTTGATGGCAGACTATAAATTGGTACATTTAACTGAACTAAAAATCACATGGTATTAGGAAAAAATAGGATGCAGGTTCACAGGAAACCTCTTGCTTTACCATAAGCAGTGACATCTTGGCTACATTTTAAATCTGGAAGTAGTGCCAATGTCCTTTCCACTGAGCTCAGTGAACATACTTAAAATCTGCTTCTAATGCAACAAGAACAAAATAATTACTCAATGCAAAACTTATTTCATTTGTTCACATACTTCAAGTAAGAATACACAGAACTAAATTGTGACTGAAACTGTAAAAAAAAAAAAAAGTCAAATCCATAAACAAACAGTAACATTTAAAGTTAACAAGGAAGTAGAGTAACTAATCTAGTAACATTCAGAGGCATGCTTCTAATCACAGAGCTAGTCTCCTGACCCAGGAGACTCTAGGGAGAACTGACTACTGAGAACACAGAACAGCCATCACCAAAGGAGAAATGAAAATCAAGACAGAAAAAAAAAGTACCAAAGGGAAAGAAACAAGAACATACCAAATCTAGAACAGAGATTGCTGGCATAGCAGTCTGCTGCAGGTAACAGAGGGGGGAAAAAAAGAAAGATGAAGTGTGAAAAAAAAGTTAGGTTTAGACCTGTATTCCGCCACCGGCATCTTTGCTGCTGTCATGCTTCATCTGTGTTTGGACAACTTGATGAGAAAACTACAGAACCACAGACTAACTTCTAGCATTTGGAAACAGAAAAATGTCCACATGTCATTAATATTTTGAGTTTTATCATTAAGAGACACAAATAAAGGCTTCAAAATATTCAAAGTAGTAGCAGTAGCAATTTTGCGAAACTATGACAAATCTTCAATAAAAATTTCATCCTCACAGAAAAGGTTACAATGTAGTGGCTACCTTTCCACTATTGGGCTCAGCTGTCAAAGTAAGTGACACTGATGCTGTGTGACCACTGGCCATGAGCAGCAGCTGCCATCTGCGCCGTGTGTCTTGGCGTGAGGCCATGCAAAGCTACAAGTCACTGCATCTGTCACTAGCTAGGCAGGGTAGAGAGGGATGCGTGGTTCTGGCCAGTGCCTGACAGCTCTGACCATAAGCATGTGAAAGCTACTCAGGGTGTCCTTGCAGCAGAAATCCCAGCCATCAGCTGCTCTTTCAAATAAAATGGATGATGTGGTGGACGTAGTTACTTTTAAGAACATTTACTAAGGATACTAGAAAAACACTAGTAAAATAATGTAATTGTTAAAAATTACATTCTGGTCTCATTTAAGAAAGCCAGTATCTAAAAGGTATTTAAATTGAATCAGAGCAATGTATGTGTATGTGCTGAAGTATGTATATATGAAGTATGTATGTGACAGTCTTCAGGTAAAATTCACAGAGCAAGCTGAAAAGGGAATGCTCACACTACTGGACTCTTACAACAGCATCAAAGATTAAATTCCATCATGCTTTTGGAGTAAGATGTCTGACCTAACAGCTGTCAGACAACCCCTTTCATGTACAACATTTAAAAAAGAAAAAGAAAATAAAAAAGGAATCAGAAAAAATTGTATCGATAAAGTATCACTAAAACTCACTAACATGACAGACAACAGCACTCTCCACAAGTTAATATCAAGTGCCCAGCTTAATAATAATAAATGTCTCTGAGCAACCATGCCTGGCAGGGAGCAAAGAATCTCTTTTTCACAGAAAATTTGGCATTTTAAGAACTTACCTACATTAGGCTAATTTAAATTTTACCTACAGAACTTGTAATTGCAACAAAAATAATTATTTTTGTAATATGGAGATATAAATTATACCCAAAGTTGTTAGCATCTTTATGTTACAACTAAAATTATTAAATTAAAAAAATATTTGATGTATCAACCATAAAATGAATGACAGATCCTACGTCTGGCAACGACACTGAACTACAGACCGGATGAGCTCACGCCCCTCTGCTCACACAGCATCAGCAGCAGAGGCTCTCTCTCTGAGTGCCTTGGCACATTAGCCAAGCTCAGGGTTTGCATGACACTGTGGCTCACAGCACAGCCAAGGGGCCACTATACTTGACACAGCCCACCAAATGTCAGGTATTTACCATCTGGTCCTGTAAGCGAAACCCTGCCAAGCCCTGATCACAACTGTGAGTGGTTATTAGTAAGTACTTGTTTTCTCCACTGAAGTCAAGTGAGGAGAACTATGGGGCTGGCTAATTAAAACAACGAGTCCCTAGAGGTCTGGCTCATTCCTGCAACATCAGCCAGAGTGAGCAGGAGAAACCAGGGGCCTCTTAACTCTTCCTTAGGATTGTGAAAATAGCCATTTCCACAGAAACACCCAGAAAGTACCATAGGGAGCACAGATACGCACAACCAAGGCCTTTCCCCTTTACCCTGGCTCTCCGCTCAGCCTCCAGACGCTGCATGATCAGCATGGTGTCCACATCATCATCTTCCTCTTCCTCGTCATCCTCATCCTTCTGCTTGGACTCCTGCAGTCTCTTCTGGAACTGCCATTCCAGCATAAGCTTCCGCAGGCGGTCACTCTCCTCTGCGGTGCGGTCCACCTTGTTCTGCAGTTCCTGGATCTCCTTGCTCAGCATGTCGACGATGTGCATTTGCTGCTGCTTCTCCAGCTTCTCCCTGGCATCTCGTTTCCAGGGGTCTGGAGACAGACTGTCCCCAGAGGACAGCTCTTCTTTACTGATGGTGACGTACTGCAGGTCCCTGCGCTCGATCGTGCGGGGCTGCTGCTGGGGCTGCAGCTCCCGGATGACTGTTTCTTGGGGCCTCTGCAGTGTGGAAGGCTTTTCTGGCTTGGCCTGTGTGGCCAAAGGAGAGAAGGAAGCAGGGTTCAGGGACTGCGTGCGCATCTGCCCCAACTTCCGCTCCTGTTCCCTGCGCTTCCTCTCGCGCTCCTCCTCGAGGCGGGCCTTCTCTTTCTCATACCACCGCTGATGCTCTTCTCTCTTTTTCCTCTCTGCAGCAGCCACCTGAGCAGACTGGGGTCCTGCCTGGTTGGCAGGAGGAGGTGGGAGGGGCAGATCCACTGGAATGCCATCAAAATCACTGGTGTAGTGGGCAGGAGGCGGAGGGGGTGGGGGAGGGAGGTCTGTTCGAATGGGCTGGGAGACAGCCACAGGGGTAGGCAGTACTGCTGCGGGGGTTTTCCAACGTCCGGGACCGCTTTTGGTCAGAGTGGAAGCAGGGGTGACTGACTTGGAGGAGTGGTTCAGGTGCTCTTGGCTGGATGTGCTGGAATCCACTGAGGAGCTCTGATTGATCCACATGTCACTGTCACACTTGCGATCCATGCCAGCCTCTGCTCGATGCCGCTCAAGCTGGTAACCCTTCTCTTCTCGAAGCTCTTCCTGGGAACGGGTAACACGCTGACAAGAAAAAAGAGGAAACTCACACTTTAGGGATTCACCAGAGAGATTACCAGATTTCATGCATGTTTCATCTCCACAAGGAGAAGAAAAGACAGACTACAAAAATGGTGATATGAGTGTCTAACCACAAAAGACTGCTTTATGGTTCACTGGTCAAATGACACAGCTGAAAAGCTTGCCTACAAAAGGATAAAGACCTTCTGTCTATCCGACGATGCATGCTATTTCTGGCACTGTCTTCTGGTGCTGGCAGGCAAAGATCTGCTCAGGCTCCATGGGGACAGCCACAGCTGACTTCCACAGATGAATGAGCACAGTGGAAACCAAGAAAATCAACAAAAACTTCTTGTCATATAATTCTAATGATCACACAGTACTCACTGTATACATCCGTGGCTCAATTCTGAATGAGTTCTACAGCTTAGGACTAGCTTCATGAGCTCTTTGATTGAACCACACATGCAAGAGTAGCTTCCATTCATCTAAGATATTTCAGCTCCAATGTTACCACAGAAAAAAGGCAATAGCACACTTTGATGAGTATAAAGTTTTGAGTGCATGAAGAAAGAGATTAAAGCAAGTATTGTCTCCCCTTCAAGTCTAATAATGAAGCCCGCAAAGTGGCATGTATAGGAGCAGCTTATCCTTATTAAAATGATCACTATGATATATAAATCAACTATCTTTATCCCACCTTGATATTGAACAGAAATTGAAGATGTAAACCTGAAAAATAAACTACTTTTTCCTTTAAAAATATGAATTACCACTTAACCATAAAAGGAAAAGTTAACATTAACTCCATTTAGGTACAGCTTAACTTTGCGCAGGTCCTCACCCAATCTACAAACATACAGGAACATCATAAAGTTACATGCATCTCTGGAACAGAGAATTGGCCCTGCCATAAAACTCAATTCTGCACCTGCTGCCTGGTGTAGTCCTGGTTTGCTGCTAGAGAAGGTGTGGGATGGGACAGGGACAAGGACATCTAGCTGCTAGCCAGGAAAAGGCAGGATGGTCCTTGGAACAGTCTCCTCTTCCCTAGGTGCAGTCTCTTATGAGCACAGCCCTTTTTGCTCTTGGCCCGTCTTTTTCTCATCCTTCAAGGGCTCAGCTCTGTGACCACTCTCCAGAGGAGTGATTGTTTTGGGGATTCCCACATCATTGACTGTTTATCTCTTTAAAGCGCAACGCTGGCTTCTTCTCCTAGTCACATCTGATAGTACTTCCCAGACTGACATCTCTTATCTTCACTGATTTGGACACAAGTCCAAACTCCTTAGCGAGCTCCTACAACCTTCCAATGAGCCCTGTTTGCCTTCAGACTCTAGCCCTGCCTTCTCATGTCCCAGGCCTTTTCCTTCAGTCAGAAATGTTCTTCCACACAAGAACCTAGGGGCCAGGCTCTTTCCAAACTGAGACCCTCAGTGGCACCCCCTTTTCAGCAGCTCTAAGAACACTGCACATTCTCTGTGTCTCACCTCCAGATCCCCTGGCAGGGCAGAACCAAGTGCAAGCTCTGTCAGCCACTGTATTTCATCTTTCACTCCTAAAAGTCAGCGAACCTTGCCTTCAACGCTACCAACACTTTCATTAACCAAACATGAAGAGAGAACAGAACTCCTTTTCTTAGGGCGTTCTGTATTTTAGCCTACTTTTCTTTTTTTCTCTCTCAAACTTAAACACATACATACAAAAATAAGAGGACAACCTCACTGTTGATTTAAAATTAGTCTTGAGCTGGTAAGATGGTTCAGCAGGGTGAGGGTGCTTGCTGTCAAGCCTGATGATGTTTGGTCCCCAGAACCCATGTGGCTGAAGGAGAGAACTGATTCCTGCAAACTGTCCTCTGACTTCTGCCCACATGCTACACACACACACACACACACACACACACACACACACACACACACACTCTCTCTCTCTCTCTCTCTCTCTCTCTCTCTCTCTCTCTCTCTCTCTCTCTTGCATGAGTGCAATAAAAACAAATGAGTATTTTTTAAAGAAAAAGACAGACAGCTGTCACTGTCTTTATCCTGCCAAACCATGTACCATACCCCTTTGAGAGAGGAGAAAACTTTGTGAATCCATTGTTTCTAACCTGGATTGCAATACTGGAATGATTACTTTCTGTGTGCATATGTGGCTTTTCCTCATAATTTGGCCACTGGTTCTGAGGAGGAGCCATCCGGTCCTGGGATTTTGAAGCTGGAAAGGTAAAATACTCTCTGGTGTATGTCTGAGTAGGGATGGGATAGGCTTCAGGTCTAGGTGGAGGGGTCTGCTCCTGTAAAGTGTAAAGAAAAAGAAAAACAGCTATTTAAAATTATGTGAAAGGCTAACTTAATACCCAGTGATCCATTTTGCCATCTTTTAAAAAGCATGTATATTAAGTGTTGTGTTAAAAATTGAAAGTTTGATCCTACACTGTGAATTATGAGAAACATTTTAATTTTTCCAGATTTACTGTTAGGACTAATTCTCATTTTCCCTAGATTTATTAATTTACAAGTAACTTGTATGCCTAGTACATTAAAAGTGAAAGTACTAAATAACAGAAACGTGGGGGTTATATAGTCAATGTAACTTGTGAGCACTGTACAGACAATGTGGGCAGTCTACAAGTGAGAAAGAAGTCTCTCAGACCTCAGTGCACAGGTTTCCAGTGGAGACAGATGTTATCTTAGCCGCTGTTCCAGAGGCATATGGACTCTTCCCTCCAGGACTAGGAGGCTGATCTGTTGGAAACAGGAAAACCCAAGTTCACATTAAACAACAAGTAAAAGAATCAAAGCAACATTCCTCCAAAGGCCGTAACCACATCACATGCATCGTCACACCGGCATGATGCCCAGCACACAGCCAGAGACAACGGCACACAAGAAGCCAGCTCCCTACACCCCCACACGTCTCCTGCCACCACTGCCCACAGCAGGTCTCCTGCCACCACAGCCCACAGCAGGCTTCCTCTGGGGCCAGGGCATGGTTGGCAGCTTTGGTAAAGAGACTTAAGAGTCAATACGTAAGGCCTTCGAAATTTGGGGCCTCTAGTAGATATCTTTCCATTCTCCCTTCTTTGTTAGCAACTCTTCACAATGTAACAGTCCTCAGCTTAATCTGGCAATCTGACTCTCTTTTGCAGAGACATTAGCAATGGTTTTGATCTACAGTGTCCACTGAGTCAACAGTTTTCCAAATAAAATGGAAATTTTATTTCCATCAAAGAATATTATGATAACTCTATGAAAACTCTAGGTTGCCAACAGATACAAACAGTAACTAGCAAAGTACAATGCGCCCCACGGCCTTCTGGCAGTGACCACACACTCTTAGGAAACGGCTCTTCTTACTTGCCACATTAGGGCTGGAACGGTGATCTGCTCTGTTTTTCATCAGCCTGTCGTCACCAGGAAGTTTCTTTGGCTCACTGTACTCTGTCCAAGGCATCTGAGGACTCTCTGGGGAGCCATTTTGACCTGAATTATTATAGAGCTCAAAACCTTCACTCTTTGGTCTGGGTTTACCTGAGCCGCGACGATCTGAAACTGAAATCAAAGTGGATTCATTCATTCATTCATTCTCTGTTCCTCTAACTGTTTCTAAGAATCTGCTTTGAATGCTCTGAGACGCTTCAAAGGCTGCATCTGAAATACTCAATTTCATAATTGTTCTTAGTATAGCACGGTTTTTTCCTATACATTCTCTGCACAGCTTGAAAGAAACAAAAACAAGCAAGCAAGCATAACAAGACAAAAACCCATGGTCTCACTGGATACCCATGGCTGACCTGGAAATTCACTGTGAAGACCAGGGTAGCCCCAAACTCACAGACACCAGGAGGCCTACTTCTGCCTCCTGAGTGCTAGGATTAAAGTGTATGCCTTCACTAACAGCTTTATACAAAAATTTCAAACACTTTAAAATATACTGTGACTAGAAAATATTTAATTGATATGTATCTATGGGGGAATTGACATTATTTTCTCAACAATTGAACTGGAACTTAAAAGTAACAAAGCAATTATTTTGAAAGTAATTTTTAAAAAGCCCTCAAAGGTAAATGCACTTCTCTCACTTGATAAACACTTACTAATTCCACCAGAGTCACGGCATCCCCAGCTGCTGTCCCTTGCTGTCATTACCACTCCCCGTCTTCACTGCAGCCTTCTCACTGCTCACCTGGGGCTGATTCATCACCCTCGTCCCTCTTTGGGTTTCTTTCTAAATGACGGTCTGCTTAGACATGCCAAGGCATGACATTGTCTGGACACCCTGCTGTTTCTCTGCTTGAGTAAGCAGGGACTCTAGGCTGTCAGATGCCTCCCTTGCTGTTGCTACTATGCACTACAGGGGTCTAGTGCTGGGGTGTGCATGCTCCAAAGCTGACTTGGGAGAAGAGGGCTAATGAAACTACACTTAGCAGACTGTGCATATATTTAGCAAACTATCATTGAGGCTGACCTGAAGGGTCAATCATCACAGAAGAATAAGAGCCACAATGTTTTTTTGTAGTTTCTAAAACAATTTTTTTTAGGAAGCCTTAAAATTATACTGATCTTTTCCTAAAGATTTTAATATAGCTGGAGGATCAGTTCCCACAAATAAATTACTTTGTTGAAATAACTGAATTTTCTCTGAAGAGAAATATGACAAGATAACCATGTCTTTAGTTGTTTTTTTTTCTTTTTTTCTTTTTTTTGGTTTTTCGAGACAGGGTTTCTCTGTATTGTTTTGGAGGCTGTCGGTCCAGCCTGGCCTCGAACTCACAGAGATCCTCCTGTCTCTGCCTCGAGTGCTGGGATTAAAGGCGTGCACCACCACCGCCCGGCCCTGTCTTTAGTTCTTAAACAGTACTGAAAAACTACTGACATACACATGCCTATATACCTCTCCCAAAGAACATGAAATAAGATTCCTACCTTAAAGACTTTATGTTCTGATTGTGCCTATCAAAATTCAAAATGTATTCATTTTTACTGGTGCCCGGGCACCTACCTACTCTATACAATCTAGGGAGTTCAGGAGCAGACATTCAGTCAAATGGGCTGAAGTTAAAGATCTCGAGAACCAGGGGAAGCTGGGTGAACTAAAGTGTGGGCTTCAGGTTGGCTGTTGTCCATTTGAACCCTGACCTGGTAGTATTTCTCAGCACCTTGCACTCTTTCTCAACTTCTTACTTTAAGAACGGGGCAGCTACTGCACACAACTTCTGAGAACTCCCTTTGTAAACGCAATTTTTCCTATATGCATGAGTGCTGCCTGCATGTACACACGTGCACCTGTGACTGTCCTAGGAGGTCGCAGGAGGGCATCAAGTCCCTGAAACTGGAATAGCAGGCAGTTGTAAGCTAACATGTGGATGCTGGGAATTGAACCGAGGTCCTCTGGAAGAGAGGTGAGTGCTCTTAACTACTGAGCCATCTCTCGAGTCCCAGCTTTTGGTAACTTCTCAAAGGAGTCAGACTACACTGCAGGATCGGTATAGGACAGCTACCCAGGTTTCAGCCACTAGTTCTTACTTCTCTGCATCATGGGGGATGGCTGGTTAAGGAGGGTGGCCAGGCCGTGATAGATGGCGCCTTGCTTTGCAACTTCAAGTGTGACCACTGAACTGGTTCTTGTCATGAGTTCTGCTGCCCTAGGAAGAAAGCACAGAGTATAAGAAAACTGAGTGCTCACTGTCACAGACAGCCTGTGTCTGAATAACAGTTCCTCAGCCTAATTACTGTTTGGGGAAATAAGTTTGGCTTTCAGAAAGATTACCTCCTGCCCACATTCTTTTTGAAATTTAATTATAAAAACATGCAAATATATCCTATGTTATCGTATTAATACTCAGATGATATTTAAAAGTTGTATGAATACAAAGCATGTGTATTTATTTATATATTCACTTAAAGAAATATTCTAGACTAAAATACATAAAATAGAAAAACGAGACTCATGCACTCTAAGAATTTTAGAATTTTAAAAGGCAAAGGTGAGTGAGGGTATGGAGCTAATTCAGCACTACTTTTTGAACTCCAATTTCAAAATTAAATGTAAAGTATCACTTCAATACACTAAGACTAAGCTTTAAACTAACAAATTAGGCATACCTTTCCTGAGAAAGTCCAACCAGACTTCGTCCATCCACACTGAGGAGCTGGTCCCCAGCAGCTAGACGTCCATCCTTAGCCACCGAAGGATGCAGGTGTAGAGAAAGAAAGGCGTTGTCAGTACACAGCCTATCCCTTCACACCACACAGCTACAAGCACTGCGTAGCATTTCACAACACTAACGTGCATAAACCAAATACTGACCACATCTGCAGCTCCTCCTTTCACAACAGACTTCACGTAGATTCCCAGTTTATCCTGGCCAGCACCCTATGCAAAGACAAGGCCAGAGCAACACAATGAAATTGCACTGCACATGGGTAATTCGACAAATTCCCAGGTCTCATTTTACACAAAAAACTAGAACTATAAAATTGTATTAGTAGAACATACTTCTTGAGAAAAATTAAAGAAAACTAGCCTTTTCTATTTTATGGCTCCAAGTTTAGAAGAAAAGTACTCCTGTAAAATCAGTCAATTCATTAACAATTTAATGAGAAAATGCCCTTAGACTTGGAATACAGTCTAAACAGCCACAAACCCAAGTGAATGAGAAACTCTTCAAGCGATCAGTTGGCTGTGGTATTGCTATATTCCTGTAACTACCTTTTCTATCCTCACTCTTTTCATACATATAGTTTAAGTTTCCAAACAACTTCTTGCAGCAAGCAGTTAAGAGGGGCTAAGTAAGAAAATATTATCCAGAAAAACTATACTGTAGCTCATATATAACAAAGGATTCAAACACAGATACATAACATTCCTATGAAAAAACTAATGAAATCTTCAAGAAAAACAGGTATCATATCTGACTTCAAGATAAGTATTATGCTTAGAGATGATAATATCAAAGATCAGCTTTGGATCCTTTATTGGAAAGATTAAACAAAGCAGTCAAAGCAGTCATGTGCATAAAACCTTACTTGGGTATTAGTGGGAGCACATCAGCTGGGTATATATACTTTCGTACCAATAGTAGAAAATATTTCACCTTATCAGTTATGAGACATTATGTCATACAAGAAAAAAAGTATAAAAAGTGATTTCAATCAATTAAGATAGATTTTTTTTTAAAGTAATAATCTGGAAGATGTCATCTTTATATGCAAACTATCCAGAGTTCCCCTATTAGTTAACAATTTTAGTTTACAGATTCAGTGCTGAGACCGGGCTCCTTGCTCCTCTGCAGCAGGGAGGAGGACGCAGTCATCAGGTGTGCACGGCAGCCACGGTAACACAAGTGGACTGTTGGCAGCGCCACAGTCAGTTATACATAAGATAAGGAGCTGGGATTCTGGAGGAAATCAGGGGATGGGGAAGGGGAATAGAATAAATCTGATATGAAATGGGTTAAAGGATTAAGCAGTGGAGGGTGAGGAAATGGGGAAGAGAAAGGTATGGGTTAAACACAACTAATTATGTATGAAAAAGCCTCTTCTGAAGTCCGTAAGTTAGAAAGCTTAACTTTAACATGTATGGATGATGGTGATGGTAAAAGGAGTTCAAAGAGGTACTCTGCATAAATGGATAACCCCATTCTAGAAGATATGGGTTAAATGAAAGTTGCAGGACCAGGCATGGGATACCTCCTGACAAGCTGCTGCTCAAGGAGGGTCAAGAAGTCTCCAAAACAACACAGGCTACTGACACTATTCTTAGTTGTCCACCATAACTACATGGTTAGAACCTACTGCTGAGTACTAGGACATAAAAGCAATCTAATACCAAAATGGGAAATTTCTTCCTTGCTGGCTAGCTTTCAGAGTGTCCAATGTTACAATGCAGGCTGCTGGGGGAGAAGGGATACCAATAGTCTTATTCAGTGCTGAACCCTGCTTGTTAAAGCACCAACCTGCAGACCCAGATCCACCAGATGAAGCACTAGTGCCTGTGACTGAGATAACCAAGTGCTTTCTTACTGTGTTTGCAGTCTACACCAGAGGGAGTTTAGTGACTGCTGCTATAATCTTGGTCAAAAGCCCATGGCTGGAAATTTAGAGATCCAGTTGGCAAACCTACTATTGATATTTAACTAAGTGGTTGTGTTGTCAATTTTCCTTCTAAATAATTTTTTTATCCACAGATTTGTTCTATTAATCTAGGTAAGAGCAGCTTCCTTATGTAGTGGGCAGCAGTCAATGAAAAGTGAGGGACGGCTCCTTCCCTAGCAAAGTTCAAGGGACACTATAGGAAATGGTGGGGGGGGGGTAGAAGAGGAGAGGGGAAAGGGAGGGAGGAATGGAGAGGGACAGAAGAGGAGAGTGGGGAGGAAGGGAGGGAGGGAGGAAAGCTGTGACATGGCCACTGCATTCACGATCTCACAGCAGTTGCAGCTACCTAAACAACTAGATGCACTAACAGGGCTTAATGGGACAGACAGAGGGACACACACACACACATGCACACGGTCGCACACTCATGCACACACACACCCCATTGGCATGGTGGTGCGTGCTTTTATTCTTAGCGCTCACTCAGAAGGCAGAGGCAGGAGGACTTCTGTGAGTTCTAGGCTAATCTGATTTACATAGTGAGTCTCAGACCAGCCAGGGCTATGGAGTCAAGAGGGCATTTTGAGGGGAACGCAGGGAGAGTTGGAAGGAAGTAGGAGTGGATGCGATCATATTTTACTGTATACATGAATGAAATTGTCAAATAAATTTAAAAACATATACATAAAGCAACGAGTGGGACAATAAAAGGCACAGACACACAACAGGCACCCAATAATAGCAACTTTTCGAACTTTGACTAATAACTTGGCAAAAGAAAAATAAGTATGACTTTTACTTGATTTCATATATATAACATGAAAAGACCCTGAAGTCAAGGTTTCCCTCAGCAACCATGTGCTAGGCTGGGAATTTATAGTTTTAATTAATCAAATTAGAACACAATACCACAGTCACTAGGCCACATGCAACTACACAGTACTTGAAATGTGGCTAGCTCAAAATATAATATTTTGACTTCAAAGGCAGTGTATGAAAACAGAATGGAAAATACTTATTAATCATTCTATACTAATTATGTATTACAATAACTTTTTGAAAATATTAAATTACTTTTAAAAAATAGCTAGGAGAAACTTTTAAGTTACCTGTGTGGCCCACAATATTTTTACTGAATAGCACTGCTCTAAGAATGAAAAGAATTTTTGATGTGTCTTAAAATTTAATAGTAATCACCATTATTAGCAATAAAGTCATAATTATGTACAAAATTGTCAAAACATCTTAGTGTAAAACTTATATTAATATTACATTCTGATTTTCTTTATTTTATTTTTTGTTTTTTTGAGATAGAGTTTCTCTGTGTAGCTTTGCAGCCTATCCTGGCATTCACTCTGTAGACCAGGCTGGCCTCGAACTCACAGAGATCCACCTCCCTCTGCCTCCTGAGTGCTGGGATTAAAGGCGTGTGCCATCAATGCCTGGCCTGATTTTCAACCATGAGAAATACAATGAGACTACTATTGAGATAAAAAAACTATTTTGTCTGAAGGTACCTAAAATGCTTAAAATGCTACCACCCTCTCATTTAATAATCCATTCCTTGAATGAAAGAGGAAGGAGAACTTTTAGAAAACACATTTCTAAAGATACTAGGTAGTATCAATTTTGCTATTTATAACTTTTAAATGACTTGAGCAAACTTAAATAAAAGGTATAAAACACATTTTCCCCTCAGAGAACACCTGAGCTCCATATCCATAGCACAATGCTCAGATGGAACAGCTCAGTCTTGGTGCCCTTCTTAGCAACTACCTAGCAAAGCAAGAGAGCGGGTGATGCCCAGGGAAGGCAGAGATCTAGATACCTAGGAACTCAATATTCTAATCTTAAAACTGCACCCTACAGCTACATACTTTTCTTCCATTTCAGTGGGAAAGTGGGGTAAGGGGACCTGGGACTAGTAAGGGAGGGAAGAGGGTAACTATCTGAACTTTACCTGCAGAAGCTTAGGACAAGGTGTAATGAAAGAAGAAAACCACGTCAGAGAACAGAAGGACACGGCCCTCACCCCTAACCTGAACTAGAGAGAGATGCACAGAGTGCACACACCTATTAGCTGCCTCGGCCTCAGGTGAGACGAGCAGGTCCAGAAAGAAGGCCGTCCGTCCGTCCGTTCTCCTTACTCTTCTACCTTCTCAGAAGCTCCAAAGGCGCCACCAGTTCCCTTTTCAGTGGGGAGGCGCTACCACAAGGAGCCTATTCTCCAGACGGCTTGGCTGCCAACTGAGTGTGTGGGAGTATGCCTCAGTAACAGCATAAAAACATCATTAAACACAACCCAAAAGAAAAAAAAAAAAAGGCAGAGGAAAAGGTGTCTGCCAAGCAATGTAGGGCTTAGCCCATTGTTCTGGGGTGGAGGCCTAACCTAGACTCCCCAGCTGGAGCACAAAACAATGTGGGCTGGATGACCTAAGAGCCAGGAGCAGCCCAAACGAAACTCCCAGACAGAAATGCTGTAGGTAAGCTGTGCTCTCCAGCACTTTCCACTCACCTTTTAGCTGCACTCCAAACATCTTTTTCTACCAATTACTTCAGTTTTTAAATTGATTCTAAAATGCTTTCTTCACCTAAAGTTCACCTGCAGCAATTCTCAAAATAAGTAAGTTATCTCAACAGTATGGTGGTAAACAAAGTAACTGGGCTAGAATTGTATAAGCTGAGTTCTAACCTCCACTGTGTTCATTTACCTTCTCCCTGACACAGAAACACAACAAAGCAACAACACTGGCCACACCATCCTTCTCTTCTCTCTGAAACAGTGAGACAGCCAGCCAAGGGTCTCTGAAATGGAATCCACACACAGAAGAGTCAGCCCACAACCCTCAGAAGATGGATGCAGGGTGGGAGGGGGCATTTCAACAGAAGGAATTGTGCAGAGCGTCCTTACTCTCAAAGGGAGAGTCAAGCCCCCAAAAGTCACCTAAGGTGTGACTGCAGAGTATAAATACATACACCTGGCTCCCTAGGCCTTAAATGAGGGTGAGGTGTCAGATGGTGCTGGTCTGCTTCTGTGTAGTCACACAGAAAACATGTGGGTTGTGGGTTTTTTTTTAGAAGAACAACAATTATGTTATTAGATTAATATTCCAATGCAATTCAGTATTTCAGTCAATCCCAGAAATAAGTACTTAGGTAATAATAATCTTGTGGAGAAAATTACCCTTTTATGTAATTCACTGTTTTTCTTTTAGCAAAAACATGCACAATACTGTTGCAAACTCATAAGCCATAGCCACAGGGATACTGTGTCATTTC